ATGTCATCTTATACATTGGTACACTTACAAAATAAGGAAATGAATTGTTCAATCAATCAATTACTTTTTGCTATCATCTAATGACGCTAGAGAACAAAATAATACATTTGTCTCCGGAATTACTGGAAGTTTTAATAACATGTAGAACATGGGAACATGGGAACATGGGAACCATAGATGTATGTGCAATGTCCGAATAAATGATTGTGGCAAAGATTGCGATTTGCTAGATTCTGATTTTGGAATTTCTTTGATCAAATTGTACCTCACACGCAATGTCAGAAGTGAGATTGAATGTCCAAATAGCATAGTAAGAGCCCGACTAAGAAATGCCATTCCATTTTCTTGACGGGAGATTTATCGCTCAATCCCACACTAGACATTTAATGTTAAATAACAATGAGATCTAAAATTCATACCTTAAAATCTAAAATCGAGTTAAGTCAGAGATTATAATTTCATTGGTAAAATGCAATCAGAAAGAACCTTTAGTAATAGTTGTTTATTTTAATGAGAGATTCATAAATTGGAACTTAAGTTGTAGCCACCATTTGTGAAGATTGCTGGGTCTAACACCTTAGTAGAGTATACCCCCTCCCAAATCACAACCACAGTCTATTTTTTTATTAAAACTCTTTCCCTATCCTGTAATGAAAATAAATATAATTGGAATGAATTGCATGCATTTCGAATGAAGTTATCATATTTTTAGTATTTTATTAGTTCAAACAGGTTTACATAAGATGCATAAAAGTGACAAAGGGAAACATTTCAATTTCTAACTCTACAATTGTAATCATACATGTACATATCAGACACATGTATACATGTGCATCAATTCATGATCTTCACTGGACATTATAAACATGAGCGAATAGGGGGAGGGGGGAACTTGGATTACGTCCTTTAGAATATAGGTTTAGAAAACTGCAATAGATGCCATTTTTCATGATAGGGGGGTTATGAAGGAGCTTGTTCGTGAATGTGCAGAATTTTGGTCCTCTTGGAATAAGTTCTGCCTTTCGTAGTATTATTTGTCCGATTACTAGTAAGTATAAACACGAGGTGCCAACTCCGACCGTTAATTTGAATTTTATACCTACACCTGTTTGGAAATCAAGGATTGTGAATCAATATACTGCACCGTTTTTCTTCAAATTTGTTCCATTAAAAGAAAACAAATTTTTCTGATGGTTACATTTGTTATGCGGTAAACACGATACAAAAATATGTCATATTCCGCAACGAATATGGCATATTCACTTGCGTTGTATGACAGATTCACCTGCGGTATATGGCATACATACTAACCAATGAGAACGTGATACGGAAGTACGCAATTGTCAATTGCATAGATTGAACGAACACGTAAAACGTTATAAATTATCATAATGATTACTGAATCAACAGTACTCTGTGTATTGAATACATTAACTTAGCAGAAGGAGCAGTCACAAATCTCGGTTAATAAACGTACTCAATCAATCCAGGATTCATATATTAGTACTCGACGCACTAACTATATTGGTAATCCAGCGTAGTTTTACATTTAGAGTCGATTCTCGCAACCAATCAAATCAAGGCTTTCTGTATCACGTTTTCACCTGCGGTATATGCCATATTCACCTGCGGTATATGCCATATTCACCTGCGGTATATGACATATTCCGCAGGTGAGTATCGGGTATTCACTGAAATCAATGTATCGCATATTCACTGCGGAATATCGCATACTCACCTGCGGAATATGCCATATACCGCAGGTGAGTATGGCATATTCACCCGTATCACAAATACCGCGCAACCATGAATGTATGCCATATACCGCGTAACAACATTATACTGTTATACAGACTGAGAGTCCCTCCTTTTAGCGGCGTTTGGACCCCAGCTGTGAGAAGCGCTTACACAGCTTGGGACCGGCCCTGACAGCAATGCACCGACAGAGAGGCATTTTTGTTTTGCTTTTAATGGAACAAAAACGGTACATTATGAGACTCATAATCCTTGATTTTTAAACACATGGTAGGTTTGAAATTCAAACTAACGGTCGTAGTTAGGACTCTGTGATAAATGTTTAGGCCCGGGGTTTAAGGGATATTGAATTATTAGGGGCCCTGGAGAAACCAATGTGGAGGGGTCATAATATTACAAGTTAACGTGCACTTTGTCTCTAAAACGTGTAGCTTAACTCCTCTCAAATGATAAAGTTAACACAAAGGGGGTTATGCACTGGAATGTTTTGGATATAGGGAATATTCTGAGGGATATTAATACAATATATCTTCCCGAGACTTCCCGCGTGTTAATGTCCTGTTTAAAACAATAGGCGTTACCAAGTGGGGGGTGGGGGGGTACGATGGGTGCGATAACCAATAAAAAATAGAACCATGAGATAGAAGAAGAAAAGGGTAAAATGCTTATTATTTTGAGCCTCTAGCTCAATTTTGAAAGAAGTTGCATCAATATTTGTAAAATTCAAAATAAATTTATTGGCCTGTTTTAGCCACAATGGTACCCCCCTGACTGATAATCGAAATTCGTTTGGGCATCACCCCCCCCCCCCCCCGACTGAAATCTGGCATGATTGTACCTTTTGGGATTCGATCAACTTGAGTTCTTCTGGGAAAATGAGGAGTCTTCAATGATGGTATCCCGATGCTAATTGGAATGGTCAATGGTGTATTTGAAAAGTGCTCACAATGGTGAAAAGCTGCACGCTTTTGAAAGATCTAGACTTTTTGGCCGGGGGGGGGGGGGGGGGTGACGTGCACCAATCCTTCCAAAGGGACACGATACATTTCTCGAGGGCTCAGAGGGCCAGAGGTTAATATCATGTTGTCACAGGGTATAAAACCATAGGCCATATTCAATTCCGATCATGATATTCCTAACTCTCTTCAATGAAATCTGAAGTTCGAAGTCCATATCTAAACTTTGTATGATGAAACAAAACCAGAAGTCTTATATCATAAGTCTACAAAATATCCGAATGACTTAACTAATGCCATTTTGAAATATAAAATGTTATTGAATAATATAAACACACCAGCATAAAAAAAAATCAACAAAACAATATAACAGCGACCAAACAAAATCGCTTGTTGCTCAGATGTCTATGGCTTTACTGTGTCAGAGCATGATGATGAAATTACCATTCGCCTGTGTTTAATAGGCTCAAACAGAGCTTCATACTATTTTCGTTTCAAAATCTCTTAATTTTCAAATGGGAGACGAATTTAATTTTTGTTTTGAGGTGAATGCGATTTTTGTGAGATGGATTGGTCAGGACAATGCGATTTTCTTTTCGAGCGATGGACGATTGACACAATATCGCGTCTTCATTACGTACGCCTTCCATTAGATTGGTAATCGTGTGTTTTCATTTCGAAGCATATCAATATTTAAATCTAATTCTTTCCTCAATTGCGATGCTAGATCTAGTAGTTCAGTTATTTGTGACATTTGACGAATTTATCTAAATCGCCAATCATAATCAGGCTTTGATTAGATAGGTGGCCGAAAAGGGGATCCTGTTACTAATTTTATGGAGGGGGGTGTATGTAATATTGACCACCATCCAAACAATTATTTTCTGCACTATAGGAGAGAAGTACTCTAAAAAGGGTTTCAAAAAACTATTTTGAATCATCGTTCTGTAATTGTGCAAAGGAGTTTTTGTTTTTAGCGTAACGTACACTGTATTTTAATTTTTGTTTGCTTAATAAGATTAATTTCAATATGATTCGCAAGTATGATCACTGCATCAAATGTGGAGTTTCTTGCAATTTCTAGACGTAGGATGGTCTAGAAACTCCGCGTATCTACGGGGAGAGGCAACTTAAATGAATATGCTAATTGCGTCCATAGGCGAAGCGAGGGGGGGGTGCAATAAAAAAAACACGAGAAAGAAAAAGCTCAATTTTGAAGAAATGTTTGTAAATTCAAAATAAATCTTATTTTCATGGCTTGTTTATGCAACAATCGCAACCCCGTGACTGAAAACCGAAAAGTTTTTGGCGATCGCACCCCCCCCCCATCCTGAATGAAAGCTGGTTTCGCCCCTGCCCTATATCAATTAGTAATGATACATTGCATACACAATATGAACACATAGTTTTTTCATCCATTTGGTCAGACGCACAATAATAATACTATTCTTGTATCTTGCTTGATACCCGGGGCTTGATGTAACAACTTGATAGATGCCCGGGAAAAATTATTTTTACTAGTTATCAGTACAGCTTGTTTGGTATTTTACAACCTTTAAACAGTACGTGATTTATTATTCAATCATATGTAAAACGTCATGGTATACGTGAACAGTTTGTTATACAAAATAATAAATAAAATAGATAAAAGATAAAAAGAAATCAGTATAGTTGATCATAATTGCTTATAACAATATACATTCATCTGATTCGATAATTACTTTATTCTAGATTTCAATCATTAGTCTCAAGGCGTGCCAAGACTTTTTGTCACACTCTAAGCACGTCTTTGCACTGCGTGTGCTTAGACGTGCCTAGAGATGTCTAGAGTTGGTTTCATCGCGTACCTAGACGTGTCAAAACTAGTCACGCCTAAGCACCCGGTGTGCTTAGACTTAGTTTCTAGACGTGCTTAGTCTAGAAATTCCATTTTTCACGCAGTGGGAACACCTCTGTTAGTGGAACACTTCTCAGCGTCGCAAGACAAACTGACTTAATGTCAAATGAACCTATACAAGTGGAACACCTCCCAAGTGGACCACCTTTAGAAGTAGCAAATGTGTTCCACTTACTAGACAGGTTTTACTGTAGTCCGGGGAATATAACAGCATTCCTTCATTAAATCTGAAGTCTCATAAACTCCTCTATCCACTTCACCTAATCCAGTTCACCTAATCCACTTCACCTAACATAGAGTAAATGGGCAACAAGGGCTCGTTGCAATACTACCACTATAATAAACACATGTTCTCCTGTATACGTATATTAATTGTGGGCACCATTTTGTAGATCTGACATGTGGAGGGTTCCCAGGGCCAGGTGTAGAACATAGAGTACTGAGCAACCCAATGCAGGAGTACATACATAGAGATGACAGCCATACTCAAACAGAGTTTGCACACTTCAAGAAATACCACAACAGGCAATATGTTGATAAAGAACACCAGGAGAGGGAGAATGCTTTTAGGCAAAATTTCAGGTATTCTGATTTCTGTAGTTACATTTCTGTAGTTACAGCTAAGCCAATGTGTTTGTGTAAATTAGCTTTATGTTTGGCATTTTTATGTCACCACTATGAATTGAAGCCAATCGTTGTTACCAGTGTTGGGTGGTTAGCACCTGTAACAAATGTTACACTTTTGTAACCATTTGCAGGTGGTGCGATTTTTCATGTTTTTAGTACCTTGTATACAATGTGAAGTCTCGCAATATTTCGGTCATGATTTATTTGGCTCTCATAACAATGCTTTAATCACGCGGTACAAACTTCGACCGTTAATTGGAATTTTTGACCTACCAGATGCTCAAAAATCAAGGATTGCGAGTCTCATACTACACTGTTTTTCTTGAAACTTATACCATTAAAAGCAAAACAAAATTGCCTTTCTGTCGGTGCATTACTTTATTGTAAAGAGTCCCTCGTTCTAGCAGCGTTTTGGTCCCCAGCTGTTAGAAGGCCTTCTTACAGCTGGGGACCAAAGAGAATAATGTACCAACAGAAAGGGATTTTTGTTATGCTTTTAATGGTATAAGTTTGAAGAAAAACGGTGCAGTATTACATTTATTTATACATGTAATGTACATTGTAATATCTTTCAGATATGTTCACTCCAAGAACAGAGCGGGCTTGACATACAGACTGAAAGTGAACCACCTAGCTGACAGGTTTGATCATGAGCTGAAGTACACAAGGGGATATAGACATACACCTGGCTACCATGGGGGCCTGGCATTCAACAAGGACCAGTATAATCTTAGAGACCTTCCTGAAAGTGTTGACTGGAGGCTATATGGTATGATCACATGCTTAATGATTTTGCAAAGAATATGTATTTAATTGAGAACATCATAATCATTCAGTATAAGAAGATCCTGATAATCAATGACAGTCATTCATAGATATAGATGGGATTAAGCATTAACCTGAAAGCAATGTATATTTTTTATCAGTAGAACCTGTGTAAATGGAACACCCTTAGGACCACAAAAGTGTTCTACTTACGAGGAGTTCCACTTGCAGAGGTTCATAAACATGGAGTCAATGGATTGCTGGACTTTTAAAGCCTACTCGACTTGGGAAGTGTTTCAGTTACAGAGGTGGTCCGGTTTCACCTGAATTTGTAGATTTTCTGAAAATAAATGTGCACTTAATGTTCTGGAATGTATCAACAAAGAATTGTTTAAATGCAACAGAGATGTTTCCCTATCAAGTGATTGTGATAGAGGGCCAGAGCGATGTTTGCTTCAGGGAGATGCTTCCTATAAGGCAGGCTCTACTATATTGAAAGTATTGTTATTCTAGGTGCTGTTACCCCAGTAAAAGACCAGGCTGTGTGTGGATCATGCTGGAGCTTTGGCACAACAGGCACATTGGAGGGTCAATGGTTCCTCAAGGTAGGTCTTCTATAAGTTCAGTTGAACCTGTAAAGTGGAACACCTTTGTAAGTGGAACACCTCCATAAATGACTCAATGTTAAATGAACTTTTGTAAGTGGAACACCTCCCAAGTTGAACCCTTTTTAGAGGTTTCAGACTGGCAACTTGATGAGACTGTCACACAACAGTTGATGGATTATTCTCTGTTATAATGCTATTTGTGGTATCCATTGTATATTGATGTTGGAGTGTTCTTTCAGACTGGTAACTTGGTGAGACTGTCGCAACCAGTTGATGGATTGTTCCCTGTTATAATGCTATTTGTGGTATCCATTGTATACTGATGTTGGAGTATTGTTTCAGACTGGTAACTTGGTGAGATTGTCACAACAGCAATTGATGGATTGCTCCTGGGGTGAGGGTAACAATGCATGTGATGGTGGTGAGGACTTCAGGGCTTACTCATACATGATGAAAAATGGAGGTCTAGCAACAGAGGATGATTATGGACCTTACATGGGACAGGTAAGTGTAGTTAGGTTGCACATGTATATCTGTTAATTTTTTTGAGGTTTACATATTGTAGGTACCTATTGCTTAAAAGCTTTGAAATCTCGCTGTAGCCTCGTTTTTAGAGATCTGCATATATTTAACCATTAATAAGTGACAGTATGTCTCTTTGATGGCTCTTTGAATTCTTTGTGTTATTTTCTATCAAAACAACTTTAACTTGCAGTTATTTACCTTTATTCATGATTTTCAAGTTTGACTTTATTGATTGATTGTAAGAATAACTTAAAATTTTTACTCATCATTTTTGTTTTGTTTTAGGATGGAATGTGTCGGTCCCGCAATGTAACTTCAACTGTCAAGGTAACAAACTATGTGAATGTTACTAGTGGTGATGAAGCTGCTCTGAAGATGGCTATAGCCAAGCATGGTCCAATCTCAGTTGCCATCGATGCCTCCCACAAGTCACTCTCCTTCTATGCCAATGGGGTCTATTATGAGCCTGAATGTGGTAAGTATTGTTATGTCTCTGACACAAGTGGAGACATATTGTTATGGTCTCCAACTTTTTTGTGGATGGTATTCAGCAGTTGGTGTTTGGGATTCGAAAGTTGGTATTCGGTGGTTTGTTTCTGTAAGAAAGGGCAGGTGGTGACATTTTGCATGTTAATGCCTTGTTGTCATTCAGCATTGATACTGTCTATAAATGTTTTGTATCAAAAACAATATGTCATTATGTAGTATAGTGACTCTCTGAAATTAACACTTTTCAGACTTGAAAAACCAGCTAAACTATTCACATGACTGGTTTCATACTTTGAATTGTGTTTTAAAATTCCTCAATTGGGTATCTACATGATGATTAGTAGCCTGGACAGAATTGTTCAAGGGTCACCTTTTCTTTGATAACTTTTTTAATTTTCAGTATTATCAAAATCTGATTACATATTTGAAAACTAGAGTAAAATTCTGACATACAAAGAAATATTTAAGGAACATCTCTTAATTTATTGATATTATAGGCGTTCATAGTAACGCAAATACATAATTCACCATTTTGTCTCATATTTGTTAAAAAGTGATTGATCCTATTAAACTATTTTGTTTATTACAGGGAACAAGCCAGATGACTTAGACCATGCTGTCCTGGCTGTAGGATATGGCACAATGAATGGCCAGGCATACTGGTTGGTGAAAAACTCCTGGTCGACATACTGGGGAAACGATGGCTATGTACTCATGTCTCAGAAAGATAATAACTGTGGAGTGGCCACAGATGCTACATTCCCATTGGTCTAATAACAATTGCAGTAACTGTGGTGTCACTCCTCAACTGCATTCCCATTGGTGGAATGAAGAACAAAATGCAAATTGCACTTTTTCGCACAAGAATTCTAAAGGGATTGAATATGTTGATTTGTAGCTACCCAAGATGTATATTTTGGCAAAATGCTCCCTATTGGGTAATGGATGATGATCTGGAACTTTGCTGAACTTCATAAATGTATTTGAAGTGATCTCAAGCTCCCTCTATAAATGCTCATATAAGTGTTCTAACAAGCCCAAAATATTTGGGATCCAAAAACTGCAATATTGTGTACAGTATAGTTTAGAATGTTAACTTAATTGTAAGATCATGGCTACACTTTAGTGTAATCATTGTAGTTCTTATTTTCATTACATGTTTTTATATGTTCATTTCTAATTTAAAAATTGCCATATTTTCAAACGTTCTGTAATGCTTTATGCATGAATAATATGACACTAGCCAAATTCTTCATCTTATGTATATATTCTACTACTTTAATGTTAATATTTCCATTTGATAATTTTCTATTGCACAATTGAATCTATGATATTTACATGCAAATGAACTTTGTATAAATTTTAAAATATACTGAATGTTTAAGATGGAAAATAGTTATTTTTGTTTCTCATCTACAGGGTGTCCCAGACCTTATGAGAATTTTTTGAGGGAGGTTCATCCTGAAAGTTTAGTTTTAAGAACATCTTTTAGGATCAATGCTTTTTAGCTATTATGGATCATCTATTGTGTCATCCACTTGTCTGTATGGCTGGCCATTGTCTGTCACAGCACATCGGAATTTACCATGCAAATGAGGCTGTGACAGAAGATTTCAGGATAAAAATCAAAAAAGACCACCTTATATTTACCCGACATGCCAAAATATTTATCAGTACTACTACTTGATTTTCAAAGAAGCAACCAAAATGAAATCTAGAATATTTCAAATCAATCCATCAAATGGTTTTAATTGTTCAAAATGCTTAGTAACATAATATACGTACAGGGATCTAAATCCAAATTATGGCAACCTTAGATGTTAGATCCATTAATTTCTGAATATATGTTATATGACCCCCATATGAGCCAAGTACTCGCACTACTATTTAGTATTTATCATTTCTGATCAAACTACTTGTTTGCGTTTAATGAACTTTCAAAATATTTTGTCTTGCGTGAAAAAGATTTACGGTTCTTGCAAATGAAAACACATGATTCTTAGATTTCAATTCAGCTTGATAATAACAGACTCATGATCATTGTACTTTTATATACGGTATATATTTACATCTATTTACATGAAAATTTAAATTCAAACATACAAGTACAAACTACAGGATGGCCAAAATCTATCAACAATCTGTCTGAAAATTGACATCAATCTAACTGATTATTTGTGAAGTAAACAATCATTTTGGGCCCATCACTAATTAACAAATCCTGAAAATACATGTACACTTAATTTGGCTACCGTTTTAATTTGACGGATAGGTGGATTGAAAAAATCCTCCAATTTTCAATTCATGCCGTGCTTCTTCTTGGCCTCATTTACCCCAAATTTTATCAAAATGTCAACTCTACATTATTTCGAGAGAACTCTGGACAATATCTTGGTAAATACATGTCGTAATGACACTAATATTAAATTTCAGTCCTGAATCAGCAAAATTAAATAGCCGCCACTATTTGAAATTGAGCAAATCTACCAAAGTAAGTAGCGTCAAATTAAGTGTATCTACAGTAGTCGTATGAATTATGATAAAAAGTGTGAACAATTTGGCAATGCTTGAGATATTCATTTGAATGAAATATGACTACCGCATATGGAACATGTACAGAATGGCTCACTCATGGACCACAAATTTCCCTGTTAATTTAGATGCTGTATTTCATTCTGTGCAAAAAAACATAATAAAAAATACTGTGCTTTGACACACTATATTGGACGGATATATCATACAACATTAATTTTTGTAAGGTAAAAAGTAAATAATTACAAATGGATGGAATGTACTCAACTGTGAGGTTTTGTTTTACTATAATGCTGGAATGTTCCTTCACAACCCAAATTAACCATTCATAATCTTATAAACAAAATGTAATCTCATTTTGGTCAAATTAACAAATCAAAGAATACTGTAAGGCAAAGCACATAATTTTCAAAATATTGTAAAGGGCTGCAAAAAATGAAGTAATAAAAATAGCAGGCACTTAAAAGTAAGTTGCAACTCTTCAACCTAATTTTAGTGCATAAATAATATGTTACAAACTCAATTTGGAAAAGGTATCGTTCCTAACACTGTCCATATAGTAAGTTTCAACACTGTTGAATGTAACGAAGACATAGTTGACCTCGTTGGTCAGTCTACTTATTTCACTTCACATCAGTTGATGTCATAATAATCTTATTCAGTTACTCATGTCTATAATTATTACGTTTTTTGTATCATAATAGTTGTTTTAGTGATCTTTGAACTCAGTGTGATATTTCACAATATCAGCAGTTTAATTTCCTATTTTTATTGTCATATTATAGCAGTTTTTAGGCATGAAATATTTCTAGAGCCAATCAAATGAAAGGATTATTCTTGAGATATGAGTGACAGACAATGATATATGAAGTCAACTGATGTGAAATTTTGTAATGTTTAGTTGTTTATAAGTTTCGATAATTTTTGGCATCATCTGATGATAATCTCTGAGGGTGAAATTAAATTGATATTTTGGACACTGATAATACAAAATGCAACATGAGGATGGGGTTTATATTCTAATCATTATGAAAAGTTTTAATTGAAAATATCATGTTGCTAGAATGTCAGTTAAAGATGTATTGGCACGATTGATGTAACTCATGACTGTTATACGGCCATCAGCCTCTCTTTGGAGTTTCTCATCCGCCATCCTCCTGGCAGCAGAACCATCCATTTCATTTTTAATAAAGCTGCTAATTTTCTCTAAGGCTACATCCATTTGGTCTTGTAGAAGAGAGACTTTGGCACCATTGTCATTGGATTCCCCTTCCATACGATGAAGCTCTTGGCGATTATACTCCCCTCTATACTTATAATATTCAGCCATTGCAGAATGCATGCGACGCTGGAGCATATTTAACTGAAACAAAATTCAATCTCAATTTATAATTATATTTTTTGATATTTAATTCAGCTCACCAATATTTAGATGAACTGTAAGTGAAAATGGATTTTGAGTAATACTAATCGAACTCCCTGATTTATATGATAATGATGATATCATAATATAAAATAACTAAGATAAATAAGTTAGTGCCAGTTGTGCTTTCCCTTATTTTCAAGATTGATATTGTAATAAAATAAAATATTATTTATATTACCTGTTTGAGATCTTTGATAGCTAATTCCATGGTAACTCTCTCATCGTATCTATCCAATAACTTATTCTTCATTAAATTATGTTCATTTTGTAGCTGACGATATTTCGATGCAAGATTATCATTTTTGGTAAGGCGATTTTCCAAGTCTTCCTGCAAAATGAAAATGTGTCCAGTTGAATGATATTGCTTTTAATGAAGATGTTTAAAATCTAAAGTGGGACTTCAGCATGAGAAGCAGTGATCCATATGCAACACCAACTATACCATCCACTCATTGCAATATTTACAAGGCTATAATTATTCAACCTCATACAACCCACTGTTGGTCTCTTAATTAATCAGTAAGTAAATAAATTTTATATACATTTTAATATTTTTTATATATATGTAACAATTGTCACAATGATTATGTTTCCATCTCATTGACACTTACATCATGTTGTTGTTTGACCTCCTGACGTAATCTCATATGTTCCTTGTGTTTCTTATCCAACATGCTGACCCGAGATTTGATCTGATCTAAGGAAGTCTTCAGATCATCCGTCAGATAGCTTCCTGCATCCAGTTGAATAGTTAGCTCCTCTAGTTCCATGCTAGAAGAATAAAAATGGTAATGAATACATGTAAAATGATATGCACTAATTACCGATCCCATTTCAACTTCAAGAACAAGGCATTAACATGCAACATGTCAGCACTTCGACGCAGACTACAATGACTACCGAACACCATCCACATACAAGTTAGAGACAATGACAATACGTCACCACTTATACATATAAATCGTAGAAGTAACATTTGAAATACTGAGCATCATTGAAGCGCCTCATGTACTTTAATTATTCCCTTATTACCTAATACATGTACTAATTTCTTACGTCAACTCCTTTATAGCTTTTTCAGCTTTCGACACTGCACGCACCATCATCACCTCTGAGTCGTCCATCTCTGTCATCTTGTTCTCCATCATCTCAGTTCGCCACTCAATATGGTCAATCTTTTTGGTTAAGTTGAGGACCATCGCTGTGAGAGATTTGTGTTTTGGTTCCAGATCATCTTTCTTGGATGTAAGTCTTCCTTCAACATCTGCATGTTTATCTTTTAATGTCTTAACATCAGTAGTGAGACCTTTCTTTTTCTGAAAATAAGCAACATACCGTGAATAATATCAGATTCTGGTTAGTAAATGCACGTTGAAATATTACAACCATTTGCTGATAAATTCTTTCATCTTTATATACAGTGAAACCTGTAAAGTAGAACACCTCTAGAAGTGGAACACCTCTGTTAGTGGTCCAAGACCAACTGACTTAATGTGAAACAAACCTCTATAAGTGAAACACCTCCCATGTGGAACACTTTTTAGAGGTACCAAAGGTGTTCCAGGTAGACTGGTTGTACTGTATATGCAGTACTACATTGTACATTCAGAAATGGGCAAATTATCATATCTTAACATTATATGTGACAAATCTCTTGAAATTCACAGACAGTTACATTACCTCATCTTTTTCCTTGGCATCCTTTCTCAAACTCTCTACTTCTTTCGAAATCTTTTTAACAGCAGTTGTGATTTCCAGGCACTTTTTCTCAATCTGAAATGAATCAGAATAAATTGAAAATATCATAATAAAAAATAATAAGATATTACAAGCATTCCTTGGTATATAGTATAAGTAATTGATTACTGTCATTGAACAGAATGTTGGATAGAAAGAAGAAGAAGACAAGAGAGGGGTTTATTGTTTAAAAAGAAGGTTTCGGTTAGACTATTGATTTTGCAGGTCACAGCTTATTCTGATCATTTGTGGTATTTTAGCATCAGAGTTAAGGCTCTCAGGCACTAGTTTAAAGGCTCCATTCAGTTTCAAATATGAAATATATTGTGTATTGTACAATATTGTACCTTTTCTTTTTTGATGAGATTCTCAGCCCTTGATTTGACCATGTCTTGACCATCGGAGTTGATTCTGGCCTGGATAATGGTGCGATTGTGCATTTCTTCCTTCACCTGCTTCCTTAGAGCATCAGCTGCAGCCTGGAGCATAGAGATAAAGACATTTTACATTCCTGGTATAATGGATATTGACTCATTATACACTTTATATACAGAGGTTATAGAATAATTCTGAGTTTTTCCAAAATATTACATTGACTCATTTATAATGTAGTTCACAACCCAATGTGAGATACCTTAAGGCTTTCCTCTACATGTAAAGTTCTGGCCTCCTCAGACTTAAGCTCCTCTTGTACTGCATTGTTGATAGTAGCTATCTGTGCAAAGTTGTCCAAAGTCATCTGCATCTGCTCGTCTGTCTTCACAAGCTCCTTGTTGATACGTGACATACTTTTCTCATCTGCTGTCTTTTGTTTTGCACTATAATTTTAAATGTTTAGATTTCTATTGGAATGAAGCGGTGGATTTCAGATTGCAATTCTTTATTATTTGCACTTTCTTAGCTGAAGCAGTCTGACCATAATTGCAAACTCCTGTCAATTACACTTTGTTTTCCAAATTCCAATCAATACTTGAATTAGTTATTTACAATGATAAAACTATTTATAAATCAATTGATATTCAACCATTCTAGATATAAAATCTTTTGTCGGATAAACTTCATATTTTTCACATAATTCTTAATCTTTGGGGTAAATCAACAACGAAAGACATTTCTTAAGAAATATTGAACTTGTACATGGCCAATCCACAACAGACCATACAATACCATTGATTCAAGGCATGTACACTGTAATTGAGGTTGAACATAAACTCTAAAGCTACATCTGAATTTGTATATTAAGATAGATATCAAGCTGTGTTCCTACCACTCATTCAGTTTCTCCACGAGGTCCTCCACTTCCATATCTCTTTCCTGGTTGTCACGTCTTAGCACCTTCAATCTCTCCTCCTTCTGGTACTTGGCATTTTGAAGCTCTGTTACAATCTCATCTCCAGTGCTTTTCTAAATCAACATATTTTTACTTTGCACTAAGTTAAAGGTATGGGTGTCAATTGTCTGACAATCTAGTACAATCCCAGAGTAAAATGCCCTAACATGAGCATACCATGTACAGTTAACAGGGACACAAAGTCAAGCAAATAAAATGAAACAGTTATTTATTTATCATTCAATTGTTACCATCTTCAACCTTAGTCATGCTACAAGCATATTGCAAACATACCTTGATAAAATCCTGATCTCACTCATTATTAACTCTAATATAGATTAGAAGAGTAAAATCCAATGCTTTAAAATGTGAATGTTAAAACATATAATGCTAACTATTACTTTCTTAAAAATATTCCATTAAATTACTGATGTAAAAGTTTATAATTGTGAGTAACTAACCTGAATATCTCTCTCAGATTCCAAAGTAAAGTTATCATTCTCGAGTCTTCTGTGTTCAAACTCAGCCTCCACAATGCGTGTCTGAAGTTCCTTCACTTTCTTGGCCTGCATTGCCTCAGATGCTTTGGCATTCTCACATTTCACCTCAAGCACAATGACTTCTTGCTCATTGTTGACTAAAGTAGTTCTGCCATCATTCACCTGGTGTACATAGCTGTTGTAGGTTCTCTTTGTTTCAGCTAGGTCCTCACTAGAACAGAAATCATTCAAATTGTACATGTAATTGTAATTTTTAATTCCACCTCAATCAACCCAAGAACTACCCTGTTTTTCTTAACTATTGTATACATGTATAGCTGTATACAATGTATACATCAAAAATATCTTTAATATATCCTCTTTAATATACTTACCCTTATTTTCATCAAAAATAGATTTAATATTCACTGAATATATTCACAATTCCCACTGACCTTATTTCATTGAGGTCTTTTCTGACAGCATCCAGGTCAACTTTCATATGTTTCCTCTCTGCAACAGCTTTAACATGAGCCTCATCTGATTTCAGCTGAACTTTGGCACATCTCATCAGAGTCACTTCTAATTCTTCTGCAGTCTGCAATTAAAATACCATCATATGTCATGAATTTTTCAGCACGACTTGTGGTTTAGACAATAAAAGTACATAGATTTTTCAGAAAATCGCAATATGTGTGGAACTGTGCATTGAAAATGATCATGCAAAATCAAAATATCAGAAGTTAATAAAATGTTATTGCTTACATACTCATTGCATATTATCAAAAAGGATTGCAAATTATGGTAGGTGTCATATACTTGAGTAAGACAAATATACATGAAGTATCATAAGAGCCAAAGTATTCATTTTAACCTAGATTTACCTCATTCTGAGCAAAGTTTATTTTATCCATAGCTTCCCGTTCAAGGTCCAGTTTCTCCTCAACAAGGGGGCTGTCAACAAAACATGCTGGGTGAGAATCACAGAGAAAAAATAACAATATATAATGTTTAAGTGTGAGCTGTCCTTGGGCTGTGATGGTCATAATCCAAAAGCAGGCATCTATGAATCAAAGCTCCCAACACCTCCTTAAGGGACATTAAGTGTTTCGAGCCTCTGTCATTTTAGTGATGAAAGAATATGTGTATGAGCTTAAAATGTGTACAGTAGAAAATATGATTGAAAATATTGTGAAAAATTACATACAGTAAAGTCATGCTTCACTTCTATTACAGAAGTTTTAATATTTCTATACTTGAATCATGCTTTTAATAAGTGCCATATAAAACATGCATAGAGTGGATACAAGACATACCAGTGACTATTTACAAATGCTATGTCTTCGCTCAGTTGTTTGTTCAACATCTCAGCTACACCCATCTTATTTTTTATTCTTGTTTCATGTCTTCCTTTGTAACTACAGTGCCATCTGAGTTCATTAATGTCTTGGGCACATGCTTCGTGTTCTGTAAGAAACACATAGACAGCCTTCTAATTAATATTGGAGAAGTGTTTACTCTTGACATAAATACCCCTATCTAAACAAAAGCTGCATGTACATTAAAATTTTTCTGATCATGATACTGACATTGATACCTATGGATTTGGAATTGCCAATTTTACTGAAAAATGAACTCTTGCTAGTTTTGATTAACATTTGGGAGTAAGCTGTAGCTAGCTTTTCTAATTTTTCAAGGGATTCCAATATTGCCAATTGAAATATTTAGCAAAACTGCCTATTTTGTCAACGTTTCCAATTTTGATTAGAAACACTGTCAACTCTTACCATGTTGCACCTTCCTGGGCAGTTCAACTAATCGCTTTTTGGCTAAGTTATCTATTTTAGTTTGAAGCATTTCAACTTTAGCTCTTTCTGAATTCAGTTTTTTCTCAGTTTCCATGCGGTCATTCTCCAGTCTTGCTATAAGCACAATGACCTCACTGACAACTTCCTCTGCACCAAGGTAGGGGATTTGGTAGTACATGGGCTCCTCTTGTATTACCTCTGGGGCTAAAAGTAAACATTAGTGCAGCATTTAATAAGAACATATAGATGTTTACTACAGTAGAAATCTATCAGGTGAGGGCATCTCTTTGCCGCTGTCTATTAATAATTATCACATCCTTTGCGGTTACACCTATCATCTGGTTAGCAAACTTGGAATGTTGATTGAGTAAATATGAGTCAGGGATCAGTTACCAAGTTCACCAACTAACTGATAAATCAGTTTTGTTAGTTACTTGAAAGGTCAAAATAAAATCAATGATTACTTCAATAGTTCCAAGAATGCCTTAAATATTTTTACTCCCATGCACAGATTGCTTTTTGTACTATGTACCAATTTTTCTGTGAAATACCTGAATAATTACGTTCTGACTGCCTAGCATTAGCACCCATCCCTACAATACTCAGGCCAGAGGGTGTCGCTGATGAAGAGTGGGAGCTTACACTACTGGTACTCTGTAATCTCTCTGATGTGGTACTTAATGTGTCCCCATCTCTGAACCTCAATTGTTTTCTACTGCTTCCTCCTATTAAAGTTATACAAGATGTTAAGCTAAAGTATATTCTAATTCAATGTTGATCAAATAAATAGTGCCACTATTATTTTTTGTACTTTCTAGAATCCTTTAAAAATATGGTGCCTTTCAATTTGATCCTTTTGAAGTTGCGTCCATAGAATGCAGTTGGCACAACTGTGACTAAAGACAGACAACAAATGAACTCCATATTTAATTTACAACATATGACAGATTTTTAGTTAAATTAAGCTATTTAAATGTTTTCTTTGTTGTCAGTTGTAAACCAACCTTTGAGGTCTGAAACAGCTGTGAAGCCTGTGCCCAGAGTGCGACCTGAAGATGCTCGACTGATCATTTCTCTCTCTCGCTCTCGCATCCATTCTTCAATGATTGTCTGCAACAACTCGAGGTGAGAGTTAGCCTTGTTGACACATGTTGATACTGCATGGGTAAACTCACAGCTCCGCCAGCGGAACAGTTGAGGAATCTTAGGCCAATTATGTGGTAAATGAGAAACTGAATCTGCAAATGCAAAACACTCATAAAAACTACGTACTTGTTAAGTGTCACGAGATTGGTGTTATGTCGATGTTTATATAAAAATTTTCAAATGTAAAGGAGGTATGAAATATTAAAGAGGCATTAACATACAAAATGTCACTACCTGCCATTTGTTACAGATGACAAAAACCAAATGCCAGATACCAACCACCAAATGCCAAACACACTGGTGATCCGCTCGATTACGCTGGTTACCAAAACGAAAAAATAGCTCAGAAGATAACAGAATCGTCGATTTAATTCCTCACACGGTTTGGGTTAAAAGTGCAGATCGAGAGGATCACCAGTGAAACACCACCCACAAAGTTGGAAACTATAACAATATGTCACCACTTCTGATGGTGACATAATAAAAATGCTCTAATGCTGGTACCTTGAGCTTCCTCTTCCTCTCCCTCTATACCAGAGTCTCCTGAATCAACAGTCCTGATTGACATGCCACTTTCACCTAGAATATAATGATAGGAAAGTTTGTTAGAAAAAGTTTTAAAATGAAATAAGATTCTTTTCCTATAGACTCTACTATAAAATCTGGACAAGTCCTGAAATGGCAATTACAAAATTTATTAAGAACTAAAATGGCTGCAAGAACGCAAGATGGCCATCCAAAAGTTAATCAAATGTAGTGTTTGGTACCCTCTAATATAAGTACTTTGAACAAAATCCAATGAGTGGTTTCCTGAAATAGCAATGACAAAAAAGCAGGAAGCAACCATGTTCACACAACAGATATTTGACATTTACCATTTATATGAAGATCAATGAGGAGTCCTACATTATTTGCATACTACTTTACAGGGTTGTCAAAAAATTGGAACATTTGTTAATTGTACATAGAACATACAGTATTCCTCTAAAATACACTTGAATTTTACTGAGGATAGCTTGTTCAATTGTTTATCAGCTGTAAAGTTTATAGGGACAATCCACAAAATGAATGCATTAAACTAGCCAATGTTTGATAAGACCCCCTTTCCTTAAATACACAATTTTGTCACTACTTTTTCAAATAATCCTTCTTTCGAAGCTTTAGGGAACATGTTGATTGCTACTCACACTTACTAAATTAAATAGCATTGAGTTGAGTTGACAAGAGGTATTAACTTATATTGTTTAGTCAAATTGTGTTCAGGCTAAGAAGGAATGTGTCAGAGGTGAGTGACTGCATAACCCGCAAAGCAATTCAAGTGATGAAATCATGGTTTCCATTTTCACTGACATACCAGATATTTACAAGGCCTTAAAGACCAACTCTGAGCAAATATAATATCATTTAAGTGTTCTGGAAAACAAACCTCTTTTAGAAACTAAAAAGAAAATTGTGATTACTACATCTTGGAACTATATTGGTGAAAGGGCCTTACTTATCAGTTGAAACAGACCCAGCCCTCATTCTGGTGAAATATATTTCATCAGTAATATACCCAACAATAAACATCAACTTGATATTTGATACCTGGAATCATACCTTGAATCAGTTTTGACACAAAATATTGATTATGTTACCAGATTTGACCTTTCAAGGCAAAAATATTGGAGGTTTGGCCAAGTTTGACAAACAAACTGCATATTGAATAATTTATTTTGAAACTGGGCCCTGGTTTGAACTTGTAATTCGGGAGAAGGGGAGTCATATCACAGTCTGGCAAATAAGGATTTTTTCACTATAGCCAAATTTGTCCAGAGACATTTGAAACACTCTCGCCAAAATATTTTTTGTCTGGCCATAATTTTGTCTAGTCAGCATAAATTTTGCCCTCATCTTAAACTGTGCATGAATTGCGAATGGTAAATTAAACTGCTTAAAATAAGTGGAAAGGCCACACATGTCTGTTTCCTGATCAATGAAGTTTCAGATTTGGGGTAGGCAGGTAGGTAGGTTGGGAAAATCTTACAAATAATTTTTTGAGGGTAAATTAGACAGAGCATGGTGATCAAATGTCTATACTAGAGTTGTATGTACTAACAATATAGATAAAGAAAATTGTGTTATTAGGCTATACTGCTAGAGTATGTATCATCAAAGAAGCTTTTATTTCAGAGTTTGGAGAGATCAATAGTTTGAAAATGTAGCATCTTTTGAATTGAACCTCTTTAAGATGAACATCATGAACTTTTTTTAGTCTAATGAGGATAAACAAATAAAGGAATCAAATGTGCAAGGAGTTCTAGACAGGTATCTGGTTGTTATAAATGAATTTTGACTTCAACAGTTTTTCATAAGTTATAAAGATGGCATTGCGATCAATACAAATACAATACCAGAATTTTTACCTCTGAGTAGGCTAACTTCCTGCCTGCTCACGGCAAAATTTGGATGAGTTTTCAGTGTTTTTTTCTAAATACTGATGATTATCTGGCTATTTTACTTCAAATTGTTTTTTCTCTAAGGTAGGTGGCTTTATGTTCTTCTATTCTGATCATGTTTTAGGTAGAATAAAAAGCTTTGTGAATGGGAATAGGATCAACTATGAAACTTCATTTTTCAAGAATGTCCGGGATAAAAACTGTGAAGTTTAATAGATCTAACATCCATCGCCAAAATTGTCGAGATAGATCGCAACTTATATCGCCAAATTTTTTTCACTCCCTGTTTTTGGCGTTTGGCGACCTCTTATTTGCCACACTGTATCATACAAACATTGACATGTTAAACACATTAACATGGCAGGCTGCATTTATAAACTTTACAGTACATTGGGATGAACTATGCTCAGTAAAATTTTGGTATAAATAAATTTTCTACATACATTTATGTGATGTTCCATTTTTTGGACCATCCTGTATATTAAGAATTCAACTTGCCTGTCTTTGGTCTGGACTTATTGCTCTTCTCCGACCCAATAATACTAGTAGATCCTCTGCCATCACTAATAAATGAATTATCTCTGAACTGGGCCTTAGATCCATGCAAGGATGATAATTCAACATCCTCCAGTTTTACAATGTTGGCTCTTGCACTAGCCATTGTCTTTCTTATTGCTTCGTGTGTTACATTTTAGTTTCTGGAAATAAAATATATATCTCACATAATTAACTAATCAATTAAAGTATCAAAAAATTGCATTTTGAGTTTGGTCTCTGTTGTTATACAGTATATAAAGTGGTCACATAAACATGTACATAAACATGTATGTGTATCGATTTGATGAATAAATTAATCATGGTTCTACTTCTTCTTATAATATATAGATATTCCAAGGAAATAATTGGCAAGAACATCAAGGCATTAAAATCTGACAAATTGTCACATGTGGTCAAAAAGAATAACAATCTGGACACTGAAGGCTGAACATGTCACAAAAAGTGGTTTATAAGAATATGTTACAGTTACTGTAAAGTTATATGACACTGATATAGATTTGCTGGTCTGTCAAAGCCAAATTATGGCACGATCACTCAATTCCTGGATATTCTTGGGGTTGAAAACCGTTGTCAGTGCCTAAGAAAAACTATTTCAACTATTTCTTACAGTTGGGGACATAAATAAATGACTAAATTGCTGAAGTGAGGATTTCCCATGTTAAAAATAAGAGAATTTACAAGAGGCCATACATCAGTGGATGAGATTATACAAAATGTAAAATATACAAATTTTAAGGGATATATATCTAGACAATATTGGAAATTATGGGCTTTCAGACCACCATAATTAGGAAATGGTGATCGAAAATCGACCTGTCATTTATTTTTGTCCCCAACTGTAGTTGACATATAGAAAAATCTAGCTGAATTTTATCTAAAAAAACCAAATCCAGCTTATTTTCAACCCTTAGATTTCAATGCACAAGTAATTGTGGGGCTGATTTGAAAATTCAACCACACATTTATGGGAGTAAACTTATTGAACAACCGAGCCTTGACTAGACTAGTCTAGCCTACAATTACAAAAATAAGATTTAAATTTTTTTTCTTTTTTGTTCATTTTTGACGTTAGTCTCAGGCGTTCATTTGCAGTTTTAAATATAATCAAACTACATATGAAGAACAGGTTCGTGTCTGATTAATACAAAAACCTATTACTATAGATAAAACGTGATTATTACCGTAGATACAATGTGAAGTGTGAAAAATTTGTATATCGTATTTTTCTCACGACGTCCGCCATCTTGATGCCCACTTCCGTCTCTAGGAACGGAAACACCCGATGACTCCGGAATCACACGAAGTTTGTACCACGTGACCAATAAATATGGCGGACAAAAAATTACCAGTTTTTGTTTAGATTTGTAAAACGCTTGCTCTAGACTTCAATCATAAAGCGATCGATTAAATTCACTTACAAAATGCAGTCGGAAAATGGGAAGGACAGATCTACCAAAAAGAAGAAAGGAAAAACATGGGCAGAAGCTGCTAAAATAGTACGTTTTCGAATCTTAGCCCAGAAAAATAAAAAATAAAAATGTTTTCAAATCAGTCAGTTTATTGCTCTGTTTCAAAACACGATACTTTATAATATTCACGTTTACTACCCATGAGTCAAGAATGCTGAGAATCTCCATTGATGCTTGTTACACTTTTCATGATTGATTATGGGCTCTTATAGACTATCAGATACATGTTAGTAATGTTTGTGCATACAATTATTATCTTGTTCCATGAAACATCCCTTAGTATCGTTGTCTGTATGGTAATAATATGGGAGAGTTGTCCATGCCTTGTACATTTAAATGACCTACCTCAATATGTCTATGGGTTAGCTTAATTGGCAGAAAGGGGAAATTTCATTTTTCATCAAGAAAGATGGCACCTCCTTTCAAAATGGCAGTAAGCTTATGGGAATCCTCATAGGCTCCTCATAACATCTGAGCCAGGTGCTGCAGAGCCTGGATGTACCAATAGATGGAGGGATTTTGAAAATTCCTGCACAAAATTATCAATATTAGAAAGCTTCACTTCCCAAAAATAAACATTATAACAATTCGATTAAGTGTAATAGTATATATATCTTCATCCTCCATTTGCAAAACTCTGTAAGTTATCAGCTGCTTCTGTGTTGATCAGGATTTCTCTTTATCCTCAAGTGAATATTTTCCACCAAGAAACCAAAATGGCAGTTTTGACCGAAATTCACAAACTTCAGCAATCATTCAGAAATCTTCACCTCTTTCAAAACTGCCATATTGGTTTCTCATTAGAAAATATCTACTTTAGGATATAAAGAGAACTCCTGGTCGTCACGGAAGCAGCTGATAACCTACAGACTTTAGGAAATGGAGATGTAGGGAACTTTTGGAGATCTAAAGTAAGTACCTGATTTCAGTTTAAGCCTTCATGGTTCAGGAGCGGCTGATTGGGGGCATGCAATAGCTATTCATCAAAAGTCAGCCTTTGAAAGATTAAACTTGAAATAAGTTAAATAACATTCAAGATTGCTTTTAAAAAATGAAATACTCAGGAATTTATTGAGGTGGGTTATTTGAGTAACTTTATGCAAAGCGTGGATCAAAACTTCTCCCAAATTGTAATCAGGGATGTTCTCAGGAATATTGTCCTGGCAGGGGATAAATACAATACATATCACATATGTTAGATTACAATAACCTTTACTGAAATATTTATTTTGTAGGTCCTAGAACAGTATGAAGTACCAATGAGCTATAAAGAAATACTAAAAGTTATTCAGCAAGAAAATCTGAAGGATATAAGGCAAGGGATATTTCTATGCATTCATTTCAATTTATTTATCAATCATTTTTGTACAACTGTTCTCTGCAGCTTATTTTGCAAACCTCTAAAAGTGAGGATGAGTTCATAAATTATGAAAATATACATGTAAAACTATGAACTATCAATATAAAAAAGGTAAAAGAGTGTTTATTCATATTCATCCCGTACATATTTGTGTGTTTTTCAAGACTTTAATTAATTTATTTTTTCTCCATGTTGCCAGGAGGTAAGGTGATTGGTGGTGTTGTGTGCATTTATTTAATATATTTATTGGCCTGATTTGGTTCTGTAAATAGCACATTGAATATTGTCTGCACATATATCTGAACTGTTTTAGTTTGATTTTTATGCATAATAGAATATATCATCATACAATCATGATAGTTTCATTTGTTTGGATTTGGAATGGTTTGCCATTGTGTTTTTACAACTGGGTCTAACATTTTATTATTCCCAGAGTGATCACCTATCTGAGTGACAGAATGAAATGAGCTTCTTTCCTCCAAGATACAAGGTCTCTTTACACTTTATGATAACAGTTTTTCTTTGAACAGTATGTTGTTATAGCCCCTGAAGAATTTTGGGTTAAAAGATCGATGTAGCTCAAAAAGCTATATATTATCAGTTAAGTCCCTGACACCCCCTCTTAACTATACATGTATATGGAAAATGTTGACACACACAATTTTTAACAAAAAATATTATTACATGATTATTATTTAACTATAGTTTTTTCGTTCATGCCATTAATAATTCGCTTTATCGACAAGGTCTACCTTGCTCATCCCGAAACTATCATCAAGTATCGTGTTGACGAGTCTTTCATATTCATTTATTAGATGGGTTTTATATATTGGCTGTGCCATAGTGAAAAAGGACTTCACATTTTGAAAAACTCCAAAGTATTTCCTATTTGGAGAGGATTGTGGGATATACACTGGACAAAAAATGGCTGATGGAATTCCCTGGGAATCAATGTCGGGGAAGCTTTTTTTTTTTCTAATGCTAGGGATTAATTATTCAGCTTCGTCATTGCAAAGGGTTGCAAAGGGGCTTCTGACACAGCAGTTATTTTTTAGGTATTCCTAATGCAAGGTTGACTAATTTTTGTAAAGCATAATGAAAATTAATAAATGTAACATAATGTTCACAAATCATATTATGATGTTACTATTAATAAATTTATAACTGCTGAGCCCCTGTTGTAAACCTGTATACCACAGGGCATACATATCCCTCTTGGACATATCCCTAAGGTAATATAAATTGCATCATTTTGATGTTAATTGAATATTTGGGAGTAAATTAATTAAAATTCACATAATATTAGTTTTCACAAAATAAGTTTTATTATAAGCACATTTACATACATGTACTCTTCTTGTTTGTAGTTGTGATTTATTCTTTTGCTTTATTTTATCAATATTTATTATTTAAAAGTATATATTTCTTTCTTACATGTAGTCAAAAGATATAGTACATGCAAAAGTAAATCTATTTCCATTTTTATCCATAATTAACATTCGGAAGAACTGAGTGTACATGTAATTCAATAGGGCTATCTTATGAAAATTTTAAAAGTACCTAAATAAGTTTACATTTCAATGTAATTATATCATGATTTTGTTTTTTGAGATGTTGTTGACAAAGTAGACCATGGAAAGCATAAACAAATTATAATTGATACTCACTAAATCATTTTTTAATTCAGTCATTTAACATTTGTTTTGACTTCATTTGTTTTTTAACCCCTGTTGTCTTTACAATTTTTTTTTTATAGTGGCACGACCCCTCTAGCTTGCCTGAATGCAAGTCTGTATGCCAACTGTAGGGGAACAGACTCATTGTTCTACAAAGTTGCAGGACGTATTGGTGTCTATGGAATGATGGTGAGTAACAAATCTTAGTTTGTGCCTTCCTTATTCCTCCAACCTTAAAGAGAGAATCGGATCTAGCAAGCGGGAAAAATTGTTTCAATTTTAGAATATTTCTGGTTCATGTCATTCCTATGTCTATTTTCTAAAAATCCCTAAAGTGCACAATTTATTTTAAACAGGAAAACTTTTTTTGCAATAATGTATTATTGTTACCATTCTTATTATTTGGGAGAATTTAAACATTTTCACCCATTTTTTGTACTTTGAATCCATGATAACTTCATCAGTTCACAACATATTTTGGATCTTTTGGGAGATATTGTATTTGAGATTGTAAGGAATAGATTGGTAGGTCAATTGTACATGTTGCTTGCAATTTTGTCACCCCTATAGATCTGATTTTAATTCAATATTATTGGATTTCTGTTCTTTTAGATTTCATCACAGAATGACCATCCCTCAGGGACCTCTCTTCTATTCAAAAATGTGTTTAATATTTCAGTACAGAATGACCTTCCCCAGGGGCCTTCCTATTCAAAAATGTTTCAGATTTCAATACAGAATTACCATCTCACAGGGACCTTTCTATTCAAAACATGTTTTATATTTCAGTACAGAATGACCAGGGACCTCCCTATAAAATACAGGCTTTATAATTCACTCGAGAATGACCTTCCCAAAGGGGCATCCAAATTCAATTAATGTTTTTTATATTTCAATACAGAATGACCTTCAAATTCAGTTCATGTTTTATATTTTATTTCAATTTAGAATGACCTTCCCAAAGAGACATCCAAATTCAATTCATGTTTTATATTTCAATACAGAATGACCTTCCCACAGGGGTATCCAAATTCAATTCATGTTTTATATTTCAATTTAGAATGACCTTCCCACAGGGGCATCCAAATTCAATTCATGTTTTATATTTCAATACAGAATGACCTTCCCACTGGGGCTTCCCTACTGGAAGTGGAAGAGGAGCAACAAGACATTATAAGCCTGGACCCTGACAGTGACATGTCAGACCTACACCACAACAGGGAGAAGTCTAAAGACAAGAAGAGAGATAAAGGTAATGTTAAATAATGCATGATCACTTCTGTTCCAACACTCCTAAAATGTAAATGTAATATTAGAAAATTTCAATTTAAGAAGTTCTATACCGATGTTTCAACAAAGTAATCTCTTGTATAATCATATTTTCTCAATTATTTTCCAGTTATGTATGTGAATCTGCCTAAAGGTTATAAAACAATCCCACCCACAGATAGCATCATCCAGCCAAGTAGTACTGAAGTAACTATCTCCCAACCCAATGGAGAAGCCACCCTTGTACAGGTTGTTGACCCATCTCTAGCTAAAGTACAGATACGAAAGCCATTAAGACATAAAAAGCGTAAAAAAGCAAAGAAACGCCACAAAAAGAAACCAATTCCTAAGATTACAATCAAACCTATCTTACCTCCTAGATCTGGTAAGTAGAGGATGTAAATAATGTGAATGATCATAACATTTTCTTTAGAATATCAAAAATCTGAATAGCCATATTAATGACATAGTTTGAGAGAATGACCTCATAGATTGCTAATTCTCTGTTTAATCTCTAAATCAGATTTGGCTGATTTTGTTCATTTTACACAAAACATCTATTAAAATATGTGTTTGGGTCTAAGAATAAGTATCATGTGAAATTGTCAATGTTGTTTTGTAGAAATTGATACCAGTGATGCTCAATCTAACAGTGAAAGTTCACGCAGTTCCCCATTGTGTGTGGGTCCAAGCGCTAGTACCAGTACAACTAACAGTAACTCTACCTCCACTGCACCAAAGACTCAAACTTTACGAGAAATGCTATCATCAATTCCTGGCTTCAGTATGAAGGTAAGGATAGGCACATGTCTCCATTATTTTACTTAAGTAATGTCATCCCTTCGATGGGATTTGCTACACCTTTGTATTACTGTTATCTAGTTCTTTCTGGCTTGCATTTGCAAGATACACTGATATTTTATTTTTCAAATGTTGAGTTTATACGTGCAAATCTAGGACAGCAGTCACTTCAATAGAGGTTTTTGTAACAAATTATTTTTTTTGTAACATGGTCATATTGAAATAAAATACAATACACTAATACAGTCTGTGTTATTATTTCTTAATAAGATTGACAGTCGCTGTTAACCTGCAGAGATCACGATAGTTAAAAAAACTTGTTAGCCATAGTGGCTAAATCTTCGAAAAAAATTTTCGCCAACCAAAATATGAATTAGCCATTTTGAAAAACCTTAAAAAAGGGAACATTAAAATGATCCAATGTCTGATGATGACAGTTTCACTTTCAGTTTCACTTTTCAAAATCATATTCAGAAATAAAAAAAACGTCAATTAAAATTGAATGTAAAGCATCTGCCGCAAATGTGATGGCATTTCACATAGTCTGCACGGTGTAATATCACCAATTCGTTTACCTTGTGATATCGGAGTCCCAAAAGACTTCCAAACTGCCGACTTTTTCGACTTAGATGCCGGCTCGATTTTTCAATTTCTTTCCTACATCCGGCATACTGATAATGCACTCGATTTGCGAACGACGATGAAGAAATTTACGAACAAGTATAACCATCTACCTGAAATCGCGGGTCCGTTAATAACACTTTTCAATGCAAAGAAGTGTAATCTAGGTACGAGGTAAGTGAAAATATTTAATTTTTCAGAACGAAATCGGAGGTGTTCCTCGCTATTTATACACGTTTTTATGCATTTTAGGGAAGGAATGTATGTACCGATATTAACCCATTCTGTCCCATGTCCCGAACCGAAGCATCTGGACCGAAATTCGGTCCAATATCGGGAAACCGTGACACCTCTAATTCGCCATAACTGCGAAATACCTTTACATATTTTTCGCCACCTCTTTCGAAAATTCGCGATTGGCGAATGGCGAACGTCTACCGTGATCTCTGTAACCTGTATATGTATATTTGAGCAATATTTTACTTTGAAAGTAAATCTTATGTGCATTGTCTTTCAAAAAATTATCTAATCTTTCAAGCATTTTAATGTGTTATACTCTAAAGATATGTTCGCTGTTGTAGCCAAGGAAACGTTCCCACAAGAAGCTCAGTCCCCAAGCTCAACTTGAACAAACCAAAGAAGGCTGCGTAGATCTGGAGACTCCCGACTCCATTCTCACACATACCAACCTTAGAGTAAGTATATGATTCCATTGATTCTTACGCATATCAACCTTAGAGTGAGTATATGCTTTCATTTTCACACAAACCAACCTTAGAGTAAGTTTATGATTCATTTCTCATGCCTACCAACCTTAGAGTGAGTATATGATTCCATTTTCACACAAACCAACTTCAGAGAGAGAGTATATTATTCCATTCCCACACATACCAACCTTAGAGTGAGTATGCGATTCAGTGCTCACTCACATATATCAAATTAAGATTCAGTATATGATTCAATTTTCAAACATACCAATCTTAGAGAGAGTATATGATTCCATTCTCACATATACCAACCTTAGGTTGACTGACCTGTATTAATAATTTTTTGTAGGATCTGATCAACAAAGACACATTTGCTTGCCTTCCTGCTGCCTACCAATATAAGCTGCTCCAGTTGTTGCCTGATTGTGACAGAGTAATTGAGACCAATGTAGTCAGCCTTGGCCTCACTGCCCTCAATAACGAGTTCTTTGCTAAGGCTTGTCACGAGTGGAGACAGCGCCTCTCAGAAGGTAATGAAATTCAAACCCTTTTATTCAAAAACATTTTTGCCTTGTTATGCAATATTTTGCCATATTAGTATTACATCTTGTTTTGTGGTTTTACTTTGTCATGAAAAATTATAATAAACTTTTAATAATTTTTTGCCTAATTGAATTTCATCTCAGTTTGAGTATTCAAAATAAACACTTAAGACATATGTACATCATTTCTATTTTAATGAGATCTGTTTTTAAAATTGATTGGGATCAGATCATGCTGTAGATTTAGTTGTATAAGATCGGGTAAATGCAATAAAAATAAGTTGTGTATACTAGAAATCCAGTCTTATATCAGCAAAGAATGTTTGAAGTAAAAACAAAAATATTTGCCTTTTAATGAATCTTAGCAGAATCCTGTTACTGTAAGAATGTTCTTGCAGAAATTTTGCATGAAATTTTGTTCTTGTGTTCTTTAAAGACAAATGAATTCTTATGAATTTGCCAAAATACAAGTGTAAACATTCACTGTAAGGAGGTGTTCACTGGAGACCACAGTAAGCGCCATATACTGTATCCTAAATATAAAGAACTGAGAGAGAGATTTTCAAAGCACATAACTTACTGTATGAATAATAGTAAAGTTGTTTTTTATCTTGTCATAGGTGAGTTCACACCTGAGAATCAGATTCGGATCAAGCAGGAGGAGGAGAAAGAGCAACAGAAACTCGACCCTTGGAAAGTTAAACATTTTGAAACAACCTGGGGTGAAAAGTAAGAGAATATTGTTATTAAAGTTTAAAAATTAAAACCTAACAAATATAAATTGAGTGACAATATTTTTTATTAAAAACACTGTTCCGGCATCAGAATGTTTTGAAAATTGATAGTTCCAAGTTATTCTTATCGAGATGTAATGATGGAAATCAAGAGTCTAGTTTTTATTAATATGAATATGTTCATTAATTAATCCTTGTTATTTTTTTTCAGGCCTTCAGTTAAATCTCCAGAGATATCAATGAGTATGCCATTGTTGACTACAGCCCTGTCCTCAGTTCCAGCCTCATCTTTAGTACACAAGACTAAACCTACTGGGAAAACTGTAGCTACTATGCTGAAACAACGCCACCTAAGCACTAGGATACGATCTGGGACCCTTGCTCTATCTCATTCTAGACATGTCTCTTCAGGCCCTGTGTTGGAATCCAAACCAAAATCAAATGAGTCCTTGTTGAAACCCAGTGCATTCAAACAAGTTCCTAAAATCGAAGATGAATCAAAGCCTCTGATAATTAATCCAGTCTCAAGTTCAACGATTTCAGCATCAAGTTTAACAAGTACAATTTCAAAACTGCAGGATTCTATTAACAAAGGTGCCATGAGTAACAAAATTGAGGGTTCTACATTGAAAGCTGTCTCTGCTCCTGACACTGCCCCAGAGAGTAACAAGAGTCTCCTTCAGCAATTAAAGAGACCCCTTCAAATAGCGACAATTGACATATCACCCACAAAGAAACCAAAAATCTCACCCAAAATTTCTCCGGTTAAATTATTGAATAAACTCTCACCTGCAGTGATGGTTAATCCACCACAACGATTGAAAACTGTGGCTCAGATTAAGGCACAGATGGCTGCTCAACAGGCCTCCACTAGCTCTACTAAGGTCCCTGGTGGGCAGACAAGAACACTTGCCAGTATAAAGGCCCGTACAGCTGCCCAGAAGCTCCAACATGGTAGCCCTGTTGCTAAGCCTGTGGGTCAGACAAGAACATTAGCTCAGATCAAGGCTCAGACTAAAGCCAAGCTTCAGGCCCGGAATGAAGCCCTGAATGCAGACAAGGGGAAACACAGACCTAATATAATCACTCCTAGAATAAAGAAAGTGTGCACTGATACAAATAACGATGGAATTAACATGCAACGATCCTTGGAGATTTGCCAGGCTGCAATGGGGAAAACAAAAATGTTGTCATTATTGAATAAATCCAGTAGTGATAGTGGAGAGACAAGCAGCACTGTTACTACTGTAACAAGTCCGATTTCTCCCACTCAGGCTAAACCTGTTACCCCCAAGCCTGTTATATCAGCCCCTCCTGCCACACAGGTGCTACAATTGAGCTCTATTCCCTCGGTATCATCCCCAGTTGCTTCAACTGTTCAACAGTCGAGTAATGGACCATTAAAAGTTGTGCTATCTCAGCCTGTTGCCCAAGTGAGCACTGTACGTCCACATACACCCATCTTAGCCTCACAGCTCCAACAGGTGACCACCACCCCTGTACCAGCTGTAATCAACACAGGAACCCCCATACTGGTCACCCCTCTCACTGCAGGAGGTATGGCAACTATCCCAACCATCCCCGCCATACAGGCAGCCACTGCCTCCCCACCCAACCCTGTTCTATCTAACACAGTGCAACAAATTCAGAATCTCCCTCCTGGATCTAATGTTATAGTGCAACAGGACCAAAATAATCTTGGACAGAACCATTTTTTATCATATTCCAAAAATAACATCTCTGGTTCAACGTTGGTAACGGATGACAATCCGAAAGTGAAAATTGAGACTAAAGAAGCTACAGGAGGTCACGGCCCCCCAAGAGCTTCAAGTGCACCACCTATTAAACATATTACATTGGTGAGCACAGGCAAAGATACTGGAGTATATAGGATTAGTATATCACAATCCCCAGTGAAAATCATAAAAACTGAAGCTGATATTGAGCCGATAAAGAGATGTACATCTGTACCAGCTACTAAGACTTCTATAGTTGTTACTGCCCCAGACTGTAAACCTACTGTGAAATTAGAACCAAAATCAGTGTCAACAATTTCCAGTATTTTAGATTCTGTTCCAAAACTGCGTCAACAACTGAATGCTGGTATTAAAATGGCCCCTCAAGGCTTAATGGGGCCACCTACTAGACAAGCTATCCAGAGTTTACGCCCCTCTCATGTTCAAGGGATCACAGGAGAACAGCTGAATAAGATAACACCACAGAATCAGAACAGTTGTGCCTGCAGCTTGAAAGCGTTAGTAATGTGTAAGAAATGTGGTGCATTCTGCCACGATGACTGTATAGGTCCGAGTAAACTGTGTGTGACTTGTCTAATGGTGTCTGCCCCTACCTAGATCACCATGGCACTTGGATCTCACTATTACTATGTCATTAATGTAAGTCTGATCAGTGCAATTTCATTGAAATTAATGTAACATAAAAGTTTTGAACATTTTAGCAGAGCCAAGCAAGTTTTATTTGAACAATTAAGGATAGTATTCCATACCTGCCAACCACTTTGGAGTTTAATAAAAAAAAGATATCATAATAAGAGATTGATTCAAGAAAATTGGCAGGATTAAGTTATAAATGAATAGTAAAATAAAAATCAGAATCACCTTGGAGATGCCCCAAAAACAAGAAATCTATTTAAATTGGGAGTTGACAGGCAGGTATGAAATTCTGTGCTCAGTGGGATTAAAGTGAATTTTAAGAGGGTGTAAATATGAGAGAAGCCTGATATGAGCTAAGAGAATATGTACAAAGTTAGTTGAATATGTGTGTTAAATTGGCAACAGGGTTGTAGTATACAATTTTCAGTTAATTAAGATCATGGTTTTGTATGCTAGGTTTGGCATCAGCACTGGCCCATTAAGATGATTTACAGGGAGTTGTTGTCCAAACCTGCTGATAATTCATAATCATATAATGCATATAGTCCTTGGAAAATAAAATAGTTTTTAGTTTTTACTTCAAAACAAAATCAAAATATACCTGTCAGCATCAGATGTAAATTTTAATATGTATTCTTGATATGTTTCAGTTTGTTATTTATTTTTTTATCACTGTTATTTCTGCAGCCACTAATTATATGGTAGGCCAATATCAATATCATCACAAAATCAACAGCAGAACTGTCGATATAAATTTTAATTTATTTTGTGAAGTGGATTGTCTGACATTTGTTCAATATCAGATTTATATTTATAAATACATGTATCTCCATTTATTTAGGATCCTGGAATGATATGGATCTTTAAGTCAAAATGTCTCAAAAGTACATCTTGTATCTCACAAATAAAATAATAAAAGATTAGTTACAATTCCAATATTTATCCCAGAATAGTGTCGCTCAAGTTTTTTGGAAATTCAATTAAATGTGTTGCTGCTGGCAGGCTGGAGATATCCTGTAATTAGGTCACTGATACTACACGATATCAGTTATGTATCTCTCAAATTTCAGTTTTATATGTTCTTAAATATCTCAAATTGCTGAAGGAAACAATGCTTGGAATGATGAGTGCCTTATTCCCATTATATTACAATACAACTGTACAATGTTGTACAATCATATAAATATTCTGGAACAAGAACAAAAATTATGTATTTGTACTTTTGTGTCAGTGTAAGGTGTGAACCCATGTTTAATTAATTCAAATTGTGCAATATACCATACATGTACTAGTATGTGAAATAATCTGACAGGGAAAGATGCAAATATTTGTTATTTTAATTGTATATTTAAAGTGCCAGAATGATCTTAAATGTAAAAGAGTTGTTTACCAAATTAAAAAATATAAACTTTTCTTTGAATATTGAAAGTATCTCAAGAGATCTGTTAATACATATTTATACAGAAAATAAAGTGCCATTTGATATACCCTGGTATTGTAACACATTGCTTGTCCATGACACTAAAACCTAATTTGCATAAATCTTGTGACAAATATCTATCTATCACATTGAGTTCCCATGTTTTTTTATTTGTCATGCCTTAAGAATATCTGTAATGGCTTTTAAAAGGTTAAGCCTAAAATGCAATTTCTGTACAAGTTTTCAAGCATTTTCAGTCTAATATGAAACTACTTAACTAATCTTGTAGTAGTTTGACAACTGGATAACCTGATGGGAGAAGTTAAATTATCAGGCTGCAATTGATAGAAAAATACCTAAATCTAAGTGTTGTATGTTAAGGGATGTTGGTTAGAAAGAGAAATAAAAGAATATTGGTGAAGATATAATAAATAAATTATTTTTGTCATTTATGTATAATGCTCTGAAAGACGTGCTTTACTCTTGCATTTTTAATTATACGTGTTATTTACTTTTGATAAATGGAGCAATTTGAATACAATATACAGTTTCTTATATTTCCACAATTTTCCTTGGAAGACATTTTCTCCAAAACCTATGGGTTAAACCAAGCAGAGTCTCATGAAACTACTTTCACAAAATTTTCAAATTACAATTTCTTTGAAACAGCTAAATTATCTGCTATCTTATTGGGTGAAGGAACATTTTGGATATATGAGAGGAATTTATCTAGATGATAGTTGGCCATAGGCCTGATTTGTTTTAAAAGATAAAACTAAAGTGGAAAACGTTTCAAAGGAAATTGTGGAAAAAATGTGAAAACTTGAAAAAACAGATGATCACTTGAAGATACTGTTTATATAATTTTTTTTAATTCATTTGACTCCTTTTAAGGACCCAAACGTGTTCATTGTTAACCATTTGGCAAAATGACATCATAATTCAAATCACATCATTGTTCAAATATAGCTATATTGTAAAACTCCCTAAAAGTGTGTGCGGATGATGTTCGTTTTTAAAAATGTTAACATGTCAGTATTCAGTAGAGCAAACTAGGGTGATATAAATGACCACCTCTGCACTAAGGTTCCAATACACCATTGACCTCCATTCGAATTTTTAGTGAATGCAAAATTAGATATTATCCCTTTCATCCCCAAGGGTTCATTTTATCAGTTTTATTACAAAATGACAAATACCCTAATGAGCAGAATGGATTATTTTTAGGTTTACAAGAACAAATTCAATGTCAAATTTAACTTTGGAGATTATTTAAGAGTTTGAGAAATGCAAAATGCACCAGAGTTTTTGTTTTCTGTAGAAATGAGATTCAATATTTGAAAATAGTGTGTACATTTGGGTATTTAGTAGGTATGTAAAACACAAATTACTTATTTTCTTCTGAGAATATTAAGATTGCAGCACGAGTGTATTGAGAATATGCATCTTTGACTTGACATTGGGTATCATCATATCCTTGTCCCCTTATTATCTTTTTAAATATGCCCTTAATTATACCACGATATTGAAACATGATAATAATATTCTGTTGTGTTGCTTAGACCACAAACTTTGTTGTTATGGACTTTTAGATTGAAAATAGAAACCAATTGTCAAAATTTAATTGAAAAGCACGATTGATTTCTTAATTTTACCCCTTGGTGATGAAAGGGCTAATATCTGATTTTACATTCAGTGAAAATTCAAAGGGAGGCTAGATTCTTAAAGCTGACACTCTCAGCTTTCCAACGGTGTATTGGAATAGTGCAGAAGAGGTAAAAAAACACTAAAGAGTGCGTGCACTTTGAGGCTCTATTTTGCTCAAGTATACATGTATACTGTGTAACTTATAACTCACCTTATGCAGACGGAGCCTGTGGGAAATATTTGGTGCGGCAGAAATGAGCGTTTGTAAGTCAATGTTAACTGAAAGGTCATTTCTTTTTTAAAGTTGTACTCAAACCATTTTATTTATGCTGGTGAACCATCAACACTTCCAAAAGTTCATTTTATCATTAGGCTATATTAAGAAATTCTCCATCTAAAATGTCACTCGACTTTTTGGCAATTAAAAGTCCCTGCCTGCATTTAGTAGTCATATATTGTCATGTGCATAATTTTGAAACCATATCCTAATTATTTCACAAACCCTTTGTTGATTCTGCCGTCTGAGAGTATGGATTATTTTTATGAGAATATGTATTTGTTATCTACACATTTTAGAACAGATGAATATTCGGCAAATAATCATTCAGTGTATTTATTTAAAAAAGATCAGATCTGTACGGTGACGCATCTGCTGTACGGTGACGATTCCTTAGATTTCATGAAGTGTAATATATGACCTCAGTATTAACTTAAGATTCCATAAGTTTTTGTGTGGAAATTCAAATGTTGTATCCCATTCAACATTGAAAAGATCAATTCTTATGTCTGATAACAAGGATTAAATACTGAAACACATTCAACTCTAAGCTTACTGTTCGAACAAGAGGTAAAGAAGCGTCAGATCTACATTATCACTGGTAAGTATCAAGCGAAGGTTACAGCCGTCACCTTAGCATTTAAGATGGCGGACAGGAAGTATCAATTTCGATATTTTTAGTTTTCATGGAATTAACTATTTGAAAGTTGACGAAATGCTTTGATATCATTTGAAATACAGACCAGGCTTTTCTCATATGACTAACAAAGATAGCCTACATAGCCATCTTTACCCCATGCACGATATTGTATCTTTCATCCTAAAAGTCACACGTGCAAGATGAGATTTACTTGTGACATCCCTTGTTTTAAAACAATAATAATATAACAACAAATATACTGAGTTTTTGGTTTCATGACCCCTACCGTATCACATATTTCCAGTAACCTTCCATTAAGCGATGGAAGATATCGTTGAATTGTAGCGCCCATGCACTATATATGAACAAATGATCATACTCCAAAGTTTCCATTTCATAAAAGCCTAGTCTCATTCAGTTCATCAAAGCATAACGCCAACTATAAAGAATTCGATGAAAACTAAAAATATCGAGATCGACACTTCCTGTCCGCCATTTTAAATGCAAAAGTGACTGCAGTAACTTTCACTGATCATTTTGACAACATGTATACGAGGGATACTTGATTGGATCAACATTTGAACTTCCATACCAAAACTTGAAGTAATAAATAATGAATTCTTTATATTACTTCTCACAAATTATAATGAATCGTCAACGTACAGCTGATGCGTCACCGTACAAATTTGATATTTTTTAAATATACATAATAAATGGTTGTTTGTTGAATCTTCGCCCGTTCTAAAATGTGTAGTCGACAAATACATATTCTCATAAAAATAATCCATACTCTCAGACGGCAGGGAAAATAATAACCAAACAAAATGTGAAAAAACAACCTTTTTTCACTCTGGTCGATTATGTGGGCCGATTCACTCAAAAAAATCCGAACAGTGCTCGTAAAACATTTATCATAATTACAATGTTAAAACCATTCCTAAGAGAATGCTGTTTTCATTTCACATGAAATCGTATTAGTTTTCATCAAATTAATTTTTTTTAAACCCATGTCATAGTTTTTGGTTCAAAGCAGTTAATTTGCGTCACCGTACAGAAAACTGTACTCCGCTATTTTTTGACGCTGTACGGTGACGCCTACCTACGCGATGGTTAGGCGTGTATTAGAGAGGTTAAGCTACACGTATTGAAAACTTGAACGTGAACTTCAATGCGCGTGCAGATAAATGACGTCAGATTTGTTTATTTCCTGTGGACCAGCGTGAAGTTTACAGGTTTTTACATGAGCTTATCATATTCGTGCAATTTACAGACGCGTATTCAACAAAGCATGAACGTGTACTTCTATGCGCGAGCAGGAAAATGACGTTAGATTAGTCTACTTTCTACAGGTATTAGCCAGTCTCCGAGCCTTTCGTCCAGTGCCATCCGTACCTCCTGTGCCTTACGTAGTGAAGGTACGCAACGAACGAAATGAATGTTGAGAATGGGTATTAGCGTGAACGTTGTTACGCGGTAAACACGATACAAAAATATGTCATATTCCGCAACGAATATGGCATATTCACTTGCGGTGTATGACAGATTCACCTGCGGTATATGGCATACAAACTAACCAATGAGAACGTGATACGGAAGTACGCAATTGTCAATTGAATCGACTGAACGAAATAGTAAAACGTTATTAATTATTGTAATGATTACTGAATCAACAGTACTGTGTATCGAATATATGAACTTAGCAGAAATATCAGTCACCAATCTCGCGTAATAAACTTACTTAATCAATCCAGGATTCATATATTAGTAGTCGACGTACTAACTATAATGGTAATCCAACGTAGTTTTACTTTTAGAGTCGATTTTCGCAACCAATCAAATCAATGCTTTCTGTATCACGTTTTCACCTGCGGTATATGTCATATTCACCTGCGGTATATGGCATATTCCGCAAGTGAGTATGACATATTCCGCAGGTGAGTATCGGGTATTCACTGAAATCAATGTATCGCATATTCACTGCGGAATATCGCATACTCACCTGCGGGATATGCCATATACCGCAGGTGAGTATGGCATATTCACCCGTATTTCAAAAACCGCGCAACCATGAATGTATGCCATATACCGCGTAACAAACGTTACATGTTTTGACGTGTAGATGAGTGATTACACGGCGGCTCATTACGTGATTGATTTTAGCTGTGTTCTTGGATGGCCCGGGAGCCCATATTTGATACAGACAATCTTGCTTGTTATATTGGTTCAATGGGTAAATGACAACTTCAAATGTGATTGTTTGTTATCCGCACAATATAAATAGGCAGGGCCAATTTGATACCCGGGGCTTAGTACAATATGTATACTAAATGAAATGAAATGACAACCAACCAGGGCCTACGATTTGATTTGCGAACGAGGTATTTTCTTTGTCTTACGTCCGCCCTTGTGTGGAAACCATCAGATTCCAATGGAGGCCATTGGTTTTTTTCACAAAATACCTAAAATACACTATGACCTGAATCGATTGCAAATTAAATAATTTCACAATATGACACAAATGGTATATCACATCAAAAGCAACTTTTACGCTTATGAAATGCCATACAACTTTGTTAATCCAAAGATTATACTGTTATGTTTCATTAATTATTCATCAATACAGTGCTGAGTATAGGTCAACAAGATACTAGTGTACATATAAATGTAATAATAAAAGCAGTATATTCATTTTGAAAAATTAGATAATTCATTTTTGATCATGGGGAGATCATAATGGAGGGCGCACTAGATCCTTTAATTGTGGTTGAATATGAAATAAAGCATACAGTAAAAAAACAAAATGTTTTGATGCGACTAGATTCGAACTTAGTAACGGACACGAGTTCGAAGTGCTATTCATTACACCATAGAGACATGACCTTAAAGACAGAGTCACCACATAAAGAAAAATTTATTAAACGTGTACTTGAGCGTGGACCTACGCGTTCAGGTTCACGGTTTGCATTTATACGTGTAGCTTAACCTCTCTATTTACCGTCGGTTGCGTCACTGGTATACATGTCTCCCAGTTTTTCTGTACATTTTATGCCTGCAAGATGAGCGTATTCTGTCCAAAGATGGTACTGTAGTATGCCTTTGAACATATATTTGCTGCAAGGGTATTTTATATACGTATATGATTAAGTATAAATGAAGCATAAATAAAGTCCTTTGAAGAAGGATGACCATTGGGGTCCCCAAACAGGTTTTTAATACAACTACTTTCCACATACCACGCAATAAACAAACCGAGTAAGGATACGGTTGGACAAGAAACACCCTTTTTACAGGTAACAATTAAATTTATTTCATCACGTTTCACTGCCATCATTTATTGGTTTACATACACTTACCTTTATAGTGACAAAAAACAAGTTCTACAATTAATTATCATTCTCAAGTTAGGATCAAACACTCAAGCTCAAGTTTCAGTTTATACGTTCATTTTACAAGTATATTTACAAGAAACACATTTCATTTTTACAGGCTGTCACGAAAGAAAAATACAAAATCATTCCATCCTGAATCATCACATTTTGTCACTACAATCCGGCAATGGAATTCAAGAAGTCTAACGTGGAAGGTATCCTTTTCTATAAAAATATATACAATTTGGGGGAGGTTTGGAGGACTAAACGTGAGTAAAAATCGAAGCTATTACTTTTTTCAATGTCACTTCTCAGCTTCACTGGACGTCTGTAGAAGGGGAAATCAAAGTACAGACATTTGACTCGGATCAGTACTTGTTTAAAGGGCTGGTCATGTGTTGATTAGCAAGATACTGATCGGCTAAATTGAATGATCACATTGATCACAGGGCCGTTTGACAAGTTTTTCCGGTGTAGAAGTAATTTAGGTCCCCCTAAAAATGTCCCCCGGACCATTTTCACCTGGGAAATATTGTCCTATAGCTAGGGGTGGATGGTCCAGATGGGGCAATTTCTAAGCCTTAAAGTCTCCCATGGAAATATTTATCAATGATGAACTTTTAATCAAATTAAAATTAAGCATTTATACGGAGATAAATTATTGAATATTATTATATACCTCAAATTTATTCTAGATGCTCATTGGCTTATTCATGGTCACATGACATGGAATAGATGAACTAATTCCCTGGAAAGTCCTAAATCCCTGCTTTCAGGGAAGATGAATTGTACTAATCACCAGTTAGGTCATGTGACCAGTCAATAGTACGTTTTATCTTCCCCAAAATCTGAGATTATAGGAGTTGAAAGGTAAAATGCCTTTAAATGCCAATAAGAACCTGTGAACATTTGATATTGAAATGAAAAGACTTCTCATTTTGTTTTTGTTTACAGAGTACTTATCAGGTATATAATAAAACAAATAGTGACTGCCACATTTTCGGGAAATAGTGTAAAAATTTTCCTCTCGGGAATATCCTGTCCACTGACTTGTTCCCTCGGCCTGCAGCCTCGGGAACATGTCAGTGGACAGGATATTCCCTTGAGGAAAATATTTTGCACTATTTCCCTCAATGGCAGTCACTATTTGTATAATATACATTCTTATATTCGTCAATATGACATTTAATTAACAATATAAATATAAGCGTACATAAGCATTTACCCTTTCGTCCAGGACTCCTAAATGGGGCCATTATTACGTACACTCCCCTCCATAAGTTTGGCAACCTTAGCTCCCCCATTGAACTACGTGTTAAAGCCTCTTTACGTTTGAATTTGTATTTACTTAACCTGCCATGAAATAACTTATAATATTGATGGAAACGTAACTTGACTTTATTTCAAATACCTCCGAATTTTCCCAATTTTTTCTTCATTTACAATAGGTCGAAAATTGATGATAAAGATGAATTTTTGAAAATCGTCATTCCCGTGTAATCCAATGGGAAATGGAGGGTTCGGGGCAAATCAGAAATCAAGATATCCATTCAGTAAAAGATTCAGCAAAAAATATTTTTATATAGAAAATTGAATTGTCTGACTTTTTTGTACATTAAGTGTTTAGTTTACTTGAATACGAAAGTTACAGAGTTTCAAAGTCATTTTTGAAAATCAGTTTCGCCTCCTGTGTTATTTCAATGGGAGAGGTTTTTTGAAAAACAATTTTGACTTGAAAGACCTATAACTTTGTTGAACCTGAAGAACGTATCAATTTTTGGGTGGATGGATATTCTGTCATATGACATGCGACAAACGCATGATCAGCGTAGGGCGTCCCTTCGGCGGACGTAGTTTTACTTGACAAAAACCAAAGTAGATGCAAGATGGGTGCAAGGGGCCCTATGGCGACCGTGCGGTCTATCATTTCTACGCCCAATAGCAATGACACGGCTGCTGTGGTAATTCTTTACATGTTAGCAGTCACATTTGTTGCGGTAGCCGTACGGCGTATTTCTCTTGACAAATATAGCAAGGCATACGCAAGGCGACCACAGGGGCCCGTACGTTGATCCTACGGTCGCTTCAATTGTAATATTATTGCAGTTTACAAAGTTATAAAGTTATAAACTATAAAACTTTAGGGAAACCGCAAGCTGGCCGTACGCCCGCGCCCATGTACGGCCATCGTGGAACCTTCTCGACGTTCGGTTTGGCTACGGCTTGTTAACTTCTACGGTGACAGAAATGAAAACAGTTGTAACACCGAGTAACCATTTCTACGGCGTTTCTACGCCTGTAAAAACTGAACATGCCGTACGGAGACCGTAAGCCATTGATCAAAATGTGACTGGGGTTTAATGGTATAATATTTCCAAAATATCTCACAATCTGTTGATTGAATTTGCTCCAAATTTATAACTTTCATACCAGAGATACAAGTAATGGCATTTCCTGAATGTGACAAAGATATGCTGAAGGTCAAAAGTCATTATTTTCAGGTTTGTCAATGCATATGACGCCTTCCCTTTCGAATCTACTCGTATATTTCCAAACCTTGGGACATTAGCGTCGTTTGCTTGTCGTTTGTGGTTCTCATAGCATAGAACGAGTTTTTTTAATGAAAATTTTATTGCAACCGTAAAAACCTAATCCAAATAAAATGGTAAAAAGAAAACTGATATTTCAAACAGGTCTCTCAGATGAAATATATGTCAGTAAAAATGTATTAAAAATGTGATATTTTGCTCCACCATGGGGCTTTAAAAGCCCATGCCTTCACCCAACAAAATGAATCTATAAAATATGAACTGCCCGCGGTGCAAGTCAATCGCATAATATTTAATAGTGGGTTTTCCCCTAGGTATCACGAAAAAGAACAATAAGCCCCTGATGTGCAAATTAATTGGTCACACGTTTTCAACAAAAACAGTTCATCCAAGCGCACTTTACGCTAATTATGATGTCATGTCGGCTAACCGCCTGTTTTCAACCGCGTCGGCTAGTTGCAAGTGCACCATAGGAGTTCGATTGCAATAAACCGTGATGTCTTTCAAAAGAATTATGTGAGCGAAAGTGCGCTTGGATGAGCTATTTTTTGCATGCTCCGTCACAGCGGACAAATCTTTCGATACCAGCCTATGATTTAAAAGATAACAGATTCCAATGGGTCCAACTCCGCAAAACCGAAAGACCGTTAATCTGAATTTTCGACCTACCAGATGTTTGAAAATTAATAATGTAGATATTCGATGGAATTTGCTACACATTGACATTGCTGTATCTGGATTAACCTTAACCTTTTCTCAGAGCACCTCTTCAATTTGAACTTTGCAGTAAAACATTATGAACGAAATTCTAAAAAATGTGAGAATGAAGAAGAAACAGAGAAAAACGAACTAAAGGAGGTATTTAAATGTAGTAGTAGTAGTAGACTCGTAAGATCCTCCCCCCTGATATCTCCAAAAAATGTTGAACTACCTTTTTACTTTCTTGAAGGAAATCCTGATATTCCCCACATAAACTGGGAAAGATAAAAAACTTGCATTACTGGGCACTGTTTTTTTAATAGCTCACATGGTGAGCTATTGTAATCACTCACTTGTCCGTCTGTCTGTCTGTTCGTTTGTCCGTCTGTCTGTCTGTCTGTCAACAATTTGCCAGTTTTAAAACCTCTGTCAATAGGATTCCCGTTTTAAGTTATTTTTGTTCAACACAAGAACTAGTTCTGAAGTTAAAAGTGAAATACTAAGTGGAATAATAAATTGGTCCTGATTAATAACAAAGAGGTAATAAATCCCGGGTAATAAATAAGCATCTTTATGGATAATGGGGACATTTACGTAAATGACCACCTAAACGACCTGGGACATTTTTACAGTATTATGATTTTAAGGCAAAATACAACGTACAAATCAATTTTATTGATTATTATGCTATAATATTAGCTGTACCGAAGGAGTGGAAACGCTTATTGAAGCGAGACTTAACTTCTGTCTTTGAACCGTGCCTACAGACGGATCTTGTGCATTTAACACTTGTCGAAAAACCAGTGTAATTGAATGGTATAACAGTAAACTGGTAAAGTCAATTAAAAAAATATTAAATAAAAACAAATATTTGGAACCACTGTATAAAGATAAACATGATCGTGAATTAAAAAGAACAGACTACTTTAAAATGGCTTATAGCTGCACGACAAAACAAAATAAAATTCGATAACTCCAATTTAAGATTCTTCATGTATTTGTACCACAAATGCTTACTTAACGCAGATAGCAATTAAACAGGAAGCTAAATGTAGTTACCAGTTACTGTCCACTAAGAGACACTTTAAAGCACAAGTTTTGGGAATGTAGGCGGGTTCAGATTTTTTTGAAAGGTATTAAAGAGAATTTAGATGAATTATTTAATGTAAATCTTGTTTTTAATGCCCATGATATGGTGCTCGGAAGATCTTTAAATAATGAAAACACTTTGCTAAATACATATTATATAAATATATTAAATGTATTATTTCATGTTTGATTCAATAAAAAATAAAATAAAAAAACAAAACAAAAACATTTCAGCTGGTATTTATATGACAAACATAAGGCATTTTTAATATTTCAGGCAATACAGGATGGAAACGTGCAGCGTGCAAGAATACGTGCTGAAAATGCTATAAGACAGAAGAATCAAGCATTGCAATATGGATGGTTCAGTGCAAGAATTGATGCAGTAGCACAAAGGGTTCAAACTGCGATAACTTCGAAACAAGTGAGTTAACATATAGAAATCCTTAGTGTTAAATGTCTACAGTAAAACCGGTATATCCGAACACTTCTCTAATCTCAACAATTCACAATGTGAATATCCTTTTCAGCCCATTTCAAAAACTTCCATAGACTGAAAATTAAAAAAACTGCCAACCCAAATTAAATCCTTTTTGTCAGTCCCAGTGGCGTGGAGACAAACTTTATTGTATTTATGGGCCTGTGTAATGCAGACACAGTTCTAAATATTTTGATACATTTAACAATAAGTTTGATACATTTAACACCGAGTTTTGTCTATTTTAACACCAAGTTTTAACACTAAGTTAATGAAGAATGTTTTGATGTTTAGTTGACAGGATCGATGGCAAGATTTGTTCAGTCCATGGATACAGAATTGAAGAGTTCAAACTTGGAAAAGGTAAGTTGAAATCGCATTCAAAGCTAAACAGCATCACTCTCCTTTTAATGCATAAGTAAGACAAATTTTGGTCAGTCTGCAGTCAAGTACCACCATTATCTTTGTTACAATGGTTATGTCAACTGCATGGACAACGACGTTCTTCAGCTACGAAATTTTATATTTCAATTTTACATATCTCTCAAGGCCCCGACTCTAACATGAGCACATTGCTCGCGGGAACTTGCTCGCGATATACGGGGTCTGGATAGTCATCGTGATTTCAGTGTGTGACACAAGTGCAGCCTAGAAACCCACACTGCCAATTAGTTTTGACATGGGTCAACTGATTTTCAACATATTTAGGAAAGAACATGGAAACAGATTCATATTTAGTTAGTCTGAAACCCTTTAACCCCCTCTGTATTTTCTATTCGATCTATTTACTTTTAGGTGGCAGAAATCATGGACAGATTTGAAGAGCAATTTGGGGATTTAGGTGTTCAATCTCAGGTAATGGAATGCACCATCAGTAACACAACTACTCAGACTGTACCTCAGGCTGAAGTGGACAGTCTCATACAAGAAGTGGCTGATCAACACGGGTAAGTGAAAAGGTACAGCAAGTTGCTACTACAGTCGATATGCTTTAAAACACTGCACTAGACCGGCACTTAGACTACAAAAGATTTGCGTAATGATGAGAACCACCTGTAATGGTTTAATTCACAGGGGCTTCAAACTGAAAGATCTCTGATGGGTATAAATTACAAGATGTGAAGGTGTTCTTTTAATCATCAATATCTACAGATAACTAGCCATCAAATGGCATTATCCTGTTTTGCACAATTCACCTGCAACCGACTTCTTCAGTTCATAATGAGCTATATACATGTATTTTATTCTTCATTTAATGCCACTTTCGTTTAATTTAGTAAGCCCTCCAAGTGTACCTTGTATTGTCAATTAAATGACATATTTTATCTTATTTAGACTTGAGTTGAACATGGTCCTCCCTTCTGCATAATCTGCAACTGTAGCTACGGCCAGGGCAGCCTCGACAGATCGAGAACAAGATAAACTATCATAAAGACTTACTAAATTAAGAGCCATGTAATATGAGACCAAATCATAAGCACGACATCGACAATATATTGAGGATATCAACAGGACAACCAACTGTCAGATTTGAATGCAATAAGTCGAAAACAGAATACAATGTTTTTTTGGGGATTTATCTATATTGTAAACCCTTAGAAGTAATAAATATGGCTTCTCTAAGCCAAAATAATCTGAAGGAAAAAGCCAATCAGACTGGAACAAATTTGAGCGGGCTTTTTAAATTTTTATTTGAATTTCTATTGATGTAAGTGGAAATTCATGGCTAGGAACAATCATCGATATACTGTTAACGAATTAATTCAAGCCTCAGAATTGATGAGTTGATAAACAAACTAAAGCAAATGTTAGCTAAGTTTTGTGATGTTTTAAGCAATCTGCAAAGTTTCCCACCCTCCCATCCCCTTTGCTCTTACTTACGTGCATTTGAGGGTAGTTAATTAGGGTAGGTTTAGCGTAGATTAACAGTAGGTGAACCGTTGGGAAGTATCCCTTTGTATGGAAGTTTTGTTTTCTGATTACTTTGTTATGTAATCTAATGTAACTCTATGTAATTTCTTTTGTTATGTAATCTTATGTAACATTACGTGTGATTATACAATATACTTTCTACAGCTCCAAACACTTTTTTGTTGTTTCATTTATTTAAATCAAATAACACGAAAAATCAGAGGGTTACTCTAATTATTTTTAGGAGACCCGATCTCTTTAAGCGTTCCGTTTTTGTAATAATAGTGAGGAATAATTATGATCATTCTTGCGCCTTGTGAACTATTCGTTCATAAATTACTGTATTAGATTTTCATAAACATACTCTTTGCGCTAGTATATACATTACTGTATTGATTCGTTGGCTTTGCGTTCACGGTTGCGTTGTGAAAGATATCAATTATTACACATAAACAAACGAATTTACGTTCGTGAAGCTTATGAGTGACTTTTATAAACAAATCAACAGTTGACAAAGACCTGATAGATATAAAAAATCACGAGTATTTATATATTGTTCTATTGAATCACGATTTACACATTTCTGATACTTTCAGAAGTATCATTCAGCATAAATCCAGGATTGATATATTAGTACTCGAAGCGCTAACAATATTGGTAATCCAGCGTAGTTTTACATTCAGTATCGATTCTTTTGACCAATCAATTCGAGGCTTTCTGTATCGCGTTTCACTTACAGTATATGGCATATTCCGCAGGTGAGTATGCCATATTCCGCAGGAGAGTATGACATATTCCGCAGTGAGTATCGGTATTCACTGAAACCAATGTATCGCATAATCCTGCGGAATATGGCATACTCACCTGCGGAATATACCATATTCACCCGTATATACTATATTCACCCGTATCACAAATACCGCACAACCATGAATATATGCCATATTCCGCGTAACAGGTTTGACCAACTCGGGCTTGTATGACTGCCAAAACTGGATAATCATTACAAAAATGAGTATTATTTTTTGAAAATATAAATATTTTTTCTGAAAGTAGCTTCATGACCTCTTGATCCATTCCTTGTATGCCATGTATGGAATGAGTTATGTGTAGCTGAAAATAACGATGTAATTCTAATTAGAGTCATTGAAATTTCTGAACTTTACTAAAAATTCAAAATGTCAAATGGAGTACCATGGTTTTGAAAAATTACCAATATCATGTGATTCGCGTCGTGTAGTCACGTGACTCTCGAAATGCGGAAATAAAACTGTTTGAAAGCTACGACCAAAATTACATTGGATTTTCTGAAATCAGTTGTTATTGGATCATGGAAAAAACTACAACAGACGATATCTAGTTGTTTTAAGAATATACAGGTATGTAATATCTATGTCTAAGCTCGCTCATAATTGACTTTAGAGAAGTTTAAAAAGTGAACTTACAAAATAGTGGGCGATAATAAGGTAAAGACAGAATGTTTTGTGATTTACAGTTGGGGACAAAAATAAATGACAGGTCGATTTTCGATCACCATTTCCTAATTATGGTGGTCTGAAAGCCCATAATTTCCAATATTGTCTAGATATATATCCCTTAAAATTTGTATATTTTACATTTTGTATAATCTCATCCACTGTATGGCCTCTTGTAAATTCTCTTATTTTTAACATGGGAAATCCTCACTTCAGCAAATCCACCTGTCATTTATTTATGTCCCCAACTGTAGTGATATCAAAGTTAATTGAAGTTTGATTGGGCTAGCCCAATACTAATAGGGGCTGGATCTTGCTCCGGATCTGTGGCCCAAATCAACTTGTATCATTATTGAATTCCAATCATTCGAATCTGAATCCCAGTTTCAAATCTTAGATCTGATAACGACAAATTGAAAGTCCTTTATAATAGTGGTCCTAATCCAAATTGTCCGAATCCCATTCATCTGTATCCCCATCCGTGACCAAACCTATGCGATTCTCTTTAGTGCAGATACATGTAGCGCTATGGCAAACACTACAAAGCATTAACATGTAGAAATGTCACCTCCCGCCATTCATTATAGTCTAGATGCCAACTTTTGGTGTCGCAATTTGCATATAATCGAATAATCTACCGCTTGGGAGAGTTTGAGACATGAACTTAGAATTTAGCTCATTGTGACAACTTTTGATGGTTGAGGTTTATTAATGTCTCTGACTATACCTACGACGTTTTATTCCACATTCACACATTTATATTGATATTGAAGCGATACTACTACTTTTTTCAAGGCCTGACTGCGTCGCTAACATGCTAAATATAAGAGTTAGCTGACGTTTGGGAGTCTGACTTACCTTCTAAAGGTTAGAACCCGAATCTTAATGAAACCATATCACCTTTGTTCCGTCAACCATGGAGCATTTGCCACAACATCCAAGAGGTAAATCATGGATCGAGAAAATGAATGATTTCCTTGTAAGTTCCGGAAGTTTCAATACGAAAAATTACCGAACATATGTGAAAACCGAATATTTGTTCGTTGTTTTCACGATTTACAGGTTCGTTTGTTCTTCAATGTTTTGGTCTAAATTATAAAGCATTACCAACAGGTCTTACTCTATTAATCGACTAATACAGCAGACGGCTCATATTTCTACGTAGCATTTCATTCAGACCAATAGTGGTAGTGTAGATCACGCAGTTTCGTTCGTTGCGTACTTCACTTGAAATTGGTAATTTTAAATATTGACTACTTCACTTAGCTTGGCGGATGTAGAACATTGCTTAATATTCTTTTAATTTTCACACCAGACATGCTTGGTTGACACGTCAATAAAGTAAAGTTCAAGGGTCAATGCGTTATTTCGTGATAACTACAACGCCTTCCCGGAAGTCAACATTGATGAAAAATGAAAAAGTCGGAAAAGCATTTACGCTAATTTCTATCAAATGCTATGTTTATGCATCATCATCGACGCAACAAAGGTGATATGGTTTCATTAAGATTCGGGTTCTAACCTTTAGAAGGTAAGTCAGACTCCCAAACGTCAGCTAACTCTTATATTTAGCATGTTAGCGACGCAGTCAGGCCTTGAAAAAAGTAGTAGAGTCCATTTCACTGCTTCATTTCGTCAGTAGAACGGCAAAAATAAGAAATTGGGAGACCATTGTGCAATAATATATGGAAAAGTATATTCATAATGTACATGAATGACATTTGTATATTTCAGATTTTTTAGTTTTTTGTACAATAAGCCTGTGCCGTCTTGTAATTTGAAGAATTTCAGCCATGTTAATCTTATTGAAAATAACATGGCAGAGAAACATCCAAATATAAGAGTCCGCACACTTTATAAGCCAAACTAGAAGCAATCCAAGATATACAAATGTCATTCATGTACATTATGAATATACTAAGTAAGGATGGGAAAAACATGCTTTTGGTATGGAACATTTTCAAATGGAAAGGAAGTCACTGAAATGGATAGTAGAACAGTAGTTTTAATTTTACACTTCCATAAAAAAACTTCCATATAGTCTTCCAATTGATTCTTTTGAGTACTTTAATCGTGAAAAATAAGACTTGGCTAAAATGATACTGCCACTTACCTTCCGGAAGTTAGTAAAACAACCTAACAGCAAATAACACTTTTTGTGCCAACCATTGAGCTAAAGCACAATATCCAAGAGATAAAGAATAGAGAGTGAAATAAAGTGTGATTAATGTTAATCCAATGGGGAAACTTACGGGGATGTGAGTGATAGGTAAAGTTGTCAAAAAGATTTGGAAAAATTATCACATCAATTTTACCCCAAAGGGAAACCCAATGCATGTCCCGAGCATGACTTTTTCCTAAAATTTGGTAACTATTTTGAGCCATCCTCATGGATCTCTGTTATACATTGCATGATATATACACAAATTTTCGCAAAATTCATGCATTTAATTTTTCTAAAAAAGTTATATTATAATAAAATTATGCTCATTTTATAGTTACATATGCTACATAAAGACAAGTTGTTTTTGTTTTATAGATGGGGACAAGAGTCCAAAATATCAACTAACAACAGATTATCAACAACAACAACAAACAACAACAGTATTATCACATACAGGACTTATAGTGGATTACAAACATGATGAGTGCCAGCCAGGTTCTGTTGTTCCTTGGACTGTGTGTTGTGCTAACTATGGGTCAACAATGGTCCTGGAGCCCATGGGACCCTAACAATCCATCAAATACAGACTGGCAACAGGCAGGAACAGATCAGAGTAAACCCTTTTATGAGAATGACCCATTTAATCCTTGGTGGAGGTAAGGGACTTCATTTAAGGATTTAAGCCCTGGACTCTTGTGGACGGATTGTCATTCCTCCAAGGTGGTCTATCAAATTTTGCATGAGATTTGCAGAATTGAGTGTTAAGTTTAGGAAACAACCCCTCGGTGGAATGAATCAGCCACAATGCATTGAGTCCTAGACTTAAATTCTTTTCAAAGAATATATTTTCAATGTAACTTTTTGCAAGGATCAAGTTGGCAAAGTCTAGTAGTTGTCACCTTGACAACCATTCTACAAATGACCTTGGGTTGAATGTTGGTTTGGTAATGCAATGCGGTTTATGAAATAGCTTGTTAATATTGACTGGAATTGGACACACCTTGCCAATCTATGTGTGACTTTGTCATTAAGCACTTATATTTAAAGATAAAGGTACCAGCATTCTAAGGCCCGCTCATTCTATGACCCATGGGCCATTCACCATTCATTAAAGTTCACTGAAAATAATGCACATTATCTCTTATTTCCAATGTAATCATAGATTTTTCAGTCAAAACGTATGTTTTTTTTCTTTACATGCTTTAAGCATCATGAATCATTATTCCTTAATTCAATATTTTCAGTGTCTCCAATGGGAAAGATAATTATGAATAAGAATTTTATGATCAACTGTGTACATTGGCTTCTTGATAATTTGAAATTTTAATTCCAGATACAATCCAGAGGTGAGGGCACGTACACTGTATGGAGACATAGCAGGCTTCAGTATTCCTATAGAGGAGAGAGAAAACCCGACCACTGGAGAAATCTACAAGAAAAGAATGAATTTATTTCTGGGAGTTCCTTATGCTAAGCCCCCCATTGATAATCTGCGTTTCATGGTAAGTAAAGGCTTTAGTAGCTATACGAGTATGTAAGGTAGATACACAGTAGTGGCCTAAAAATTGATTACCAATAACAGGGCTTGCATTAACGGCGTCCCATACATGTTAAGGACTCAAAAATAATTTGGAGGACGCAAAAATTGAAAATATTTCCGTTTTTTGGACGCAAATTTTTTTAGGTCAATACTACAATGTGTTTACAACGATACCTAACAAAAACAAATAACTATGATCTCTCACCTTTATTTGAATCGTAAATAAGGCTCAACATGTTGAATATTTACAAATAATCATGATTCTCTCGAATTTTTCGACTTTGTTTATTTTTAGATTTGAAACCATGACACGCCACAGTTTTTCCTATTCAGAAACAAATATTAGGTTATTCATGAAATAAAATGTATTCATTGTCGAATGAATGAACATGCATTTATTCAGTCCGTACTTAACGTTTACTTCCGTTTTAAATTCGCGGCAAGAAATCAAAAACTGAAAGGTGTTTTGGTAAAAAATGCTTTTAAAATAAAGTTATACCTCAAAACAGGCTAGAAATAGGGGACACACTTTTTTTCAAAGGACACACTTTTTTAAAAAAAATTGCGTCCTTGGGACTCACAAATTTTCTAACCTAATGCAAGCGCTGCCAATAATCTGTTCTTGCTCTTTGAAAAATGAGATCACAAAATTTATATGGCAGATCATTTTATGATGTGTGTATATGACTTTCATAAGTAGGACCTGCCTGAAGAACTAAGCTTTGGCCACATGATTGTCTTCTCAAGAGAGGAGTTGCTTTCCTTGATGATTACAATATCTCTTCCTACTTTATATTGAGGCCTTTAGTCCTAATATAAGGGGCAGACCATTAGATCTTTGGGGAGTAATTTTTCTGGGTAAAGAAAGTTCAGTTTTGAAGACAAGTATCACAGGCTTCAACTCTCTTATAATATTGAAGATCCTATCTACGGTTGAACATACATGGAAATGGAGTGAATTTGAAACACTCAGTTTGCTCTATAAAGTTCATAATTATGTTTTCACTTTCAAGCGGCCACAGTCACCAGAGCCTGTAAGTTAAGAATGAAGGACTACAGTTGACGGATTTAGATTGTTTTGGAGTTGTTTCAAAAAAAAGCTATTTTAAGTGTTAGTATGCCTTTTTGAGAATAATGACATCATGAACAGAACTGCTCTTAAATAAAGATTAATCAAGGTTTCAAATGATAATATTTAGAATTAATGAACTTTGGTTAGTTCAAATTGCCACCATTATATTTGGTTGTTTGTTTTATAAACTGTTTGTGGAAATCAATTTGGCACCAGAGATCCTCCAAACCTAAATATTGGCATACTGACACTTTAATGGCACAGACAGGTTATTTGTGTACTGGTCTATGTTAGGGTTTACTAGTTTGTGTTACAGGGTATAAGGGACTGGTGTAGGAATATCCCTGCTACTACTACATGTATACATGTATCTAGTGATATTTGAAACAAACAAAACTTTATAATATAGCGCAGAATAGTTAACCTCGAATTGACATTCAATATTCAATCATTGTCTAAGCATACACAATATATACACTGTACTCGTGGTACCATGTACTTTACTTTAATCTTGGCAAGTCATTGTTTTTAATCAGTGTGCTATTATTTCTATATTTTAGAGACCTGTTAAGCCTGTGTTCCCAACAAGGATCTGGGAGGCCAAGTCATACCCCCCAGCCTGCCCCCAGCCACTCTGGTACATCAAGAGAGATATACCATCATTCACAAATAGGAACATTAGTGAAGACTGCCTTTATCTCAACATATTCCAACCCAATGTAAGTGTTTCATACACAACAGAAGAAGTGAACAATATAATTCAATCATTATGTTGATGATCTTAAGAGCAAGAAATGGAAAAAATATATGAATTTTGATTTGATATATTCAAAAGGATCAACATTTTGTATCTGGTTAAATCAATGTGCAATATTTTTTAATAACTAGGAATTGAAACTACATGTATCTGCATAATAGGTGGTCGGCACTTTCTCAGCTTAACTAACATTACATTATTTTTCAAATACTCCATTTTGAAAGGTTTTGATGAAGCCATGTTTACACCATATAATAACCATGGATTTGTATTTCAGATAAGCAGCAATCCTGCGAGCCACAGGTATCCAGTGATGGTCTACATACATGGGGGTGACTTCCTCTATGGGTCTTCAGAACAGGCTCCAGGACTTATCATCGCACAACACGACATTGTATTTGTGGCGATGAATTACAGATTGGGGGCACTTGGTATGTTATGTAATGATTTTATTAGTGTAGAATGTGTATGCATAAAATAATCTGTTTTCTCTAGGACAATCAAAGTACATTATAACAAGTTTTCAATCATTATTTTAATTTTTATTGACAAGGTAAAATTTAGGGTAATATTAGTCTTTTGCTTGTTGGTAATTGATAAATTTTATGTTACAGGTTTCATGAGTACCCAGGATGCATATTCTTGGGGTAACTATGGGTTATGGGACCAGAAACTTGCCTTGGAGTTTGTTAAAGATAACATAGAGAACTTTCAGGGTGATCCAGACAGAGTGACTCTAGTAGGTTCAGGGGCAGGGGGTCAGAGTGTGGGGATGCACATGGTCAGTCCACGCACCAGGTCTCAAGGTATTGAACCCATAAGATAACATTACACACTATCAGTTTGCCATCATAAAGAGCCATTTTGTTTACCTTTTCAAACAGCACATGTAATATATGAAATTGATATTACGACCTTTCATGGGACCTTGTTTTTAGATGTTTTCTCAAATGCGATCTAATATATGATTCCAGGTTATTTTCACAAAGTGATATTACAAAGTGGGACTGACATTAGTCCACAGGCCTCTGTAGAACCATTCTGGAGACCTGAGACATTTGCTGAAGACCTGGGAAGACTTGTTAACTGTCCCACAAACAATCATGGACGAATGGTGCGTTGTCTGCAGGAGAGGAACTTTAATGAGATTCTCAGTGCACAGTTTAGGATTGGTCTTCAAGCTAAGGAAGCATGGAGACCAGAGTCAAAGCATTGTCCTGGTGCAACTACCAGAGTGAGTTTCTTATAGACTAAATCTATATTTTCACTTACTTGTTAGGGTATCATCTTCAAAATGAAAGTTTCATGGAAAAGTCATGGCACCATTAATCAATAACCCAGATGCGAGTAGAAATAATCTTGATTTACGTCATTAAAAATTCAAAATTCAGTCAAAGTAATATCATTTGGTAACTACCTACTCGCATTTGGGTAATTATCAAAGTTCATTTATACTTTTTTGCCTGGCACTGAAATGGCAGTGAATCTTTCAAAAAGTTTCATTATGACTATGATTTTGTCATGATTATATACTGTTTAACATAGAATCATATGAATACTTAAACTCAAATAAATGCTTATGCATCTGTGTTGTTATTGTTTGCTCATTGTATTCCAGCCTGGTACAGTTGAGAACCCCTGGGCTCCTGTACAAGATGGTATATACAACTTCCTGCCTGAAACACCCATTGATCTCAGGTATTCAGAAACATTTTCCAAAGTGCCAATGATGATAGGTTTCAACAGACACGATGGTGCAGAAAAAGCAAGTATGTATACATACAGTGTGAAGGTGATCTCTTCACAATTTAGATAATAAATCTTAAAAAGATGTTGTTTGTGTTGAAATGATTATTATGCTTTGGATAGAGATGGATTTTATGTGATGTTATGGTCACCAAGTTTTTTGTGACGGTTGTTGGCATTCTGCATCCGGAGTTCAGCATCTGTAACAAATGGCAGGTGGTGATATTTGGCATGTTAATGCTTTGTTTTGTGTTGAAAAGATTATGCTGAATGGATTTCATCTGATTTTTCTTTATGTCTATATCACCACAAATGACAAAAATTAACCTCATTTTTGGAACCATAATGTTGATTCTTTAAGACAACTTCATCCCTGAATGTTATAGTTTAATCAGTTCTACACCTGCATCATAGGATGTCTTTGTTTATTCAGATTATACAATCAGGAACCTGGAGAATGGACTGGAGGAGTCAGCGTACCAGCAAGCTATCTGTCAGTACCTAGATGACTATAGGATTTACCATCTAGACAATGCATTTGAAGCCATTCACTTCCACTATTCCTGGCATGCTGAACCAAACAATGACACAGCACGTAGGGAAATGTTATATGATGTAAGTTGAAACAAAACACCGATGTTTTTAAAAAATTTTAATTTGCTAAAAATCGCCCTTTCTTATCTTATTTTGACGCAAATTGCTTACCTTTTTTCATGTCTTATTTCATTTTCAAATGTTTTCTGATATTCTTTCGCTTTAAAACTGTTTTAGCTAGTCGAAATGAACCATTAATCTAAAAAAATTACTTTACTTTCATTTCACCGTTACTATGTTCTCGGATGTACCAGCGTACTCTTATTAATTTGTTCTGTTCGATATTTTAGTGCATTAGCGTTCGGTATTTCAGTGCACTTTTCTCGAACTTTTTCTCGATGTACATCGCGATGTGCATCGATGTTTACTACTGAAAATTGCTGATGCATCGATGTACGATTATGGCACATCGCGACAACACTACTACTTTCTAGACATTCAACTTAGCCTAGTATATTGATTTTCTTACTGGATCTTCCAATTAGATAATTTGAAGTCAAGCTATTGCTATTAGGGTGTTCATTTTTATCATAACTTTTATTTTTCATTTTTATGTCCTCACCAAAAGTGATGACACATTTTTATATTCTCAAACTTTTTATGGACACTCTTCGGTGGCAGTTTGTATGTATAACAAATGGTGGTGACATTTTGCATGTTAATGCCTTGTTTAACCTATATAATTCACATTTATATACATGTATATATACATTTCAGCTTTATACAGACCACAGGTTTGGTTCACCTGCAGACACCCTCATCAGGAAACAGATGGATCATGCAGAGACCTACATGTATATGTTTGGATACAGGTCATACCAGGAGGAGAAAAGTCCATATTGGATGGGTAAGCAATAATATGTTGAATTTTTGCAAATTATTTAGCTTCATTCTAATAAACGATCGTAAAGAAGTGTCAATAATGTCGAAAGCTATTTGATGATGATTGGACTAAACTGATATATGCATTGAAGGGTTAACTAAAAAAGGCAATGTGTTTCAGGTATAACAAAGGAATCTGAGGTCCAGTACACACTAGGGTTCCCATTGATCAACATCACCACTGAGAACTACACACGTATAGAAACACCATATTATGACTGGATGGACCAGAATATCTCTGACTTTATGGTCACTCTATGGACAAACTATATCAAAGATGGGTAGGTTTAAGTGCAAAATATTAGTTCAAATTATATGAAAGCTTGTATTCATCAACTTAGCCTAGTATATTGATTTTCTTATTGGATCTTACAATTAGATAATTTGAAGTCAAGCTTTTGCTATTAGGGTGTTCACTTTTATCATAACTTTTTTTTTATTCTTATTATCAAAACTTATTGAGGTTACTTAATCGCTTACTCAGTACTTTTTCTATATTGAAACATTGTGTTTACCTCCACCACCAAATTCTACAAGCAATCTAGCTATTTCATCGTGAAATAGAATATCTAGTACAATTGACCAAAAAAAGAAAAGAAAAATACTCATATCTATAACTGTGAGATTTTTATTTCAGTGTCCCTACACCCTATAGAATTCGCAATGTTACATGGGAGCCATATAATATGTACAACTTGACCTATCTGTGGGTAGATGAGTGGCCAGAGAATAGAATTAGATATAGGCAGAAATACTACTCTTTTTGGCAGGATTATTTCCCACAGATATCTGAAAGAGTCATAAGTGAGTACTATATTCGCAATGTCCAATATGCAATCATCTCAAAAATAATTTTAAAAATGTACTTTTGTTAAATGATGATCCATTGGATCATCATTCTGATTGATATATCAAAGCCGCAACATGTGTATGTAATAATTCTATTTTACTATGAAATAAATCACATATAAAAAATAAAAAATTAATATATCATTTGCTGGGGATAAAAACATTACAAAATCTTAATACAATTCACTATTTAATGAGGAAACCTCAATACTGTAATAGTTAAAAATATTATTGTATTACAAACATGACAAAGATCAATCATACTTCCAGATATTGTCACAGCTACCCCTACAGCTATAGGTCGGGAGTATCGGTACTCAACTTGGGGGATGACAGCCTTCACTGGTTTGCTTCTTATCTTCATTATAGTAATGTCAATACTACTCTGGCGACAACATAGGAAAAATGTTGAGGCGAGAGACTGGATGACTAGTACAGAATTTAGTTCAGTGACTAGAAATAGAACATTCATGGAGTCACATGACAGTTTCGGGGCTCCGAGATTACGATAGCATAGCGTCGCCTTTGTCATCTTTCATTGCAAATGTAACCACATCAGTTTGGATTTTTATCAGCTACTGCATCAACAAGTATTCCAGAAGGAGCATTGTGCATATGAGTAGTACTGTGAACTGTGACAGTAATATTGTGAGTTGTGCCAACAGCATTGTGTGCAGGTGTCAAGAGTATTGTGGAGTGTGACAAGACTATTGTCACTGAGGCACAAACATATTTTCACCAGAATAGAATGTTCAATAAAGTCTCGTCATGGGAACTTCAGAATTGGAGTTACAATGTACATTGTATTGTGATTTATCACAGAAATAGAGGGATGTTCTGTACACATTGGAATTTATGCAGGAATGACAACTCAGGACTTCAGTGGAAACCATTTTCAACATCTTCATTGACTTATAAAATGAATGACAACCGCCATATTTCAGCCTCCATAACTTGAAATCTTGAATGATTGACTGGAGAAATGATAACAATCACTTTACATGTATTTTAACAAGAGTTATGTGTAATTGTTGTATTCTATTTTTCAATGCAAGATGAATTGTTTTAAGGTAATGCTTAACTTCTATATCCTGATACATGTGAATCCATGAGTGTTTTACTTCTAGAATATTGTATTAAATATTTGTATACTGTAAATTTTGAATTTTATTTTTCAATCTCATTAATTCTTATTGTTAGTAATTTTATATTGTAATTTTGTTAAAGATGTTGTCCAATTGCCATAATGGTCATTTTTACAAAACTGATGGACAATTGAATCCCATTTATTCAGACTTCAATCTAAATTAATCAGGCATTTACATAAAATTAAAATCATACTTCATGCGATTTGTATTATGTATTAGATTTAATGGTAATATTGTTGGTAGTCATTGAATTTGTTGTGGAGTAAATAAATGTACAAATGCTGAAGTAATCCTGATTGAAATCATATTTTTGAGAAGACATTTCATAACCAGAGTTCTTTTTACTTTTTATTAAACATTTGAGTAAGTAAGTGTAAATCATTCTTTTGAAAGCAATTGGGTCACTCTTACATAATAAGTCACTATGTTTCATAATCCTGGTTATTGCATAACCAAGCTGGATTGAAAAGATGACATGTCCATTTTCTATTTTTGATGAATTTGATTAAACGTCCCAGTTTGTCGCAAAATCCTGTAGTATGAGATACATTGTATCTTTTATAAATATAAATCCAAAGAAAGTTTGTGTTACAGTGTCTCAAGAAAATGAAGTGTAGAACATACCTTTAAGTACTGTTCAATCTTGTGATATAACAAAAATCACATGTTATTTATTGACATGCCTGTGTTCAACATTCCAGTTGCTGCTCAACCAGATTTCAAAATAAAATTAAGATTAATAAATTTTGTACTTGCTATTTTAAGAAAGCAATATTTAATGGACTGATTGCAGCATAATATAATGCTTCATGAATTGAAAAAGATGTACATATTTATTTGAATGATTTTAGGATGGAACTTTTTCTAATGTAGTTTTTATAGAATTGTGATTTACACGATATACAATGGTTTATCTGCTTTTGAAGAAATAATTGTACTGATTATTTTTGTAATTTGTAAATGATATAAATCATATGTTGTAAATATATTTTATAAAAAATGAAATTTTTTATTTTGAATTTGTAAAATATTGTGATATCCCCTCATGAGTATGATACATCTGGTGAGAAATTGCACATTACCTTACTGTGTAAATGTTATGATTGGTTTCATATCAATTTCTTGATAAAATAGTCCAAAGTACAGTTGATAAAATTGTATTTTGGTTGTATGTCGGATACTTGTCCAAGTTTGCATATACTGTGATACTGCCTATATTTCATGTTTTTTCAAGAGCATGATTGAATAAAGGTGAACTGAAAGTGAACAGAAAATTTGAAAAAAGTGCAACACTGAAATTTTCAAACTCTTCCTGACGAGTCATTTTTTGTTTCATAGGGTTTTATGCAACATTATCATTGTAAATACTGTATAGTAGAATAACAACTGAAGTTTGATGAAAAATATTCAAATGAAGATTTTGATTTTTTGAAGAATAGTATGTGAAAAAACACCAAAACCATCTGAAAATTGCACAAAATACTAGTATTCTTCCAAAATATTTTTGAAAAATCACCTCCAACATATGTGTCATATTTTCAGAGGGCTGAGATTTTTATTTCAATATGTTTAGAATCTAGTGTTTCTTATTTTTTCTATTACAACAGTGAGCCTGGTCACATTAATGATAGGTGGAACCAACAAAATTGAGAAAAAGTCAAGACTGAAAGATATAAATTTTGATGGACAAAATACACTAATAAAAAGATATGTGCTTCCTGCCATCTTAGAAAATCTTTGAGAAGTTCAGCTTCACCTTAAAGGTGCAACAATAAGTGCAGAGGATTCAACGACCATGGACCAGTGTCAAAATAAATTTAAGTTTGGATATTTCATCAAGACTAACATATTTTTTTATTATCCAAGGAAACCGCCTGGATGAACATTATTTCAGCGGATATTCCTCTTGAAACATAGTGGTGGATCTTAAAAATCTGTAAGTGCGACTTCCTTTATAGAAGCTTTGAACTGAATTTACACTTCTTAATGCTGGAATTGATAGTCTATCCATACATTTTAAGAAAATAGGGTATATGGATGTAAAGCCAAATGTTGCCCGGACAGCTCAGAAAAAGTAAAAATTTTCGAATTTTTTCTCTACAGGCCTTGTTGCCCCTTTAATTGAATTTCGTATATCTTGCTAAGTGAAATAATTCTATTTTAGGGGGTTCTTTGATGTTTATATCTCTTTGAGAAGTGCATTTGTAGCAATGAACTGAAGGGTATAGCCATTGATAGCCAATGACCAAACATTATTCAATCTGAAAAATTGAAATTGTTAAATGGAGTGCCATCTTTTTTGACTCACCTGTAGGTCACGTGATCTGAAACATCCGCCATTTTTAACAGGTGTCTGTAAACAAAATAAAATGTGAGGCCTAAAAGTGGCATTATCATGGGTTTTAGGGTGACATTCATCCTTTTAATGAGCGGACTGTTTGGAGGAACAATATCTCAATCGGACGATGTGTTTAGATCTTACGCCCATGCTGGTGAAGTGAGAGGTTTCACCCAAACGGTATTTAGGAAAAATATTAAAGGATACTCCACAGATTGTAAAGAGGACCCATGGGACAACATTGATTCTGGAAATGTTGACAATATATGTTACGATCGGTATAAAGTGAACACATTCCTAGGAATTCCTTATGCTGAATATCCGACTGGAGATCGCCGATTCCGTGTAAGTGGTAGAGTACTAATTTCCATGAAAATAAGTAATCTAACAAAGTGAAAATACCTGTCTTACTCTTGCCCACATGTTATTCACTTCCTTGTTAGGATGATTAATGATCGGAAGCCAGAGTTCCAAATCTAGGTCTTCCAACTGTCCTGCAATTGTGTATTTGTCACGCATTTGCTGGAAAGTTTTTTGCGTGACAGAATATGTCTCGCAAATATGCATTTTACTTGATTATTTTGTCAAGCAAAAATATTTCTCATCTGTAGAAAAACTTCCATTAGTGAACGCTGATACATCAAAAAACGAATGCCAAAAAAAATTGCATGCATTTCGTTTGGACCTTTCGTGCGGACACAGTATATGCCAAGCATTTCCTCGAAATATTTCATTCCCAAAAACTTTTTCCGTCCCAGCGCGGAACTTTTTTTATTGAAATTTGCCCCCCCCCCCTCTTTTTGGTTCCCAGATCCTCCCCTTAAACCCTACCGCCATCTCGAAAAGAGTTATTGATGAAAAATGAACATTTTCTCATTCTGTTGATAAACCCATACGATTGGAGATTCGACTACTTAAAGAGAATCCTAAAATTCTCAGGAATTTATTGAGGTATGTTATTGGAATAAACTATAAACCTCGTGCCAAAAAATATCAGCCTTTGAAAATAAGGTCTTCACGACCATACTTCAGGGTGGGTGTGGCACATCAATAAGAGGATCACACATTTCCTATTGGCGCGTTAGTGCATACAGTGTATTGTGCACTTTCATTATAACAGTGGATGAATAAGAAGCTGTCCTCAAATTATGTTAAATAGTTGGAAAAATTGTCATTCCAATCCAAGTGTAGGATAATACCCGAAAATGAACTGGCACACCTGCTTTTACGATAATTTTGTATTGAGTTATAATAGGCTTCTGGCAAATTTCGTGCAGAATTAAGATTGACATTCTCACACCATGTGTTGGTTCATTTTTTTTATTTTATAATTGTATGTTATTGAATTACTGTCTGCTATTAGTTCTTCATCAGAGAAGGCTACCTGTTACATAACCATTGTTTCATTGTTCTAGGCACCTGTTTACCCACCTTCATGGCAGAGATCCATAGATGGGAGGAGATACAAAGATGCTTGCCCCCAGCAGCTGTGGAAGATGGACTACCTCACTAATGTGAATGCAACAGAAAACTGCCTGAATCTTAACATATTTATGCCTAATGTAAGTTAGCATGCATAATAAAGCAAAAGTACACTCTCATAATTTCAATAAAGACATATCTTTTGTTTGGTTTTGGTGAGGCCATGTGATGCCACGTCAATTATGTCCCATTGTGTCCCCCAAAGTAGTCTCATCCAGATTCTTAGTTTACATAGCCTCCCCTAACTCCAGATCTAATTAATATGTCCTTCACACAGTGCTTATAGTGCATAATTTTTGTTTTTCCTTCTTATTTTCCATTAAAGGCTATTACAGCTTCTCTGTTATGATTCAAAGCCATTTATCCCAAACTAACATCTGAGGATGTCAATTTCATGGTTGAGTTATATTTTTTATTTATTTCAGGAGACAGATGGCAGGCCAGAGTACCAGAGGAAATACCCAGTGTTTGTTTGGATACATGGATATAATTACCAATATGGGGCAGCACATCAGTGGCCTGGTCACATGTTGGCAACAGAGAAAATAGTTGTGGTTACTTTCAACTATAGGATGAATGCTCTAGGTTGGTATTAAGCCAAAGTGGAAAGACATCTTGTACTGACCAGATAGGCTTGAGAGAGCCATCCTTTAAAATTTAACATCTATTTTTGTGGACAGTGTTCGGTGGTTGGTGTTGGCAGTTGGTGTTTGGTATCTGTATCAACAGGCAGGTGGTGACATTTTGCATGTTAATGCCTTGTTTGTTCAATATTATTTAAGCTATAAAAGCTGGGAAATATAGAATAAAAATAATTGGTGTCAACCCAGCTACAAGCCATTTTAAAGATGTTTTATCAAAATTATTATCAGTTAGCAGCTGATGTAACCATTCATGAATATTCTTCCAGGCTTCCTGTCCACCCAGGACAGACATGGCTGGGGTAACTATGGCATGAGAGACCAGGTTACAGCATTAAAATGGGTGAAAGATAACATCCGATATTTTAATGGGGATGACCGGTGGATCACTGTGGGTGGTACAGACTCAGGGGCAGCTGCTGTAGGTTTTCACCTTCTTTCACCATTGACCAATGGTAGGTTAAGAATTATTCACGCCTTTAAGATCAAATTCTATGTGTGATTTTGAAGATAATGTAAATGATGCTTTCTTTAAATAATCTTTACAAGGCTGTGACAATATATCTGTCATGTTAATGTAATGTATATCTATTTTCAGGTCTCTTCAGGCAAGCCATCCTGATGTCTGGATCAGATCTTAGTGAGTGGGCATATGTAGATAATACTATGAGACCCAAGGTAAACATCTTACATTAAATTATCCCACTAAACAAAGTTTGAGTCAGATTATAGAGAAGCTACATAACCATTACTATCAGTTGTCAGATTAGTATTTGATCCATATTTTTGTGTTGAGCCTTAAAGGCATAGGACTCTCCTACAGAAAGAATTTTCAAGATGACTGCTTAATTCAAAATGGCCAACAGTTTTCAGAAGAAATATAATTTTGATAACAAATACCAGTTTAAAAATGTTCTTAATGTAATGTGGTAGGCACTGGGCAGAGGGCTTCTTATTAAGAAATTATGAATTGAGTTGATGGCCGACCCACTCAGGAATTACATTAAATCTTTATGTTGCTTCCTTATGGGTACCTTTTATGAGGTAGTGTTTTCCCCAAGATTTTTCATGTGTTTGCAAATTGCTCAGTTTTCACATACCTGCCTAAAATTCAATTTTTCTAGGTTATGTTCATTTTTATAGAGGTGCATATAGGTTTTCAAATTGGTGCAAGGTTGTTCTAGAAATCTCAAGTTGGTACAGCACCAAGTTGCTCCAATCAATAGGTGACTACAGCAGTTTGATCATTCTCTGTACATTGACTTGTTAAGCATATTTTGATTGATTATTTACAACAGGAGTATGGCAAAGAAATAGCAAGGCAACTCTTATGCCCTGTGGATGACAGTGAGGCAATGATGGAATGTTTGAGACTATATAGGTCTCCAGAAGAAATAGTTAATGCATCTGCAAATATTTGGCCAAGGGTAAGGGTATTTTATGCTTAGGTTACTAAAAAATTGGGTTACTGTTGATCAATTAATATAACTTTAACATATTCATTGATATTTAGTCTAATACATGAACTGTCACGATTGGCATCAAAACATTTTCAAACGGCGTGATCTTTGGATCGATAATGATGATTTATTTTCTGTCACAACTGCATACAGATTTAAACTTGGTTATTTCATTTTTGTAGGAAAACAAAGATTTCTGGGAGCCCTACTCCACCGTTGCGGGGCCATTTGCGCCAGTCGTAGATCAAACATCCAATAATGAAAATCCAGAAAGTTTCTTACCTCAAACTCCTCGTGCCATGAGAAATTCTGGCTTGTTTAAAGTAGTTCCCGTCCTTGCAGGATTGAATAAGGATGATGGTGCCTTTTTATTATGTAAGTTTAGTTCAATTACAGGTTGGCTCAAAAATGAGTGCAGTTTAATATTAAAACTCTCTTGGTTGTAATAACTGTATTTTTTATTGATACTACCACTTTTATTACCAACAATGATTAGACCTCTCAACCAAAAAGATTCGATATTGCTTTGATTATTTAGAATGACCAAAATTACTCATAATAGCCAGCCTTCATACACCATTATCACCCAGATAACAATTTCAAATGAACCTCACAGAACTTGATATGTGATGACATAATTACTGTCATTTTTACCTTGACTATAGTTTCAAAATATTTGCATTTTTCAGGGAATCAAACTAAACATATGAGAGGTGTTGACTTCAATCAGGGAATGGACTACCAAACATTCCGTGATATCATAGCTCAATTCACATTTGATAGACGCATCAGAGACAGAGACAGTGTAAATAGTGCCATAGAGTTTGAATATGCTTATCATCCCAACATCCATAATAAGTCTGCCACCTTACAAGCTGCAAAGGATGTAAGATTTTATCCATCTTGTTTCATGAAGATCTCAGTTGGTAGAACCTGCATTTTAGAATCTCTAATCAGTGAATCTCATTGGATTGACAGTTTCCTCAGGCCTAAATGCAACAACATTATACTGATGATAAAATATTTAAGTGATATTTAAGTTACAATACCCTGTGTGAAACCTCTATAGATAATTTTATATTCTTTACATACTTTAGTACTGAACCACTTGGTAGTCATTTATCCAAGACATTCATGTTGATGCCTTGCTTTGTAGATGTTTGGTGACTGGTTATACGGTTCAGGGGTAGATGAGGTCCTAAAGCAGCATGCTCAGGCCAATGATGAAGTCAAGTGTTACATGTATGCATTCCACTTCAGGGGACCTTATGATCGTAAACCAAAGTGGTGGGGTATGTATTTAGTTTGATAATAATACCCATGTGACCATTCCAATATTCATAAAATTTTTCCTCATATTGAACAAAATTTAGGTTCACAGGTGTAGATTATTCAAGCACTACCTAGCCATTAACTTAGGTCTCAACATGTTAGTCAGCGTCTTGCTAAAGACATTTTGGGATCACAATTTATGATGTTCAACTTCTGATTGTTACAGGAGCTCCCCATGGCAGAGACGCAGAGTCTCTCTTTGGATTCTCTCACATGAATGAGACAGTGCAGTTCTTCTGGGATTGGACAGAACTTGAACTCCAGCAGAACTACACAGATCATGATCGCAATATCAGTGACTTTATGATGAAGCTTTTTGGCAACTTTATTAGATCCGGGTATATATACTACCGTATTCTCTCCAATAAACGCACAGTGCGTCTACCAAATTCTCCTGAAGGAGATGTCTAAAATGACAAAATCCCCAGGGATTTGTGAAAAAAAAGTTTGGGCGATAATAGGGTGTTTCATGATTTTCCTCTTTAAAACTAGACTCACTCCAACTAGATAACATATTATCATACCTCAATGTTTTCCTCATGCATTTATCAATCTGCTGAATGTGTTTCCATGGGTTAGTTGACATAATATGCATCAATGTTGATGATAAACATCCACTCCAATCAATCCGAGCAGACGCCATTTTTAAAATTGATGCCGATACCCGAGTTAAAATCTAAAGGCTTCTTGTACCTAAATGGTCCTCATAGTTGGTGAAAATATGTTTTATATCCATATAATGCTACTTAACATTTATAAAGGATTGAATATTTGTTTGTGGGAAAGGGCAGAAGAATATTTAAGATCGGAACTCCCATGATGCACTGCGAGTTTGAGTAATGGCGACGGGCCCGAATTAACGTTCATTGTAGCTTTTAACTCATCACTATAAGGTTATCATGAACGTAGTTATAGCTCATAAGGTTCCTTAGACATGTCTGTAACAGCATTATACTCACAAACGGCTCTATCGATAGCGGTAAGTGAATAATTCAATATTACCCTATTATCGCCCGCTCGAATAAACTATATTTTTTCTTGATTTTTGTTTTTCAAGTTGCCAGTCTTTCTTGGAAAAGTCGGGTGTGCATTTATTGGAGTTTGTGCGTTTATTAGAGATAATACGGTATATTCTAAGAATTTGATATACTTCATGTATACTTTCAAATACTTCATATGTGTGTAGTTATACACCTCGCATACATTTAGGAACCATACACCCCACATGTACAAACATAAATTCTGTACTTTCAGAGAGCCAACTCGAGAGTATGAATACTTTAGAAATGTAACCTGGTTGCCATTCCGTCCCCAGATGTCCAACCTCAGCTATCTTCTGGTTGATGAGAGGAGCAACCAGTCAGTCAATTACAAACAAAGTCATTTTGCCTTCTGGAGGGACTACTGGCCTCGGCTGATTCAACGATACCCCAGTGCGTGCAGTTTGTAGAATACTTCATATTGATCACTTATTTGTGATAGATAAGAATTGCTTACTATCTTTGAATTAACTGATTGTATCAACTATAGAGTCTTTGAATACTATTGCAATTAAAGTTAACTTTAGGATATATGCATGGTCAAAGTTAGTCAAGACCAGGGAGTGTCGGTTTTGAGATTACTATGAATATACATTATATCCAATTTCAGGTGTGATCTAAGTGAACTCTAACTCATGCCAACATTAACATTTGTCAGATTTGATTCATATATTTATTAGTCTTTGCCTCTGTGGTGTGAATGTTAGCACATTGGACTTATAATGCCTAGGTCCTGGGTCAGTCCCAGTATGTTGCAAAAGGACTTAGATAATGTTAACTGGCACACCTGACAGGTGATTACTAGATGAGCTGCTAACTTGATAAAATATTAGCTCTGACAAGAACTGCCTATGGTCTTAGCCTGGATAATGATACCAGGTCCTGTTAGATTAATATGGAAATCTGTTTCTACCTTAAGAGTAGATTAAGATATCAAATTACATTATTCTACCACACATATATGCCATATGGTGTCTCGTGTGAGATAATTGTAACTCATAAATGAAATGCAATGAAAATTGATTTAGAAGGCCAATGGCACAATTCATATTTCAAATATAATATTTACAGCTACAACAACTCCAATACCTACACCACCTGCTGCATTAGAGTATGAGGTAGCAACCTGGTTCCTGGTGGCCCTGGCTGTTATATTCCTTATCATTCTCATCATTATGTCATTGATACTATGGCAACGAAGCAGATGGTGATGACATCTGTTGACAGATCTGAAGGAGAGGCTAAAATGTAATTTTGTATTCATAAAGGAATGATTTAGTACTAGCATTTACTTTTCTTTACTAACCAATGTTTTCTTCTGTGTTTACTAAAAAATGTTTTCTTTTGTTTTACTAATCGATGTTTTCTTTTGTCTTTACTAACAGATGATTTCTTTGCTAATCAATGTTTTTTTTTAGTTTTAACTTAGTTTGAATCTGAACAGGTGCCTCATTGCTTATGAAATAAAGATGGTGCAATGGATACTATATTAACCATGTAGAAGTGGTTTACAACACTAGCAATTTACCCATTCAAAGGGCCTTAAAATGCCAATTACCCAGAGGGCCTTAAAACGCTAAATACTTAGCTGTTGACCTTGGCCGAGAAATGTTCACCCTGACCTCGGGTCATCTTATCATAGGTTGCCATGAGTCACTGCAGTCCCAAAAGGCCTTTAAGCATCAAATTCTTAGATATTGACATTGGAATGACCTTGACCTCACAGCAGTCCAAAAATACCTTAAACCGCCAAATACCTAGATATTGACCTTGACCCATAAACTTGACCTTGACCTCAGGTTACCTAAAAATGGGCCTTTTTTGGGCATAGTTTGGCCATGGGCCTTAATTTTTAAAATGTTTTGGTTTAAGGGGCCCAAATTTTTTTCTGAACGCAGACATTTTTTCCAGACTCAACATTTGGCCCCCCCACCTTGTTAATTTCTGGATCCGCCACTGTCTTTTGACTCTATTATCTAACATGCATGTAGCACAAATCACATATACATGTATATATTGTATATGTAGTTTGCTTTGGAAATACTGTAAAACATGTTTAATTTTATGAATTCTGAATTTCTTTCATACTATTTTGCGTCATAATGATTCTTGTTGCACAAGATTGTTATCAGTGGTAAATTTTTCAATCAGGACTTTAAAAATCATCAACAATCAATCATTTTTTGAGGAAATAACATTAAGTATGTGCATAAAAACATGTTTTACAGTATTCTGTCTCTGTGGTATTTTGTGTAATGATTTCTAGATATTTTGGTTCCATTTTTCATGCACATGTATCTTAATTATATTTTATGTTTTTAATGTGTAGTCTTTTGATCTTTTAATGAATCTGTTAGAAGTAGTGTTATATTCATTTGGGGCATTTACTATTCAAAATATCATGCGTTAAAGTATGTAAAATTCAGTATTCTTTCTCTGTTTTATGTTGTGTCCTGATTTTTTAATATTTTGGTCCCATTTGTATGCATACATACCGTAGTATTACTAGCCAACTATCTATCGAAGGAAAATCACCTTTTACATCAATATATCTAAACAAAATTAATATATATTAAAATTAATAGTCTTCTAAAAGAATTATTCCATTGTTTACACAAATAAATGCTTTTGAACTCAATTGAAATATACACTGCGCATGTAAAACGAAAAATTTAATGTATGATTTCATACGCTTGAATAAGATGCATATTCTACTGATTGTGCTGTGATTAAATCAATTCTCTCTATTTTCAGCTACCACCACACCTATCCCCACACCTGTGATGTTGATTGAGTTCCAGGCTGCCACGTTTGGTCTGGTCGGCCTTGCTTTACTATTCATACTTATTATTGTGACCCTTTCTGTCACTTGGTGGAAATGGAAACAACTTTACAATAAAGAATATCGCTATGTAACTAAGAGAAGTGAATCAGAGATATGATCTCATCATTTGAAAGGCTGAATTAATTACCTGAGAATAATATTTGAAGTGTATTGATTGGAATTCAGTTACCCATCAGTTAAGGAGCTAGAAAGGATAGAGATGAGTTGTAAGAAATACCATAAGGAAACCATTGGCTGGAGTTTTGAAAAGATTGGTTGCAACATTTTACGCTTTCTATACCTTCTCATTAATTAAATGCGTGTGTAGCTCTAAACATAGTCTGAAACAGAAATTAGACTACATAGTCTGAAACAGAAATTAGACTACATATACAAAGTCTGAAGCAGAAATTAGACTATTAACCAAGAGGCAGGTGTTTAATTTTCTAAAAAGAAATATGTACATCTTCATGTATGTTCTTGCCACTATGTATATTATAGCTAAATTATTTGCTAGACATATCAGCATATGAAATCACATACTAGAATTCAAACAGCTTGTATGTTTGTTTTGAGAAAATCCAGTTTTCATGTATGAAGAATAAGGTTTACTAACTACCTGTTCATGCTAACATCTCCCTAGTAATGAAGAAATAGGGGTCAAGTATTCAGGATTGTGAAGTATTCTTTGAGTCCATGGAAATTTTGTGAGATAATAGATGTCACTTACCACTCTTAGCAATCAATGTACTTTTACAATTTACATGTAACTTGTAATTACCATTCCAACATAATAGTGTAAATATTTCGTACATTCCATTTATAAATGAATATGTATTTTAATACAATGAATTGTACATAAGTAGTTAATTTTTATACTTTTTGATTTTTCTGTTGTATTATACTTTTTTAAAATAATGGTGTTGTCCAGTAGTAACTTGTCATGTTAGTTGACTGTAGAAATACTATGTAGACTGTGCATACTGAGAAAATGCATATTTTTAATAATGAAATGTATTACATGATCACCTTTAAATATTTGCAGTACAAAACCATTGTATTCCTGATCATCTACAATAATGTTTGTATATTTTGTAATTTATATATGTATTTTAGATAACGTACATTTATTTGGACATACACACAACTTTTTTAAATCATGATTGTTGAATGAATAAAGTAAAATGAAACATTTTTGTAAATTCTTTTTTTTTGTTCATATGTGCATGTTTTAAAAACGCTTTAAAATGCCACAACTCTATCTCTCCACATTATGTACATTACATACAAACTTTTGTAGTTGCATAATATCAGTGGGACTAAGTAAAACAAAAATAATGTTATTGAGCCTTAACTCTTGGTTGCCATGCGGATATGGTACTGTCGGTGAAATGTTGGCTTAGTTTTTTTTTTAGTTAGTTATCAATCCCATGGAAACAACATCACTATAATGATGAATTTCATTTTCTAATTTATTAACTTATTGGAATCATTGGATAGTGGGTATTTTCATTCGAAGATAGATTAGATAACTCGACATGAGATAACACCATTTGCAAACGACTAAGTGAATACGAAAGGACCTTGGTTGAATATTTTGTCAGTAGAGGTGGAAGAATGGGTATGTTGGGTGTTGCATTGGCTAGTATGTTGTTAGGCCTAGTGGCTGGACATGGTCGTCTCATAGATCCTGCTGCAAGAAATTCTATGTGGAGATATGGTTTCAGCAACCCACCAAACTATAATGACAATGAGTTATTTTGCGGAGGCTTCCAGGTGAGATATTGTACCTGATATAAAGAAATCCAAATACTGATTTGATTGATTTTCAATTATTTCGATATTCTTTATTATTTCCATACTCTTTAAGGTCGACAGAGTTTCAATTTAACTTTGATATCATAATAGTACAAGTATGTGAAATCATAAATCACAAGAAAAAATCACTCAGAAAGTTTTCTCAAAAGGGGCTCATGGATAATGCGTATCACAGTTAGCTAAAATTTTTCTGAAGGAAAGACTGAGAGAGACGTAATAAATGAAAGATGTATTTTTTAGTGCACCAAAAATTGAAATCTTCCAAAATATATGTCCCCGGTCATGGTATACATACGCAATCTTTCGTAATATATAGGGGTTATGCACTGGGAGGTTTTGGATACAGGGAATATCCCGAGGGATATACAATATATCTTCCCGAGGGAAGATGTATTGTATATCCCAAGGGATATTCCATGTATCCAAACCGACCGTGCATAACTGGTGTATCTCATACTTGAGTGGGTTTAGGGTAGATATAACCTTTTCCACCTTTTTCAAATGACAAGATATTTATATTTAACATTTTCGTAATATTCTTTTTGTTCAATACAATAAAATTGTAACATTTAAACTTAAAAAAATAAATTTTAAAATTAAAAAATTAAAACTTTTGATATTTAAACTTTTTTAAACTTTTGAAAAATTCCCGGGAGCGGGATGGATATATTATATCTGTCCGCATTTGGCCTGGAGCGGGACATATACAATATATCCTGCCCGCTCCTCAGATACGATATATATATTGCAAGTATGAGATACTACTGAATAGACAGGTTTGTCAATCCTTGTGATACCAAAAAACTGAGACTAACGTACATGGACGAATTTACAGTCTGTCTGGGACATGATATAATATTGTGGTTCAATTCAATCAAAAAGAAAACAATTGTGATGAATAAATATAGAACCAGAAAACCTTAGGAGGAAAATGTGGAGTATGCGGCGACCCCTACCAAGGTCCAAGACCACACGAGGCAGGGGGCAAGTATGCAAATGGGATCAGTGCTAAGACCTACAAACAAGGACAGGTTGCAGAGGTCAAGGTTGAACTAACAACTGGCCACTTGGGTTGGATGGAATTTAGGTAATATAGGCGATTAATTTAGAAAGACGAATTACATTAAAATAATAATAACTTAAGTTCATTTACTTCAGAATAAAATGTTTTTTTTTAAATAGTCCATTATCATTATTGACTAATATATTTTTCGACCATAGAATTGTTCACTTAAATTGTTTCCTAAACTTTGTTAAAGTGCATGCTCCTCCCATAGTGAAATAGCCAATTTTTGTACAAATGGAAAATATAAGTTGTAGGTGAAATTCAAATAATGAGATACAATCACCTTTATATCAAATATTACCAAAAGGTTATGCAAATGGGACAATCCCACTAAAGTAATCACTAAGGATTGTCTTGATAAGAATGTACTACAGCTAGCCGATGGTTCAGGCACCAGGGTCCCTATCGATAACACAAAGAGGTTCATCACTGCCAGGTTGCAACTTCCCAAACATATCACATGTACACAATGTGTTATGCAATGGTACTATCATGCAGGTATTGTTGACATATATCGCCGTTTCATTAAAGTGTGGGTAGTGTAGTGTTTCGTACAAGTACATGTACCCTCTGTAAAGAAAAAAAGGTGCATGGTCCTTTATCAGTCATAACATTTTCATAATTTTGTATGATATTACTTAATTCTTGGAGGAACGTGGCATTAATTAAATTTGAAAAGATTAGATGAAAATTTAAAAACGTTAGCGATGGTTAAATACATTGTCTCACAAACTCACTAGTGTGACTTTTTCCATTTTTCCTCTAAGCCAAGGATATCATTTTCTATATGTTATATTCTTCATACCATTGTAAAGCCTGTCCCAAACTGGTCATAACTGACAGGTTTAAAATAAACATTGACACACTGACAGAAAATCATAGAAGTGCCAAAACCCGCCTAAAACATGGTTTTTAGACAATTTTACGCCTCAAATAGCATTGAAATTAGGGATAGGATGTAACCATTTGCTCAATAAACACATATATACATGTATATCACATCTGACATAAATTTGGGTATGTTAAGTATAGGATGTATAATATATATATGGATCATTGAGAAAGATTAAGGGTTATAATTATCTGACAATTTCCAGTTTATTGTAATATATGTTACCCCTACCCTAACTTTGAACTGAGAAGAGGCCTCTGAATCTGAAGGATATTACCTCAGATTTAATAACAAAATGGTTGTAATAAATCGGACTTTCATGATATAACTGATATTTTTCACAAAGTTTTATTGGATTGAAAACGTTTTAAAATGATGTATTCCTCTAAATATAACTAACAATTTAACTTCATGTCTCAGAAGATCCCCTTCCTGAGCACATTGCTGGGTATAGGATTTCTCAAATTTATGACGTCGATTTATGGTAAAAACACATACTCACGATTTTGGGAGTTGTTCTATTCAACCCTTTTTTACTTTTTACCATATTTAAGAAGTTCTTTGAAATTTTATACATTTGGCCAAAATATACATACATTATACCTCTGAATGTTTGGTCTGATAATAACGAAAAATAACGAAAAGATATGATTGGTAAAAGCATGGGCTTTCAATTATCTAGTTGAAAGCCCATGGTAAAAGACATTGCACCCTTTTTTCTTTGCAGAGGGTAGATATTTAAAGTCAAAATTTGTTAGATTTCTAGTTATAACTAAAAATTTTTAAAGTACACTCAAAGTGAAATCGGTCGCGAGAAAGAGAGTTATGCCATACCGATATCTTGCATTTTAGTTTTGATTTATGTTTGTTCTTGCTATTGTTGACATTTTCACCAGATTTCATTTTTCAATGTTCAAAAAACAGAAAAGATTTTGAAAATCGTTCAGTTTCTTAGTTTATTTGTAATATTTCATTTCTTGGAGCTTCTTGCCTATTTTTACAACGTACAATCACCCATTTTTGCAGTGTGCTACCCCCAGGTGGTCAAACTTGGCTTTTCATTTCATGTTATTAGATCTTATTAGTAATTAAATGTATATTTTCCGTCCAGGGAACAATTGGGGCTGTGAGAGTAATGGTCGGTGTTGTAAAGGATGTGGGCCACAAGAGGAGTTCAAAAACTGTGCCGATATAGCCATTGTGGGGGACAGCTCAGTAACACAGGTATTAGAAGAAGAATGTCATCAACACATGAAGCAAAATGATCTAGTGTTAATAAAACTAGGGTATATGAAAATGTAGTTGAAAAGTAGCAAGGCATTAACAGACAAAATGTCACCACCTGCCATTTGTTACAGACACCGAACGCTAGACGCAGACCTCCGAACACTGTCCACAAAAAGGTTCAAGACTATAACAATGACATCACTTGTGGTGGTGCCATAATAAATGATCTTTCTCCATGTACATTTTTCCCAAAAGTGCAAAATTTGTTTTATGTTATACTCACTATCGGTAAATCAGAAGCTTGGAAACAATTTAGCTACAAAATTAGTCTCTGATAATGAGTAAAAACATTTGCTTGTGTTATTTTTAACCTTACTCCTGTTATTTCTCTAGGACCCCGAGGTGGCCACTAGAACAGAAAGTAGCACAACTGCAAAAGCGAGCACAAAGGCGAAAGTGAGCACAACTACCCCACCTACAGCTAAGCCAACTAGGCCTACACCAATAGTGAGGTACAAAATTGAAAGTACAGCAAAAATACTAATCTAGTACTGTGAGGTCAATATGATGAACTTTTGAATGAAGCAATTCATAAGTAACGATAGGTTCAGATAAAACCACCACTTTGTTATAGACCATACATTTTATTAGTAATTTCACGTGTGTGTTTCAGCACTACCCCCATAGTAAGACCATCACCCCGTACTGGGTGTAGGGCAGCTGAGGGGCCCTTCAGGAACCAACCAGGTCTAGATAAGTATTGTGAGATAAACTGTGCCAGAGGACACTGCCCTGCAACTCACTGTGTTTGCTAGAGGACACTTTATTTGAGGATATTAAGCTGATTTAAGGTGAACAGAGGGGGATCAGAGTCCCCATAAATTACCACATAAATTGAAATATTGATGCCAGTTAAGAAAATTACATGAAGGCATTGGTCGTTAACAATGTTTTGTCTTCAGATGTGCTGACAGAACACCATGAAATAAGTACACCTTTGATGTTACTACTATTATAATTTTTGATTATTTTTGAACAATAAAACATAATAGCAAATTCTGTACTATACATGTATTTGTTGTATACGTAAACAATAACATTTTCGATATTATCTCTTGATACATGAATTACATGTACACCAAACACATAGAGGATTTGAAAAGGCAAAACTAAAGGTCTAATATGAAAATATCAATTTTGAACAGTCTCAAAACAAAGCATTCAAGTTTAAAACTACATGTAATTGTATCTTTGTAGTCAAAAACATTTCGATAGATTTTACCTGTGATCTGGCACTTAACATAAAATACTGAGGCAATTTGCCTCTATTTAAACTAATGCTTGAAAATCATCGTGAATTTAGCATCATGTTTCAATCCAGCCATGATGTGAGTAGAAGTTTTGTATTTAATCGTATATATATTAATCAAAATGTTCCTCTGGAGGGCTAGTCAGAATTCAATCTAAAATGCGAATGCACATGAAATGTTTCTCTTGAAAGTTTACTGTTATAAAATAATACTAACTAGTGCCTTAATTAATAGATTTTCATACCTACAATATAATGAAAATTACATTTATTGTCAATAGTAAGCTATTATTGCAATGATCCCTTGGACACTATATACATGCATAATAATATATATGTAAAACACATGAATTGGGATGACCCAAATACATCATATCAAAACTACTATGTAAAATATACATGGAAAACTATACAAATCTCACTTTGTCAAAACAACAGAGTCGAGATGATAACAAAAACAGCATATTTAAGACAATCTAAATCTACATTCTTGATGCAGGCCATTTGTCAAAGAATGGCCAAACTGTTATTAAACCACCTTCATTGAAATAATCTTTCAATGATAATACTAATCATATAATAATAATATAATAGTAATATGTATCAAACACGACCTTTAAACTAGCCTAGAGGTGTTCATTTTATATCATGTAACTTTTTGAATTTGTGTTATTTTTTCAATGACCTCCGATTAACTTTTGATTGATAGGTCAATTTTGATATCATATTGATTATTTATGCACAGTGAATCCTGTCATATAGTGAACATCTCACTGCAACACAACTTGTTTACACCAAATGTGTTCACTGAACACAGGTTTCACTGTATACACTATACACCATCCTGTTGTCAATACCAGATTCAATTAATATCTTATTCACCTCTTAAAATGGAAGCTACAACATCAGTATTCTGATATTCCACTCATGGTGTAACATATCAAAGTTCCAGCTCAATCAGATGGTTTTTACATCATCTATAAGGAAATCACACCAACAAGTCCATATTTCAATAGTGACAAGTAGCCCTGGAATCGATAAGATGGACACACCCTGATTCCAATGTTGGATCCATATTGACTATGACTGAATCCACGATGTTATAATTAGCAGCGTCAATGTACTTATAAGTATTGCTATTGGATTGTGTGTAAGTTCTATTGCTGTGCCAAACACATTTTCGTCAAAGTCAAAGCAGGGTCGACTACCATCTGCTATAGCAAAGTTCTGACCCTCACAGAAAGCCTCGCCATTGGAATATGCCTCACCTGAAAAGAATCACAGGATTGATCAATATGACTAATATCACACGATTTCTAGTTCAGTTTCGAAATACATGTACTGTAATAACAATTTTACTAGATTTCCAAGAAAATCTCCATGCCTTCACTATTACAACTGGCAATTCTCGAAATCGTTGTTCCCTCTTCAAAAGAGGAGATGCGAAAATCTCTCCGTAAAAGGTCAAAATATTTTTCATGATGCAGTTCGCGGAGGAACAAATTTATACTTCCTTGTTTTCCCTCATAGGTTTAACATGGGGATATTCACACCTATTTTTCAAACGATATATTCGTTCATATTCCTGTATGAGAGTACAGAAAAAATTATTAGAAACGATTGATCTCTTATTTTATCTAATATAACAGCTATTATTATCATTGTATTGATTCATAGCGAGGTGAAAACGATGATTGAAAAGTGAGAAAATATTCGCCATATTGTAAAAAACAATTCCATTCGACTTTCAATATGTTCATGCCAATCTTACAGCGCTACAAACTGCAGCATCGATGCAACAACTGAATAAAAAATATTCATCTTCAAATTACACTATAGAGTTACGTTGAAAACCCACAACTGTGCAGTAGACCAAACAAGATGCGTCGCTATTATCTAGGTCAATCTGTTCAGTGGTCTGAAAGCAAATCTATAGTACTCGTTTCCGAACTTTGTTGTTCATTGTACAATCTTTTATTGATTAAACTCGGTATACTGACTATTAAAGCAATGACAAATAAGAATACTTCCGATGGTGTTATTGTTTTATTTAGCGTGCGGGTGTAAAAACAAAATTGCGTAATTAGATTGATTTAGAACTTTCGGGTCACGCAAATAGCTACGCGAAATGCATAGTGGGAAAATATTGACCAATCAAACTTTGTCCTTTTTGAGTGCTTTTTGAGTACATATTTGCCAACGTTCTGATTCATAGCGAACCGCGAAGGGGAGAATTACAGATAAATATTCCTATAGAATGCTGTTATTCAAAGACATACAGGGAAATTCATCAAAGAATTAAAAAAATTTCCAAAAACACAAAGGGAGACAAAGGGATGTTTTGTATGTTTGCAATAATTTGATTTTAAATCTATTAATATGACAGTCAGATCAGTAATAATTAAATAACTTATCCCAAGTGTCAAAATATTTGTGTTTATTGTTTTTTTGTAATCAAATAGCATCTCCAGTCTCCACTGTGCTAATTTTGGTGCCCATAATATAAATTGCATGAACTTGCAAGGAAACAAGGAAAATTATTGGGTAAAGATTTACGTGAGTATCTCAAGTCATGTTGAGTCATACCTCTTGTAAAGTAAAGGGGACCATAATAATAGGTGTTCAACCTAAGTAGACAAATACTAATACAAATCTTTACCTATCTTCTTTCCTTTGTAATCTGCTGTTCTACATGATTCAAATAGATCTGTGCAGTAGGACGAACAGAGATAAGCTTTCCTGAAAGAAAATATGAACCTATTTTACATTACGCAACATGTGAGCTGATTTAAATAGGTACTTGAAATAACTCAAGAAATTTGAAAGAGGGTATATCTATTTCAAGGGCATTTCTCAAAAACATTTTTTTTGCTTTAAATCTTATTTTGCTAAAACATTTATGGGAAATCTTAAGACCCATGAGGGACTTCCTATGGTTGATTTAAGGTTAGTGCCATATTTTTAAGCTATCTTGTTGAACATATCATCACATGAACGCATAAACTTAAGCAAAATACATATCATCAATACATTTACTTATACTTGGCATGTAAATAATACTTAAAGGTACCCCCCCACGAACCCCGTCTGCCACGGGCCTGACTTACTTACTTAAAGTTACATGTACTTGTCATCGCATCAATATATCCACTTGTCAAACCATGTGCATACTTGTCATACTATTGATACACGTAATGTACTATATGTACTAACTAGTCATACCATGAGTAAATAATACTTGTTTTGCTATATGTATTTACTTACTGCAATTGTCATGCCATTCAATGTAATTGCCATAGATACCATCAATATATTACTTACTTGTCATACCATCTATGTTGCTCAGGGCTACAGAAGTAGCACATCATGTAATTGATTTTATTACGGCAATCAACTGTAGCATCATGTAGGGGCAACATCCCTCCAAACACAGACGTCACCTCTGTACGCTTGCAGCATGCCTTCTCAGAGTACCATGAACAATTCACTAAGCCAGACTCGGGGGATGCATATCTCGATGATTCTTCAAGCAAGAATGAAAGATGTAAATAGGAGTAACACATAGCTACACAAAAATGACACTAAGCCTTTATCAATCACCAGTTTAGTCCTATGGATTATGAAAGTGATTTTACATGTAATTTCTACTCCCACCATAATAATAGCTTATTCAATTATGTGACCAGCTGACTGATAATACAGTAGTGATTTACTCACTTCGAGAGCCATGTTAGATTTTGAAACTTATGGCTCTTCAATGGAGAAATGGACAGTGACCTTTGAAACACGAATTAAGGTGATCAGCGGCTTACTTTTGTTCTCTAACTATGTCATACATCATTATCATCCTTCCGTGCAAGTATTGAAGTGCTGAAGTACTTTCTTTTCAATCAAGACTTGGAATTGTTAGCTGAGTGATAGTTTTTTCTGCCAAATTCCAATATGGCGTTTTCTGCTCGGACATTTCCATAAATCTCCGGAGGTTGTTCGAACCTCTAACTCATTCTCAAAATTCAATTCGTTTGTTGCATCATGGGCTTTCAACGAAGCCCATGGTTGCGTATCTCACTCCTAGCAAACCGCCATATTGGAAATGGGTCGAAAAAACATTCACTCGATGAACAATTTACAAGTCTTGATCGAAAAAGAAGTATTTCAGCGCTCCAATACTTGCACGGATGGATGATACTGAAGTAAGACACAGTTAGATACCAAAGGTAAGCTGCTGATATTATTCATGTTTAAAGGTCACTATTATTCAGCTGTCCAGTGCACCGTGGGAAAGCTTTTGTATTGTATTGTATTTTGTTTACCACCAATGAAGGTGAGCAATACCTCTTGGGTATATCCCGCATATAACTGTCGTGATCTACGTAATTAACCTGGAAGATAGACCCGGAAACCCCTCCTTGAAGGAGGGTTTGTAGAAAAAACCGGGTACCAGGTAGTAAATCCTCAATGCTGGGTTCAAACTTGGTACCCGGTCGAAAAAACCGGGTACCCAAAAAACAAAGTGTAAAACGTGTAAGATTTGTTTTGAATTTACAAAAATGTATGTAACTTCCTTCAAAATTGAGCTAGAAGCTTCAAATAAAAAGCATATTTTGGGACAACTTAAATTATGATTAATAATTAAAATCTTACACGTTGCATCATGTAAATTAATACACGTCACCTCTCTGCTAAAGTAACGATAGCTATTTACAGAATTAAATCATAATCAAAACAATTCACGTACCAACATAGGAACTATTGAAAATAGAGTAAGATTGATTTGTCTTGTTTTTCAAATCATATTACAATGTCACAAGCGTAGCCAGGAGGTGCGATGGTGAGATCGCACCCCTCCCCCCATAACCAATGAAAATATGAACATGATGATAGAGGAAGAAGAGAGCCTTAAAATGCTTTTTATTTGAAGCTTCTACAGTAAAATTTTAAATGTTAGTAACTAGTGTTGTCGCGATGTGCCATAATCGTACATCGACGCATCGGCAATTTTCAGTAGTAAACATTGATGCACATCGCGATGTACATCGAGAAAAAGTCCGAGAAAAGTGCACTGAAATACCGAACGCTAATGCACTAAAATACCGAACAGAACAAATTAATAAGAGTACGCTGGTACATCCGGGGACTTCTAGTAAAGGAGAAATGAAACTAAAAGTAAATCTTTTTTAGATTAATGGTTCATTTCGAAAGAAACCCAATTGAAAAATAAAACTAATTACCAACTTATTACCAACTAATTTACAACTAATTATCAACAAATCTGCTGGCAATTGGAATTAAAGTTAAGCGTTAATTAAATCAATGATAATTATGGCCTAATTATCAGTAGCAAGTTCAACGTAAATTAACTTACAATAATGCTGATTTATGATTTTTAGTTGATAATTAAGATATGAAATGTTTGAGGGTGATAGTTAGTGGTAAATTAAAACGTTTTTGTTCTGAAGTAGATTATTGGGTGATAGTTAACATATAGGATGATTATAATGATAATTAGTTGTAAATTAGGCCCATGATTTAGAAATACAAACCCCCTAAATTTAATTTCAAGATGGTGGAAAAAGAAAACATGTGAGAGATATTTCTCTCATAAAATTGAGAATTACAATGTGAATGGTGCGTATACTACCATGAAATTTGGTCAACATTATTATAAGGGTATGTAGAACATGAATACAATGTATGTTAAATCTTATTCACACTTCTGTCTGAAATGTTTATGAATTTGAAAATCTTTTTGAATCAGATCATATAATATTAATCCTAGAATGCAATTTAGGTACTAACATGGGTTACCTATATTTCACAAGTAATCCAAATGTGCTCTTCTAAATAATGATTGTTAGATCAAAGACATTTCAAAACATATTTTTGATTATATCTGTTACGTCCTTATTATGTAACATTATAGTCTAATGTTTGTGTTCTGATTTTAGTTGTTGATGGCAATAATGATGTTTTCACATGCTTTTCATGAATCTTAAAAGTTTGCAAAATAGAATAGCTTTAAAAAAGAGGGGGAGAAACCCCAGGGTTCAAAGATGACATACGCTTATAATGTTAATCTGTATTGAGATGACATCGTCGCTGATTGGTTTAGCGAGTCGATCGTTGATTGGTTTAAAACTAGGTCAATTTGAAAACTTTGAAAACCAAGATGGAGGGTACGTTTTTGACAAAAGGAGATGTGCGAAGGAGGAAATCGTATGTCATCAACTGAATCATGGGGGTTTCCCTCCCCTTGCTGTGAAATTTCAATAGTTCAAGTTCAATGTTGTCTGTTCTGAAAGATCCTAATTAAGATGAATATTCCGTCACAAAATAGTTCAAGATGAAGCAAAAATCTCCGAGTGAAGGGAAACAAAAAAGAAGCAAGTCATTTTTGAGAAGTCACAAATCTGACTTAAACCTAACTTTCAACTAATTATCAATAGTAAGTTAGGTGATAATTAGAGATTAACTTACATCAAACTTACAACTAACTTTCAACTAATTTACGTAAATAGCTCATTTGCATATTGATGGTAGTTAATCGTTAATTAAGTTGCAAATTAAGCGTTAATTAAGTTGATAATTAGCTCATTTGCATGTGAATTTTTACACCTAACTTTCAACTAATTATCAATAGTTAGTTAGGTGATAATTGGAGATGATTTTCCATAGGCTTTTTTCAATTGGGAAATCAGAAAACATTAGAAAATGAAATAAGACATAAGAAAGGTAAGCGATTTGCGTCAAAATAAGATAAGAAAGGGTGATTTTTAGCAAATTAAATTTTTTTTAAAACATCGATGTTTTGTTTCAGACATCGATGCATCGCCAGAATCAGCTTTGGTGATGTATATCGCGATGTATCGATTAATCGCGACAACACTATTAGTAACTACTTTGAATTTAAAAAATAAGCAATCAAAGGACCATATTGAAGCAGTATATGTAAAAATAGATACATGTCCTAACTTTTGTATATTTTGGTTTGTTTTGTAGTTTAGCTATCATAGCTGTGCCCTCATATATTTTGATGCTTCTCCGCCATGTTATTTTCGGAAAAATTAACATGGCTGAAACTCCCTAAATTACAAAAGGTCACAGCTTTACTGCACATTATACATAACTATCTGAAATATACAAAAGTTAGGACAAGTACATACTGTACGCCCGGTATTATTCGCGAGCTTTAATTTCGCGAATTTTGCGAAAACACGGTTTCGCGGCTATTAAATTTCGCGAATTCTCAAGCTAAATTACTAGTAGATGTACAGTAATTGCACTTACCTGATGTCATAGTTGGATCAGATTTACAATAACTTGGATCTTTATGATCGGCAAGCTGCATATCAACTTCTATTATCGCATCGTTAATTTCGGTCTTATTTTAAAACGAAAAAGCAGTTTGAATTCGTATTTTGTATTACATGTTGGTGCAAGGAGGATTGGCTCCCAGAGTGCAACATCGATATTCTGTCCCATATATGAGCATGTCGTGATACAAAATTCGAATTCAAGCATCCGCCATTTTGTTCACTTCAACATTTGAATCGTGAATTTTGATCTTATTTCCTCACGAAAAATTCCAAAACTCACAAGAAATGATCGAGATATTAGTTCGAATCTTTTGGACCGTTTATTTTGAATTTATAGTCGGTTATAATTTCCGAAAATAACGACATTTCGACGTTTTCATTGTTGGAAAATATCGAGTGTCGATCCTGGGAGCCAATCCTCCTTGATGTTGGTGGAAATCATCCAATTATCGCCCAATAACACTAGACGAAACGTTTTACACAAAAAGAAATGCATGTTGTAGTTCTTCTTACAGATGTAGGAATGGAGGGATCAGAAGTTGACGAAATGCATCAGAGCCCCGGGTAAAAACAAATTCCCGGGGATTTAATTGGCAATTTCGCGACTATAATTTTTCGCGATTTTAACACCATCGCGAAAAGCGCGAAAGTTAATCGCACGCGAATAATACCGGGCGTACAGTATGTTTCTATTTTATATACTGTTGCAATATAGTCATTTGATTGCTTATTTTTTAAATTCAAAGTAGTTCCTAACATTTAAAATTTTACTGTAGCTCAATTTTGAAGGAAGTTACATACATTTTTGTAAATTCAAAACAAATCTTACACATTTTCTAATGATAAATGTTATATATTCGTATTTTTTCGTTTTTTTGGGGACTGGGTACCAATTTTGAACCCAGCATGGAGGATTTACTACCCGGTACTTACTCACGTCGAGAGCTACCATGTTAGATTTTGAAAGTATAGCTCTCCATCGTGAGGATCTCCCAGCTGAAGAATTGTGACAGCTAAATTTGATCAGCGCCAGTCAGCGGCTTGCTGTTTGTCTCAAACTGTAGCCTACATATGGGCTCATATGTGTCTACTTTCCCCGTGCATGTAGGATCGCGGATGTGCTTCTATGGCGATCAGGAGTTCTAATCGTTTTTTGTTCGATACCCATTTCCAATATGGCGGTTAAACGGAAATACTATCGACGCATGCGCAACTTGGGAAACGTCAAGCCGCCATATTGAATATACCTGGCCAAAACTTTTGACACGACCAATAAAATGAAGTCCTGATCGATACATAGGGCAGTGAGACGTTCTATAGTTGAGCTGAATGAAAGATGGCGATGTAGGATACATTTTCAGGTATATAATGTGCAACATGAGTCCGCTGAATTCCCTGAAATTTTCTTTGAAGTCAGGATTCTTAAGCTGTTGATTCTAGCGATAGAGAGCTATACTTTCAAAATCTAAGTAGCTCTCGACGGGAGTAACCCGGTACCTGTTTTTTTCTACAAACTTCCCTGAAGTAGCCCTGTGTTCTTTTATGTGCACTAACTTATACATAGACATACAAGTACACACAACAGCCTTTTGTACGAGTTGTGGACTATTATTAAAACGCACATGGAATTTCATGCGCTGCCAGAGGCCACCATTAATTTTTTTTGCATCAAGGGCCGAATAGACACGGACGTTAAACCTAGGGCGGGCCATAAGATATGTCAGATAAGAAATAAGGCCCAGACTACGTTTAACTTGTTGAACTAGGTCTAATGTTGTTGAACTATGATCTCAGCCAGATCTGTGAGTTTTTATTTTCTTTACTGTAGATCATATGTCTGTAGTTTTCAATTATTCGACCATATGTTGGAATCAAAACTGGTTCCAATCAAACATTCAACATACCAAAATATGTGCACGGCCTCTTATCATCCTCAAAGTACTCAATAGTCTCCGCTAGACAGCTTGAAAGTAAACTTGCAAAAAATATCCACAAAGCCATTTTATTGACATCTCGTAAAATCTCGAATAAAATCTTGCTAAGATCACGTGCCGTTCAAAATGGCGTCTACTTGGAAAAAAATTCGTGGTCTGCGACCTCAAAGATTTTGGCAGTTTGTCGTTGATCCACAAGTGCCGAGTGTTGTTATGATCCTTCTTCTAGTAGCGGAATGTGTAGTGAATATTTCGGTCATACACAAAATAAAATGTAGGCTATAATAATTTTTGTAGCAGTTGTACTCTTATATTTTAGATTTCTTTCAAATTCAATTATTTCAATAATAGGACATTCAGTCATCAATGATTAATACAGTTCACAGGAACCTGTATCAACACCTGACAGTGACATCTATTGGTGAAGAGATAAAATGCTTAAGTGGTCGTAGAATTCGATAAATTCCTTCATGGTTTATTTTGTACCAGAAGATAACATAAAGTGGGGACCAAAAATAAACCTCAACCATCAAAAGTTGTCACAATGAGCTAAATTCTAAGTTTCGTGTCTCAAACTCTCCCATGAGGTAGGAAAATAATTCCTGTTCACTTTAAGTAGCACAATAAATGAATCCAAAGCTTCATACTTGCAAATGATGGATAAATCCCTACCAAATCGAACGAATGTTTTCATGAATCACCACGTTTGTGATTCAAGGAGGATTGACTCCCAGAATGCCGCATCAGTTAACCTTATTTACTTGTGACAGATTCCAAAATGGGGGAACGGCATTTTGAAAGGTGACATGTGTCATGTTGCATTCTGGGAGCCAATCCACATTGTGGCGTAATAATCGGGCTCCAAAATCACCTCAACATTTGAAGAGTCGACATTAACTTAACAATGTCCACTTCAAATTTTTAAGTTCCTATTTGTCATTATGGACACAAATTCCACTATATCTGGACTTACTAGGACAGAGAAAATAGAGCACCAAATACACTGAGGTAAGAATTTATTTCATGTGCGACAGCATGTAATTTTCATAGCTTTTGTAATTCTTTATGTTCCCCACTGTACATAATACAGTGGGGAACATAATGACAAATAAGAACTTTAAAAAAATTTGAAGTTGATATTCACATGTTAATGCAGAAAAAACAAAAGACCACGGGCAGTATAGCAAGTGATTTTAGACGGTCATATCTTTCACCATGAGTAAATACAGTGGTTTTTATTAAAACAATATGTTTTCCTCTCAAATGAATTACCCATGATGATAAAAATATCAATCGAACAATTCGAAAAATTAAGAATAGGGACCCCATGTCAACATTTTTTTCAAAATATTGAACTTATTTACTCAAAAGAGGATCTCCCTTTTCTGATTTTTATTGCATGAAAATATTATTCAACAAAGGGTCTAAAACATCTTCAAAATTATAATTGTATTGAATGTCTAGTTTTGATTATATCCATTTTCGATGACCAAAATGATGCTGAAAACAATGGATAGCACGAATTTTCCCTATGGGAAAATAAGATATGTGGTTTTTAACTTTTATGCATTTCAATACACATCCCCTTTTCAGAAATTGTTCATATAGTGTAGAAGAAACTGTTGATATGTTTAAATTGAGAAAAGGAAGATCCTATTTTTAGAAAAAAGCCTAACATTTTTAAAAAAGTGCCAGGGTGGGGCCCTAATCCATAATTTTTCAGAGAGTTGAACTGATATTTTAATATCATGGGGACTTCACTTGAAAAAGAACATATTGTTTTAATATAAACCATTGTTTTTATGGCCACAAAGTACTCATGGTGAAAGATATCAATGTCTAAAATCACTTGCCATACTGCACATGGACCTTTTAGGGGATATGTATCAAGACAATACTGGAACCACCATGGGCTTTCGAACCACCATGTTTTTAAAATTGTGATAGAAAATCTACTACTCATTTATTTATGGTCCAAACTGTAAGATAAAACAGTTATCTGACCCTAGTCAGGCACATGGTTTACTGAACACACCTGTCTAAAGCCAAAAAAGACTTCTGTCAGCTCGATAAAGTAACACCAGGTTGTAGAAATGGTAAATACTGGCACGATTATTTTTATTGATCATTTATTTTTTCATTTGTTGATCTGTTTTAGATACCGAGATTGACTGGGTCGCGTATATGCAGGAAGTTGAAGGTGTTGTAAATGGAACTTACGATTACATGGAACTCAAGGGGGATACTGGACCTTTAGTGTAAGTCCCTTTGACTTTTATTATAGGTGTCACACTGACCCGAAGTCGACCCAAATATCGGGTCGGAGAGCTTGGGTCTGGTCACAAACAACTTCTTACCAATTTCAGGTTGCGTCAGAACACTCAGAACTTTCATAAAATCTTTATTTTTCCTGCAAAATTTTTGGCTTACCTATTTCTTGAATATGTATAAATCATGAATGAGTATACTGTACGCCCGGTATTATTCGCGTGCGATTAACTTTCGCGCTTTTCGCGAGGGTGTTAAAATCGCGAAAAATTATCGTCGCGAAATTGCAAATTAAATCCCCGGGAATTTGTTTTTACCCGGGGCTCTGATGCATTTCGTTTTATCTACTAGTTTGGATCGAGTTATAGTACTTCAATAGTACTGTGCAACTCCATGACTTTACTATGCGCATGCGCGGCAATGAAAGCGCACGTGCGCACGATTGTTCACGTGATCGTAGCCTGCAATTTGATTGGACATCATATACTGGGGAATCCCCGAATACGATAAAATACAGTATTCGCGAAATTTAATAGCCGCGAAACCGTGTTTTCGCAAAATTCGCGAAATTAAAGCTCGCGAATAATACCGGGCGTACAGTAGTTTGCGGTTGTTCCTAATGATTTAATTCTAAGTTTCTATCATTTTCCTTTTATCAAAGCATTATATGCAATAATGCAGACTTAAGCAGCAAGTCAAATTGATTTTTGTGTTTTCTTCTCACTGACCTGAAATTACCCGACCCGCATATTATTTTTCTGGCCCGACCCAACCCGAAAGATATCTGGCCCGTGACACCTCTAATTTTTTATATCTCCACCACAAGTGGTATATATTTACAGTCAAGTTACTACTTTTGGCGTCTAACAAATGGCCGGAGATGACAGTTTGCATGTTAATGCCTTGTTTAATAAATACAATATAAACTCATACTCATGCATTGGCAACTACATATGTTCATTTATGTTGTGTAATTTTTTTTAGCTCTTATTTACAATATTTTATTGCTTATGATGTACGCAAAATAATAATTACAATGAATTTGTTATTTTAGGTATCCAGCTGGGTTTGTGTATATATACCTTGGCTTATACTACATCACTGGTTATGGACAGAATATCCGACTAGCCCAGTACTTATTTGCTGGACTTTACATTGTGAATCTTCTACTAGTGTTCAGGATTTATAGAAAAGTGCAAAAGGTAAGTTAACCCAATGTATATAATTATGAAACCAAAAAAAGCTCATCAGACAGTGACACATACTTGCCTTTTTTGGCAGATTTTTGTCCTCGAAATAAGGAATAACTAGCTGTATCAGAATTGATTAGTACAAGCAGTGCATGGGCAATTGAACTGGATTAAAGTGTACAACTCTTCATGAATAATATGAATTTGAAACTCTGCTTTCAACATTACTTGAAAGAATTCTCATTGTGGCTTTTTGTTACCTCATGATTTGTGCATTATAAAGTTGGTGAAAACTTCTTATTTTCAGAGTGTGATTTTATTTCAGTTAGATTCAAGTGACCAAACCTTTGAAATCACATTCCGATATATCAGTTTCTCTAAAGCTTGTGAGAGCCAGTATATTCCAAGAGATGGTACTGGCTGTGGATTTCTCAATGCTGAACTTAGATCGTTCCAAAACTTCATCTTAGTGTAAAACATATCAGCCATGTCTGTCATAACCTGAATTGAATAATTACAACAAAGATAATTTTGAAGCATTTATTATATTAAAGATTTATTTCAAAAGCAGATCAACAAACATGAACAAGAACAAGATCATTTTTGTAAGATGTCATCACTCTCTTATATAAATATGCAAAGTCACACAAATCATTTTGACATGTTTTCTTGGGATATGCACTAGCCTGCACTTGGTTTGTGTAGTATATCACACCTTGAGTATGCCTTCTTGTAATCAGTGTAAACTTATGTGACCTATAATACAGTAGTAATAACCACCAAAAAAACACTGCTTTAACATGATGAATTGATTATTAAACATTATGATCTACAGGGGCAGAGGCTTGCACAGCTGCTATACATCAGTAACTACATTTGGTTCAATAACCTGGTGTAATATCACATTATCTCCATTTCTTTCTCACAGTCCATATGATAAATTATAATACCAAGACTTCACAAGGTCATGTAGTTGTGACTTATCTGATCATGTAATGACATAATATGTTGGTGAAAGTACATATATCACATTATTTAGCATTAACTAAAACAGGCATTGAGGTTCCAAGCAGTTTTCTTAAAGTTCAGTAGTGAATTTTACATTATAAAACAGTAACTATACTCTGGTGCTATAACTTTTTTTTCCTATTCTTATGAAGTTCTATTTTTATTGGTCATTGGGGATATCAAAATCTAGCAGGTTTAACTGGTTAAAGATATCAGATGTTTAGAGCAAATTTTCCTTTATTTTAATCAGTGCACTTGTGTCATATCATTCCTTGTCGTGCATCTTTTCTAAAAGTCAAAAACTATATTAATATAATGTTTCTATATACAGCTCTATTTATTTTGTTCTCATAAAATATGCCCATTTATATTATTATTTTGGCCTAGCCGCTATAAGGTTTAACCAATCATTGTATATCTTATTAAGACCTACCATCACTGTACATTACTTTCAAGTTTACAATCTGTACATATTCAATCTTGAATAACTTTTCCATTCGGTAAAACATCATGGTTCTTTTTTACCTCTTATATTTGAAGAACTAAATGACACATTGGTTGATGATTTTTTGTCAGATCTAATTGTGTCAACCCCTGATAAAGTATTTCTGATTCTACCAATGTGTCATCAGTCATGCATTTAGTGCTTAAATATAATTTTCTGCAATATAGTATGTAGAAAATATATATCACCTTTAGATATTGTGTTATTAAGCCACATACTACATTTGTGATAAATATATCAAGGGGAGATTTGTCGAATTTCGACATATGGGGTTACTTCATCATGGGGCTACTTCGACCAAGGGGTTATTTCGAGAATTGCTGATAATTCATACTTCCGGGGTCAGCCATCTTGGATTAAGATCTATCTCGCCTGTTGGAGACTTCAAATTTATTTTTTAAATTTTTCAAAAACAAACATGGCAGACTTCATGAATCGGAAATATAAGCCAATGTCGAAATAGCCCCATGATCGAAATAGCCCCATGACAAAGTAACCCCATACGTTGAAGTTCGACGGATCTTCCCTAATCTGCAAGATTTATTATAAGTTGTACCTTACTCATAACTTCATAGTGTACACATAGAATGATTCCTCATAAAAAATCGTGAAACTTGACATTTAACCATTTATCAAGGTCATTCATTTGCTCTACATTTTGGAGTTAATTTGATTTGAAAAACACAACAAAATTATGTGTTAGGTACAATGCATTTAACAATATACATAAGTATCTTGGATAGTGTAATATGTACAAAGCATTTGGAAATTATGATGGATTTCAGTTTTTAGGATATTTCTTACCATCCATGTCCATTTAATACAGCTCAGTTTGCTGTAAGAACTAATTGTGCATTGTACATGTGTGTAATTATATATATATAATACATATACAGTACGTGAAAATATCACAAAGTATTTTTTGTTTCAAAAAAGTTACAAATGGGATAACAGATCAAACAATCTTACTAAACATCAATATAAGTACTGCATTTTGAAGTCAGATCTTGAGTCTATTTTTTTCATTGACTTATAAAACTGGAGTGAAGAATTTTACACAGATTGTTTCATGTAATAATACTGCACTTTAAATAAATACTCCAGTGAGTCTTAATTTCAAACAGATCTTTTTAGGGATGGTATACTGTACGCCCGGTATTATTCGCGAGCTTTAATTTCGCGAATTTTGCGAAAACATGGTTTCGCGGCTATTAAATTTCGCGAATTTCACAAGTTTGAAATTCATTATTCTCGGAATTCTCAAGCTAAATTACTAGTAGATGTACAGTAATTGCACTTACCTGATGTCATAGTTGGATCAGATTTACAATAACTGGGATCTTTATCATCGGCAAGCTGCATATCAACTTCTATTATCGCATCGTTAATTTCGGTCTTATTTTAAAATGAAAAAGCAGTTTGAATTCGTATTTTGTATTACATGTTGGTGGAAATCATCCAATTATCGCCCAATAACACTAGACGAAACGTTTTACACAAAACGAAATGCATGTTGTAGTTCTTCTTACAGATGTAGGAATGGAGGGATCAGAAGTTGACGAAATGCATCAGAGCCCCGGGTAAAAACAAATTTAATTGGCAATCTCGCGACGATATTTTTTCGCAATTTTAACACCATCGCGAAAAGCGCGAAAGTTAATCGCACGCGAATAATACCGGGCGTACAGTACACATTAAAAGCTCTTATAATAACAAATATCAAGCTAAATATTTTTATCAAGCATTTTCTCGATCAAGTCACATACCTTATTTTCTTGTAAAAGTGGGGATACACTTTTTTCTTGTAAAAGTGGGGATACACTTCGTGTTGTTTTCCTTTAGAAGAACTATGGGCCTGAAGCTCAACTCAAAGTGCTTCCTATAAAAGGCTTACTGGGTGTTTGAGAATTTATTTTGTATATCTCCTTGAATATTTTTTCTAAATAGCACTTTATATAGCTAGCGATCATATATAGCTAGCCATCATAGAAGAATAGGGCCAGAATTCTTTTTGAACTGTAAACAACACACTTGTTTACTGGAAAATTTATAATATTTCTTAGAATAAAGTCAGTAGGCATCATTTCGAAATTCAATAAATTTGCCAGACACAAGTATCTTACAAAGTTGCCTTATTACAAGAAAACAAGCAAAGAGCCCTAGTAGTTGTAAGAAGGTGGAGGCCCATTCGGGTTTTTCTCATCAGGTTTCACATCTGGGTTGTATGGCGGGGGTTGGGGTCCACCTGTTGCTTGAGGCTGACCATATTGTGGCTGTTGACCATATTGTTGCTGTTGACCATATTGTGGCTGAGGCTGGCCATATTGTGGCTGAGGTTGGCCGTATTGTGGCTGAGGCTGGCCATATTGTGGCTGTCCATATTGTTGGGGTTGTGCCTGTTGTCCTGTAAGAATGTTAATATATAATGAATGTCATGTACAGGCTGTGCCAAAAAACTTTTTTAGAAGGCTAGAAAAGTATTACAACATTATGGTTGAAGTTGAAGTCAGTATTAGCTTAAGTATTTGAATGGTAAAATATGCCTATTTCTCATGTCAATACCATAATGTTATGATACTTTTTTCGCCATCTAAAAAAGTTGCAAATTTTTTGGGCACACCCTGTACTTATGTCCTGTAGCTATTGTTGGAACTGTTCTCCGATATCACTCCTTGTTGGATCTGTTCAGAAAGCACCTCCCATATTTTCAAAAAGTGTGGCAAAACTGATTTACTCTTTACTTGGCACTTAATTGTATTTATGGTGATACATTGCTATTTAAAGGAATACCCAAAAATCACTTATACTTAAACTTTATCCTTAATTTTACAAATACTAACATAAGAATGCCATTCAATAATCACACAGATGTACAATTAAGTGAGTTTACCTGGTGGTGGGATAACTGTAGTCGTTTGACCCTGTGGGTAGTATGCGGCCTGCGTGGCAGGCTGGCCTTGGGTTATAACTGTGGTCTGCCTACCTTGAACAACATATCCCGGGGATGACTGGAAGTCAAACAGAGAATACATAACTACAGAATGATATAAAAATATTAATATGAGTTATTATAACAAGATTGATTCGGTAACAATTTAAATTGTGATTTAACCAAGGTCATCTAAATCTGTTTTTTGTGTAAGTATTTAAATGATGAGGTACCGTTATAAAATACTACTGTGCATGCATCATTACTTTGCAGTACAAAAAAGATAATAAGGCCATTTAAATATCAAACAATGACGGAATGTGCATATAAATGTTGTCGTAAATTACTTAATCAGTAAGATGCATTTGCATTTAAAAACCTCTACCTCTGGGATGCATTATTATGTCAAAATCCCACCCCTCTGGAGAAACTGTGTCAAAGTCCTGACCCTTTGCTTTTAAGGGTTCAGCTTTAAATGGTGCATAACAAGGTACCGTATTACCATAAGTTTCACTATTGCTGTTGCAAATTGCTATCAGAAATACTCCAGTAAAACTATGAAACAGGACAATTTGGTACAATGAGGATATTACGCAACCATGTTAAAATAAACTCTTCTAATCTCACACTACCCTACCTCGATCACGCATGCGCGAATTTTTTGGCTTTCAATCAGGTCGCTTTTGAGTATATCGACTGCTTATACTCAAAAGGTTAATACGTTTGGTGCTCGGAGTGAGTCAATATTGCTATTTGCTACACTTCAGTGGTGCAATAGTGAAGTCGATGTTCCAAGTTATATGATAGTTATAGAAAGAATGAAAATAATATCGTTTTAAATTTTAAAATATTTGATATGTCATAGTACACGGTACACAGTTGCAAGTTGATCAATACAGGGTACAAGGAATGTAAATTGTTCAATAGTACAGGGAGCGAGAAAGTAAGCTGATTATACAGACATACTATGTCCTGACCTCGTGTACATTTACGTTGCAAACAGTGAAAGTAATGCTAAAAAGGCCGCCTGTTGATGCATTGGGGTGTCATCAATTGTTATTTAATCCAAAAAGGAAACATTATTTTGTAGATTTAGACACAAGCTTTCAGGTCGTATGCATTTTAGTCATAAAATTAACAAGAACGCTAGATTATACGTGTTACTAGGATATCAAATTGAAATAAAATAATGAAATTAAATATTAAGACGTTAATGATAAATGACTATCCGCTACTCAGAATAATTAAAATTGCCTGAACTACATGTGAAGAATCTTTCTATATAACCCCTTGAATGGTATAATTCACTACCGTCCTCAAAAACCGATCATTTAAAATGTTTTGTTCAAATTCACAAAAATACAGTTGAATAACATACTAGAAAACATATCCACATATAACATGATGACACGAAGTTTAAATAATAGTTAACTGTTTTTTTGTTACATATCAATTATCAATGTAACATTTTCGAAGGGAAACTTACATGCTCCCTGTACGTTGACAGATTTACTGAAATGTATCGTGTATTGCATTCGAGTTTTGCTTCACTGCGCCCACTATTATCTATCTTTGCCTATAGTGGTTTTTAGCCAACAATATTCTACAAACTGCTTGATGAATCAATTCTATGTCTGGTAGAACACTAGAAATAAATGTAAAATGTATTTTACGTTCAGAAATATGAAATTAAACCCACGTCCTCCATTTGCAACTTAGCTGTACCCTGTTTCCATTTTAAACGTGGTCACGTGGTAGGGTAGTGTGAATCTACCAGTGTTAACTGCTGCATATAGCCAGTATTATCGGACACTTTGGTAAGAAAATTTCAAAAATTAGTACCGTGGGTACTGGGCTCACATGGTGACAGAAAAAAACGGATATAATTTTTTGCTGATTTTTTGTAACAAGATTATTTCAAGCCACTTGCCACTATTTTGGACTGACGGAGAGACAGATGGACAAATCGATGTTAAGTAAAATTGCTGAAAAAAAACGGATATAATTTTTTTCAATTATTTGGAACAAAATTATTGCAAGTGCAAGACACCTGAAATTATTTGTAAAGCTAGGAAATGGGTCAAAAGTGAATTTCAAGAATGGCGACCATTTTGAAAATAGGCGAGCTTTTGAACCAAGAGTCATAGGAGAGTTTTTTGTATTGATGTTGAACAAAATTAACTTAAAACGGGAATCCTATCGACAGAGGTTTTAAGGTAAATGGTCAAAAAGTGGATTTTGCGAGACAGATGGACAAATCAATGTTAACTAAAATGGCTGAAAATAAAAAAAATGGATATAATTTTTCGCTGATTTCTCGTAACAAAATTATTTCATACATCTTCTCTTTACATTGACATGGATTTTTACAATGTATGACACTTGAAATTATTTGTAAAGCTAGGAAATGGGTCAAAAGTGAATTTCGCGAGACAAAAATGGCGGCCATTTTGAAAATAGGCGAGCTTTTGAACCAGGAGTCATAGGGGAGTTTTCTGTATTGATGTTGAACAGAAATAACTTAAAACAGGAATCCTATCGACAGAGGTTTTAAAACGTGCCACTGTTATTGACGAAAAGTGGATTTCGCGAGTCAGATAGACAAATCAATGTTAACTAAAATGGCTGAAAATAAAAAAATATTATAACATATATCTACCCTTTACATTGACATGGATTATTACAGTGTAGGATACCTGAAATTATTTGTAAAGCTAGGAAATGGGTCAAAAGTGAATTTCGCGAGACAAAAGTGACAGCCATTTTGAAAATAGGCGAGCTTTTGAACCAGGAGTCATAGGGGAGTTTTCTGTATTGATCTTGAACAGAAATAACTTAAAACAGGAATCCTATCGACAGAGTTTTAAAGGAAATGGGTCAAAAGTGAATTTCGCGAGACAAAAGTGACGGCCATTTTGAAAATAGGCAAGCTTTTGAACCAGGAGTCATAGGGGAGTTTTCTGTATTGATCTTGAACAGAAATAACTTAAAACAGGAATCATATCGACAGAGGTTTTAAAACGCGCCACTATTGTTGACGGACAGACAGACGGACGGACGGACGGACGGACAGACGGACGGACGGACAGACAGACGGACAAGTGAGTGATTGCAAAAGCTCACCATGTGAGCTAAAAACAACTACTCACTGATATATTGAAATAACTGTTACCTTCTAGGCTAAATAAGTGACTAAAGCAAATGAACAAACGTGTGAATCAGATATAAACTTAATGAATCCTGCCTAGTTTTGCATTAATCACACAATGTTATACTCACTGTATAACAGCACACGGCAGCACATCCAAATGATGATCCAATGATGCAGAGAATCCCCTCGGCTAATGTGATAGCAAGTAACAAGGCATTCACTGCCAGCTGAGGATCCTGAAAAAGTAATAAACTACAAATTACAAATTGTGGAAGAAATACCACTTAACTTACAGATGATGTACTGTAAGACATACATAGCCACCAACATGTGGTGGTGACATAAAAATGGAAATCTCAACAAACAAATTCATGAATCTGAAAAATGTCACAATATAATATTACTAAAGTTAATTTAAGGTTTGGGTGGCCATTTTGAATTTTCAAGTGCACAAACAGAAAGAGAAAACATAAAGATCTACTTTTAGATCAAAATATTTATATGAAAATGTGTCCATTAATATTTCAATTATTTTCTGGATGGGGATGGATCCCAAGCTTAGCTATATCTTTATCAAACTTTGTTCCCCGGGAAAAGGAAAAATTCTTAATGAATAATAATCATGCCTAATATTTAAAATATTCAAACATTCTTACTATGGATGTGTAATTTTAAAACAGAAAATTCTGTTATTACCCTTGATATCCTCGTAAAAATGGAATTCCTTTCCCATATCTCAGGATTCAATCTGTAGCTTCTGCCATAATAGTTGTCATCCATGCCAACTCCTGCTGCTGTTATTCCAAGCATGACAAGGCAGGCGAATGAAACAGTTATTATGCACATCACCATAAAGCCAGTAATCTAGAAAAAAAGGAAATATAGACTATAGACAAGGTTCTTTTCTGTGATGATACAACATTTTCAAAATATGTTGTTACCACAGTTTCCAAAAATCAGAATTATTTTTGGGAAAGGTTTATACTATAATCTGATAATATCCCCTTTATTTATTTTTAAGTAATAGTATCATTTTTATGAACATTAAAATGAAGCTTGATTTTATTGTGTACCTAAATGTAAATATGAATTACTTACGTAACCATTCTGCCCATTTCTGGTTGGTTTAGAGGCCAGTATACCAAGAACACCAGTAATACCATAGAACTAGAATAAAATGGATGATTAATAAACTTGGTGATTAGGAAAAGTCTCTTTCTTTTTAACTTAGTTGCAAAGTTTGTTTATACAGCAGGCCCAACCTTTTTAAAACAGCTATCCTTACACATTCATGATACTGTACTTCTATTTAATTTGACATGAGCTATTTTGGCTGATTTGCTGTTTTGAACATTTGGTGGTTACTTAATTTGGCGGACTTGCAATATTACAATGTAATAATGGTACTAATTTACATGGTACTAATATTACCGGGGAGTTTGGCGAGTACTAAATTTGGCGGACTTTAACTAACAATTTGGCAGATTCACCAAATTAAAATGGCTGTAAAATTAAGTAGAAGTACAGTAATATATAAACCTTGTTCCTGATTTGCTGGCTGTCCAAACCTAATTTTTCAGGACAATTCAAAGTATCATTAATCTTATGTGTACATACCAGTACTCCACACCAAAGGCCAACACCACTCTGGTATAGGCTGGCCTTGATTCCTATTGCCACACAGCCCAATATAAAACTCAATACACCCCCCATCAGGATGAGGATTCCTACGACATTAGAGGCTTTTTTGTTGTAGCGATCACTAACACTTCTCCCTGGAACTTGACTCTGGTTGTACACCACAACATTGGGCTGTGCAACCACTGGCTGAGTGGTGGTTATGTATTGTGTCGTCATTATCAGATCTTAAAAAAATGAATACCAATATAAATTGTTATTGGATGAGAAGAATGTGGTACTCACAGTTCTCCTAAGGTCAGGGTGCACTTTGATGAAATTTCATGACCATGTGCTATTTTCAGATAACATAACTCATTCCACACATCATCTACATCTTTCATTCTTGCACAAAAGATGCATTAGTGTACCTAGGCTATTAATTGAGGGTTGATAATTCTTCAGAATGTTTGAATACTGTGAAATGGGTAATTTTGACACCGGGAAATTTTAGCGATTTTTTAATTTTAGGGGGTTTTAGCGCGTGAAATTTTAGCGAAATTAAGATTCTATAGACCTTGATTTTGAAAATGATCCTTTGCTCACTTATGGTACGGGAGAATTTAAGCAATATCATTGGTTGTTGAACCGTGTTCAATAACCCAGATGCGAGTAGAAATAATCTTGATTTACGTCATTAAAAATTCAAAATTCAGTCAAAGTAATATCATATTTGAAATCTACATGTAAAATTACATCTAGAAATGTGGTTTTAAAAAGTGTTTATCAACTTTGAAAAATTACTTTTCTTCGAAAATGTGACTTCTAGCTCGGGGAGATTCCCCATAGACCCCATGCTATAAAATCACAAAAAATGAAATATCTTTTCTTTTAGTGGACAGATAATATTTTGCTTTACTGGACATATTTTCATTAGTATAAGTATCAGACACATAAGGGTTATATGAAAATTGAGCCACTTAAATTGATAATATTCAAGTTTAAGGGAACTTTCTTATATACCTGCCATGTTAATTGACCCGAATCAGCCACCTGGTGGTGAAACTGGTAACTACCTACTCGCATTTGGGTAATTAACACCTTTTATCTTTATATTTACTACTAATACTATTTCACTGATGGATGGCTATTTATCCTTCAGATATTGAAAGAAACATACGATTTAAAAATATTTACCTTTTTCAAATTACAAACCGGAAGTTGAGCACTGAACGAAAAGCTCCTTAAATACATATAGGTTATTTACTGGGAGGGATTGAATATGGGTTTTATTCCGAGGGACAATATGATATTGACCGAAGGGTAATATGATATTGACCGAGGGAGCGCAGCGACCGTGTGTCAATATCATATTTCCCAAGGTCAATATCATATTTTCCGAGGAATGAAACCCATATTTAATCCCGACCAGAAATAACCTATTTATTCCATAATACATTCCTCTAAAATGTTACATTTTGAAAATGCTTTTATCAATTAGCTAAGGTTAAAAATAACAGGAAAACCAAAAAAAATAGGTTAATACGTTCCAATACGATTTTTTTCCCGGGGACAATACGATTTTTTCATGTAATACGCTCCAATACGATTTTTTCCCGGGGACAATACGATTTTTTCATGTAATACGATTCAATACGATTTTTATTCCTTCATATTTCCCTGGGAAAACAGTAGTATTATTGAATAAGTTGTGCTATATTATAGTAAAACCAGTGGGATGGAACACCTCTCTGTAGACCTATGAACAAAGAATCCTTTTCAAAAGAATCTAATATTTTTCCATTGACTTAGATGTTAACAGACCAAAGAACACAATTTTGAGGCAAATTATGATAATTCACCTGTGAACAAGGAATATTGGTGACATTGTATACAATGTATATATAGAATAGAATAAGTCCTGCTTAACATTTAAATTGTTCTGATTTAAATATATGTTTTAGTACTACATAAAATAAAAGTTAAAGTGACACGGGTTCTATTCAACATACCTCGTATACTGCTGGATAACATGAAAGGCAAATTATTCTGACTAAAAGATTCTAGCCAGTTCTAACCAGCATTCTGGTTTTATCAGATCATACATGTACATCAGTTGCTAGGACTGGAATCAGTTTGCCATAATGTTTGCCTGTTGCCTCTTTACTTAATATTAGCATTGCAAATATCCTGTATCATTTCAAGCCATTTTACAAAAATTTGGTGATCAAATACTGCAAGGTTTTATTTACTGCAACTTTGGATCTCATAAAACTGGTCATCAAATATGACTACATGTGTACATGTATGTCATTATGTTCTGATGTCACTGGCTGATCTGGGGGGGGGGGGGCAGGGACTCTAGAAAGGCGTGAAAGCCCCAAAAATTGGGCTTTTTGGTCATTACTGGGCCTGATAAGGCCTTTATTTTAATTTTAGGCTAAATTTTGAAGAAAATCGGCCTCAATTTCAAAAGCCCCCCCCCCAGGGGCGTAGGAAGGTGTAAATTCAACACTACACAAATAAATGGGAGAAAATTGTGTCATATCTGGCCTATATCAAAACACCTAGTACTATTTTATGCTTGTAAAAGGTCATTTTTATTATAATCTATTTCTAATAATGTTCTTAAAATGTTCAAATGTTTTTCATTATTTATAATCATGATGGTAAGCTGATCTTTGATATGATTTAAAGAAAATTACAAATATGTAACACAATATAACGCAGGTTTGCGAAATGAAATTCAGGTAACAGCTTTCATTTGGAACGGTAGGGTGTCTTAAAATTCATAAGAATTGTTTGGGAGAGGCATAAGGGATGGGTGATTTCCGGTGCACTATTAAATTAAACATACATGTGGAGTAGCTGACATGAATTCCAGCAATAGTTGTTAGATATCCGAATTTATTGACATTAGAATTCTCAGGGCTGTCAACTTGGGACCACCTAATATGAGTGACTTCAAAATGTTGGACACCTAAGTCCAAATCTGAACACTTTTGTCCAAATTTTGAACACCTTTGGCCAACTTTTAAACACCTTTGGCCAAAGTTTGAGCACCTTTGCCAAACTATGATCACCTCAAATTTTTCGCGCTCGCTACGCTAGCAATATCGTCAACGGGGGGGGGGGGAGGTACGAAAATTTCCAATGAACATGCGTGACATATACGGGATTCGCGTGACAAATCCGAACAAATTGCGTTCGGTTTTTTTCCGACGTTCGTATTTTTACCGTATCGTAAACATATTTCGAAAAATTTTCTACAGAAATATTTTTGCTTGACAATTACCAGGTAAAATGCGTATTTGCGTGACATTTTCTGTCACGCAAAAAAAACTGGCGTGACTTCAAATTCTTCAGCAAATGCGTGACAAATACGCAAATTGCGGGACAGTTGACAGGCCTGAATTCTACATCCCCACAGACCTCGGAGTAGTCAGAAAAATACAACAATTTATGTAACATTTTGATAATATTTACACAAGTTCTCTACTTTAATAGCATTGTTATTATTGAATTATTTCAGCATTTTTGGTATATTAGATGATACAATCCATCATAAACATTCAGTTAACATTTTTAGGTGATGTAGAATTCTAATGTCAACAAATTCGGAAATATAAAAACTATGGCCTTTTAATTAGTGCACTAAAAAGAAGTAAAATCAACCAAGCCTTATCTCTCTAATAAGATTCATCATGAATTAAAAATATGACTGAAGAATGTTGGGAAATTAAGGCTGCATTTTTGTACATGCTTTTTGACCGCGAGGATGATTTTAATCCTAAAAATTAGCTAGATTGTGTTTATACCTCAATAGTATGTGCGAAATACCACTGTGTAAAAAATTTGAATATTACACAACCGTATCAATTTCACTTGCACCGCGTCGTAGGAAAATACACCCTAAACCTTTTTTCAACACTACGCATCGGCATTTTGGCATATATTGTCCCTACGCCACTGCCCCCCCCCCTTGTTGGTTCCCAGAGCCGTCCCTATATGTTACGTTGAATTACGTTGAATTACGTTGAATTACAATTTCATTGGAAAGACATTGTTTTGTTTTTATAATAATTGATGATTCTCTTCATAAAAAACTTCATTTTGATTTAATTCATTGATCTCTGAATATATGCCATTGATTATGTAATATATGTCATCAGATTTACAGTAAAAAACATGTCTACAGGGCGTATCAAAAAAAACGCAACAAGTAGTTATCTCGTAAAATTCCAAAACTAGTGATGACTACATGAATTTCATTTGATGTACCATAAAGCCACGTCTCTCCTCTTTGCAATGATATGTCATTCATTCACATGTGGTAATGGTTGGTTGAGAAATCCTTCCATTTGCACAGTGGGTCAAAATCGACTCTGGGCCAAGTTTTAGATATTGCAAAAATCAGTGCAAGGGCTAAGTGCCAATGGAAGTTCCCCTGACTTGAATTGTTGTGACTTTTTCTTTTGGAGCTATCTAAGGAGCATCTGTGCTCACAATTCCTCCACCAGATATTGCAAAACCTTGAGAAAGAATTGCCCATGGGCTGCTTTTCTCTGCTTTAACCCACAGATGACTCAGGACTGAACCATGCATGACGTGGACAGATGAGCGGATCTTTATGTGCAAGGAAGTGGTGGCAATTTGGAGGAGTATAGGATGTATTCTTGCAAGAGTATGAGTATGAACACTTTACTGTCTATGCCACACCTGTCACTCCTTCTTCCAATAGCCCCTATGCCCCTTGTACTGACTTTTGCAATGTTCAAAACTTGGGTCCGAGCTGAATTTTGCCCCACTTTGCAAAATTAATGATTATTCGGCCACCCATGACTCTCTGTGAATGAATGATATTCCATTGCAAAGAGGAGTAATTTGGCTTTTTGGTACATTGAATGAAAAGGATGCAGTCAGCATTGGTTTTATGTTTTCTTCAAATTTTGCATCGGGCTCCGTACACTGACTTTTGGGATGTTTATAACTTGGTCAAAAGCTAATTTTGGCCTACCTGGCAAATGGAATGATTTCTCGCCCAACCATGACCAAATATCAATGAATGATATATCATTGTAAAGAGGAGACACATGGCTTTATGGTGCATTGAATGAAATCAATGCTGTTATCACTGGTTTTGCGCTTTTTCGAGATAACAAACTGTTGCGTTTTTTTTGATACGCACTGTATGTGGAGCACCTTTGGTACTTCTTAAAAGTGTTCCACTTTGGTTTAATATACCGGATTTTCTCGCATATATGCCCCCCTAAATTTAGGCCCTTGGGCCAAAAATCGAATGTAGTACGCTTATACGCCCATGGGCCTATAAAAATGACTATTTATTGATTTTTTCAATAAATTCAAGAGTATTTTGTCACTGGCAGATCGTTCTGTCGTTACTTTGTTTCAACATTAAGTTCAACGCTGTGCCGTAAGTGGCAGTGGTGGATCATTCTGTTGTTACTTTGTTTCAACATTAAGTCCAAGGTTGTAGGTGACATTTCCTTTATAATTCTTACAAAACATGCGGTAGGACTACAACAGTAGGTACGGTAGTCCATTGTATTCATCAGCTCTTCTCACCTTTACGCCCACTGGGCCAAAAATCGAAACTTATACGCCCATGGGCGAAAAATAAGAGGTAAAATAACAGACGAAATTACCCCTTCTTTCAGTTATACGCCTGGGGCTTATATGCGAGAAAATCCGGTAAGTCAAACAAAGTGAGGGAAGGGTGTTTTTAAAATGTAAAATGAAAAGGTTTTTCATTTCAACATTAAAATAAGCTTATGAAAGTTAGAAAATGCCAGAATTTTTTAACTCTGCATTGAAAAACTAAAATCTTCACTTTAAAATGGCATCATGTTTTGCCACTTTATCTTGACACTGATAACTTAACTGTAAAGGCTGTAAAGGAAAAGTGAAAGTAAGGAAAGTGTTTTCAAACTACAATGACTAATAATTATTACTTATACAGTGAAAACCTGTCTTGTTGAACACCTCTCTCTAGTGAACACCCCAGTAGACACCCTTCCTAATTACATATTCTGCTGAATTATGTATAAATTAACCTATCTGTAGTAAACATCTACCGACACTGAACACTTTTACTCATCAAACACTATATACTATATTACTCATACTCAGGGGTTTCATTGGCAGAAGGCAACAGACGATTTATGATTTCCATTAATTTTGCTTGTTGTTTTCATTTATTTAGTCTGTTGTGAGAAATTCTAGTGAAACCCCTGCATACTGTCCCACTTGGGCGAGAGGATACCTCCCAATTAAGGTCCCATTTATAGCATTTTAATACCTTTTTACCCCCCCCCCCTTTCCCAGATTTTTTTAGATTTGAAACCGAGCCTAGAATTGAAAGCTCTTGTAGTGTAATAATGACAGAAATGCTATGTCATATCTAGTCTACACCAAGCATAGATCTCATTTCTCATATTATATAAATACATGTACTTTGAAGAATAAGTGCTAAATGCATATTTTAGTAAAATTCAAAGTTTTTTAGTCAAAGTCAAGCTATTTTTATAAAAACAAATTTTTTCTTGTTTTTTTAATATGGGGATGTTGTGCTGAGATGTTCAGAATGCACCGGGGTCTAAATTTGAAAATTTTCTAGGGACATGCCCCCCCCCCCTGATCTACGCACGTCTCATCCATATCCAAGCAAATCCTTCTGAGGCCCCTGTTTAGTGTAGTAAAATCCCTACAAATGTTAGCCATTCCAAATCTTGTAGTTCGACAAAATGATGGACAATTTCAAGACCTATAAATGCTGAATAATTGCCAATATGAAGCATTGTTTCCAGTAATCAATCACTCTATTACATTGGGAAAAGCATCTAAGCCACTCTCCATCTCTATCCTTCTGCGATGCAACAGAGAGAGATGCTATGGGTATCAGAATGTGGGAAAAGTGTTTTGTAAAAGAAAACAAGAGAATTGGTAAGGGAAAATCTGATATATGACCTGATTTTCATCTTCAGTTCATCAAGGTATGCAACTAAAACAAAATGGTGGACAGTAAAAAAATTTTAACACCCAGAATGCTGAAAAAGGCAGATATGAAGCATTGCATGTTTCCAGTAATCAATCTCTTATTACATTGGTAAAAGTGTTTTGTCAAAGAAAACAAGAGAATTGGTAAGGAAACTGCTGACGTGGGTGAGGTTTGCCTTATCAATGTCAAAAGTTAAAAAAAAAGCAAACCGAACCCACATTTATGGGGGTATTGCAGCCTTACCCCATTCCTCTTAGTGTTATGTTTCAGCACACATACACATACAGTATGTGTAGAGGTCTTTGTATAGAACTCTCAAGTTGAGCTTACAAAATAATATGAAGGCATCAAGTGTCACATGGGCGTTAATAAAAAAGCTACATTTAGTCATCAGATTGTTAGCAGTTATAGGCCAAAAGTGCTGTTACATTCCTGAGTAGACTATATAATATATTTTGCCAAGGCCACTAAGTACAGGCTACAACTGAGTTCAGTACATAAACCATAACTAGCTTGCCTTGTTTGATGTTGATATAATACCATAGCACATAATGAGATACTGTATGTGTACCTACCTTTACTCAGTTTTGTGTATTTTCTATTTTGAAATCACAACATGGCTGCTGTTGTTTATATTGTATTTCTGTGTAATTACTCATCTCTACAGATGGCAGCACTTGTTTAAAAAATCAATAACAAGTTTCTGCTATGCATATACTGACCTGACATCTTTCTATAAGGGTGAAATGTTATATTCATAGAATTTAGAATTTATTAGGCAAAGCATCAGGGATTCAGGGCATGGCCAAACTATAATTATGCGAACTACATTTATAAACAGTAACATTAATCTAAAAAGATATTGTGTTGTGATGGTTGTGTTGTTATAGATTTCCTTTCTTAAAGGCCCCATGTAAAGTTTAAACCACCTTGGCCTATATTGTAGTCTTACCCAATGTTATCAAAGTGTGATATGTGAAACTTTTTTTTTTAATTTCAAAAAGTGGTTTTTGATAGACTTTTTGTTCCAAAATTTGTGAATTTATTCAAAACCAACTTTTAGAGGTCACTCATATCTTCTAATTAGCCACAATTCATACCAATGCATAGCATTCATCCTCCCATGTTTTTTGCCGAAAAAATTAAGAAAACCGGTTCATAAATAAGCGAGAAATGAACTTATCAGTGCATGAAAATGGTTCTGAGAAAAATGCATTTCAAAATTTTAGTTCTCATAGAAACCAATGGTATAATGATATCTAAAACATAATTTATTCTTCCTTTTAACCTGGTTAGAAAATCAACATTGGTTTTTATGAAAGTCTAGCATATTTAGAAAAGATTGACATCGAATAAAAAATTTAAATTTTTTTCAAAAAGTTTTTGCTACCTTAGTGACATCACTAATGTTTGAAATTATTTTTGATATGCTAAAACATTGAAGTGGCCCATAAATATGGCATTTATTATTGAAATAGTGTGTCCTTTCTTCAATCTTTGCATTGGTGTTAAAGATATAAACTTTTTTGAAATGCATTTAGCAATATTTGATGATTAACCTCTTGAATCCCAGGCTCTAAAATTGGCATGAAACCAGAGAATTTTTCATTTTTTGCCACCTTTTGACATTTTATTACATACCTATACCACCTTAGATGCTCAGCTTAGTAAAATTGGACGGCAGAGATCATTTCTACACGTTTTAAAACAATTTTTGTGTAAATTGGATGAAAATTGTTCAAATGAGAGCAATTTTTGTGAAAAATTTTGTGACGGATTTTCTCGTCCCTCTGGGCACCAGTCTTATTTCGTTTGTGACGGATATATCCGTCACTCTGGGTATTCAAGAGGTTAAGAAGTTCCAACTTTTTTTGAAAAATGGCGGGAAATTTGAATATTTGAGAAATGAAATGCTCACAACTATTTTTTCAAAAAATTTTTTTTGTTCAAAAATCTCTTAAATCACTTTTTAAGTCCTGACAAATAGTAAATGAATGATAGAAAAATATTTTCAAACTTTAGACGGGGACTTTAAAGCAGTTTTCTATGAAATGCAGGACTTCCTCCATATTTGATTTGTATGACATAATGTATAGGAACTTGTTTTCCTCAGTTGTTAGAAAAGTCCTTGTTATTGAACGTTTGAATTTTATCTAATAAAACGGTGGTTTTTGCAGCTCATAACAAAGTGCAGTTTTATTATTATTATATTTATTGCCCCTCCAATCATGGAGATAATATATCATTACAGTATATAATAAATGTAATAAAAATAAGGATTTATAAAAATACAAAGACAAGTGGAAAGCATTGATACAGCAGAACCCTCCTGGTTAGCCCATGTTCTCCCCTGGGGGTCCCACTGCACCACTGTGCGAACCATTACGATTTCAAAATGAGAAGGAAATTATATACAAAAGCAGTTGTCTAGGACATCACCAGGAGTGCCAATCACGCCTCTTTGTTGACATCCTGATTGGTGCTTCGTGTTACAGTATCACTCCATCCTTAGAATGTACATATTTTGCACAGCTGTTGAGATGCATTTAAGATCTTCGTTTGTTAGAGTCTCATCTCCTCCAAATATGCACCGTAGCTTCAGTATGTTAGTCATGTGTCTCCCATTGGGTATCCTATGTAATATATTTGTTATATTTGTCCTTAATGAGCAGTATCTGGGGCATTCCAAGATGAAGTGCTCCAGAGTTTCAATGCGTTGCATGTCACACATTCCACATATGCGATCATACACCGGAATATTTTCCCATTCACCGGTAATAGCTCGGAGTTTTCCTTGACCCGTGAGCAGTCGTACCATCAGGGTGCATCTCTTAATGTATCTACAGTCCTGCCTAGCTATTTCCCACCAGGCAATCGGTTTTGTACCAGTGACTACAGTTCGGTATAATGTTAATTTATCATATGTAATAAGTTCTCTTCTCCACATGTTGCATTCAAAAGTCCTTACTATATTCCTAATATATCGTTTCCAGGTAGATTTTGGGGGAACTTCACCACTGTCCATCATTTCATATATCACGTTTGATATGCCAAACCGTGATGCGAGTGTCATTATGTCACCAATAGGTGACATTTTGTGTAGCGGGTTACTGTCATATCTGAACTTCGTGATACGCTTTATTGCTATGGTACGGAAGATCGAACCTGATACATGAGATAGAAGTTGTAGCAGGAACATCATTTTAGCCACTACTATAGTCGCCGTCATAGTATGCCAGCCTAGTTGGGGTAGGACAGCTGGGTCAGATGTGCTTACTGGCAGGCCTTGTAGTTGTTTGCATATACTTCTATGTCCCTGCTCGAGCATCTTATAATCGGTTTCACTGAGGGGGACAAGCTCCATTCCATACGTCATAGAAGGCATACTGACAGACCAATATAACTTAGACGCAGTGAGGGGGTTGGTTGGGTTCTGGGTGTGTGTTGTTGTCCCAACATATGCATTCATTGCTCTCTTTCCTTTTGATAGAGCAGACTCTATCAGTTCTCTATTACTGTTGTAGTTCGACATTGGAAGGCCGACATGTTGTGTTGTTTGGACTACATCTATTGTACGACCTCCAAGTTGTAAGTCTATTCCTGCCTGTTGAGTGGCACGACTATTACTAAATATGATGGCCTTACATTTGTCCGGATGATAATTGAAGCGCCATTTAATGCTATACTGATGCATCATGTTTAAGATGTCTTGCATTGTCTTTTTATGATAGGCAATAATGACAGTATCATCAGCATAGGATGGACATGTACATAGTACATCACCCACAGAGCACCCTTTACCAGAGTCAATCACATCTAAGAGAAGCCTATTCATATACTCCCCGTATAGCTCCATGGAGTACAATCCTCCCTGATGAACTCCCTGAGAGATCGGGAACTTATCTGAGAGTGTGACGTCATTTCCACACCTTACTGCGCACTGGTAGTCACTGTAGCATAGTCGCAACATCCTCCATAGCTTCCCATGTATCCCAAGATTAAAAAGCTTGTAGAAGAGGCCATTGTGCCACACCGTGTCGAAGGCCTTGCTAATGTCCATTGTGACCATTATGACGTCATTACCACTTTCAAGGCCATTACATATGGCTTCTCTTGTCAGAAGCGATGTGTGGAGACATGACGTCATGGTCTTGTTTGCGGCCTGCATCTCTGACTTCGGCTCAATCCTATGGCACATCCTACTCCGCGTTACCATAATCTTTTCCCATAACTTCATGAAGGTCGTCATCAGCGTCAGGCCCCTATGGTTGTCCTTCTCCAAAATATCCTTGTTTCCTCCTTTAAAGATGGGGATTAGTACACCAAGTTTAAAGCTATCTGGGATGTGCTCCAGTCTTATTATATGGTTGTACAATGCTACAAGTATATTGGCAAGTGCGTCACCACCAAAGCGTAAATGTTCAGTGCTGATTTCATCCCACCCTGTAGCCTTGTTTCGAGAGAGGTTGTTAATTAAAGTAGTCATCTCTTTGTAGTTTATAGGATCATTTAACGCTTCATCATCATTGTTAAAACTGTCCTGCAGCATTTCTACTATTCTTGTGTTAATTACATGTTCATGATTACTGTCAAAATTATCATTTGGCTTTATTGACATTAATGTTTTAAAATAATTCATCCATTCACTCCGGATCTCATCAGTCTGTGTTAAGATAATTCCGTCCTTATTACGTATAGAATAGCTACTATTACTCCGATTTCTCCGTCTCTTAACAATAAACCAAAATTGCTTCAAGCTTATCTCTCCCGCTCTGTCGATTTCCTCCTGACATTCCATCTCATACTTGTACTCAGCACGACGGATTTCCCGCCTGAATTGGCGCTTTGCAGTCTTATAGCGAATCCAGTGCTCATTCTCTTTGTTCCTTGGTCTTCCATTCAACTTCCACATCTTGAATGCTGACTTCTTGTCTGTAGATAACTGGCTCAGTGTATCAGACCAGTATGGCTTTAAGTGCTTCTTGAAAGACCTTCTAGGTATAGCATCAGCTGACACAGACTTTAAAACATCAGTCAGTTCATCAAACAGGGAATCAAGTAGTTCAGGCGTTACCTCAGACTTACTATTAATTAGCTTATCAGAGAGGGGTTTAAGAGATAGTGTCAAGGGAGCTGTATACCTCTCATAAAGCGCATTTGCATCAAGCTTGTCCCATGCTAGCTTCACTGGGTTACAATTGTCAGAGGAGGGTGTGATTGGCACTAAGGTAGATGTTTCTAGTACGACCTGCAAGGGTAAATGGTCAGAATTATTTATCAATTCATCATCAATCACTTTTACAGTTTTAACTTTCTGAGCATATTCTTCTGAAACAAGGCAGTGATCAATGTAAGATCTTCCTACATTTTCTCTATAATATGTATACTCTGGGCCAGAACCCTTATCTGTTAAGTCAATCACATTTAAACTACATCGAATACACATATCATTTAACAATACACCGTTACTGTTCATCTTACCAGCACCTCGACCCCCATACAGGGGTCCTAGATTAACATTTAAGTCACCAATAATCAGTACATCACCGTCTTGTTTCATCGTCAATATCACATCTTCGAGCTCATCTAATACATCTGCAAAATTGGATGTTTTACAGTTACGTTGAGGCAAATATACAGATACAATGTACAGGATACAATGTACAATGTACAGTTCATCTTCAAGACAATTATCTGAACATTTTTAAATTTGCGATTATTTATATTTTTATTTTTGTATCTTCCTGCTTCAATCTCTAATGAATGCTCACTGAGTCTCAGTTTTGTAAATAGTTTTCTTTTTCAAAGTTATTTTCAGTAGTGAGATTTTCTTCAAGATGTATATTATTGAATTTTACATTATCATCATTTTACTATTAGTATTTTGTTTGCTACCAGATCTGCAGAGCTTATTTTCACCTTCCACTGTTCATTGTATTTAATGTCTAATGCATGTATTTAATGCACTTTATTTAATGTGTATTTTCAATTTTCCCCTTAAAATCATACATATATTTGCACTGACCTGTGCGTGCACTAAAGTGTATATCTAATATACTGGAAACCCTTACACCATTTTCCTAATATCTCTATTATTTTAAGAAATAACTTTGCACATTTGTACATCACTCAATTTCCTACCAGCCTACCATATTCCATGACCATCTGATTGATAGTCACCATGTTACAGCACTTTAAAGAACATTCCAGGTGGCCACTATTTCGCTGAAGACCAACCTGCACATGTTGTCCAAAATGTCCCTACCTATGGGGATATGGCAGAGATAGAGTGTATAATAATGACCCCAGGACAATTGCAGACCTAAAAAGTGAGATCATCTGTATCATTCAGGCCATACCTGCTGAGGAATGCATTTGGATCATTGACAGCTGTGCAGGTTTGCCTCCAGCGCAATAATGGCCAAACCTGAAGCATGTTGTTCAAAGTGCTGTAAAATTGTGACTATCAGTCTAATGGTCATGAAATATGGTAGGGTGGTAGGAAATTGAATGATTTACAAATGTGTGAAATATCAGGGAGTAATTTCTTAAAATGACAATGATATGAAGAAAATGCAGGGTTTCCGTTTTTTTGACCACCCTGTAAAAAGATTATGAAAATACTTGGAACCATAGGCCAAGGGTAAGTAGTTAATCTACTTATGTAAGCTGAATATAGAAGATGCTGTGAGTTTATATATTGAGCTAATACTAATTTTCCCTTGGTCTATGCTTGGGACCCTCATTTCTGTGATCAATACAATTTTAGTTTATGTCTTCTATAAATTATTTTTTGAAAATGCCCAATAAAATAGATTCTAATGGTTCTGAATTCTATTATGATAGAATATTTAGCCATCTGCGTTCAGACATCAATAAGTCTGGATACCTTGGTCAGATTTTAAAATTTTTCATGTATCATTTTTTCAGTATTGCTCGATCATCTTTCTTTTGTTGAATCATAGTTTTTACAAATTAATGAGGCATGCATTTTGATTCTTTGTTTCACAGTGTCCAAATACTTTATATATTTCCAGGTTCCTCCATATGTGTTCTTCTTCATGTGTTGTGCCTCATACAGAATCCACTCTATCTACATACTGCGTTTGTTTAATGACCCTGTTGCTATGGCATTCCTCTACTTAGCAGTGAATTTGTTCCTTGATGATCATTGGCTGCTAGGTTGTGCAATTTACAGGTAATGGTAATGTATTTATTTTTATGCATGTATGTTCCAAGACAAGTATTTTTAGACAAAGAAAATGTTTCAATACTACTTGTATATGTTATATGACATGCACAGTATGAAGATCTGTTCCAAATTGATGTTTCACAGTTTTTATGACATTCTGTATTTGATTTTTGTGAAAATTTTTAATAAACCTTATTGTCCGAACAAACAAATTTTGAGTAGGGATATTGACAAGTATTGTAGACAAAAAATATGTTTCAATACTATTCCTTCATATGTTATATGACATGAACATTATAAAGATCTGTCATTATGTTCCAAATTTATGTTCCATTATTATTCCATTCTGTACTTGATTTTTGTGAAAACCTTTACTAAACTTTATTATCCCTCCAAACAAATTTTGAGTAGGGAAATGCTCTTCATCAATCCATTCATTCTTCTGTTCATCTGTCAGGGTGATATCTGAAATACCAGTTGACAGATTTAGTTGAAATTGTATAAGCTAATGTTAGATTAAAGATGGCCACCACTTTTCACAAAAAGTGTAAACCTGGGAAGATCAAATACTAGTTCAAATTTTATGTGCTGATTATTTCTTACATGAAATGTTCAAAGTGGCGAGTGATTTGATAAAATATATTTTGCTTGAAGGGATTTAGTACTCCAGCTAGGGAGTTACTGTTTTTTCTAGTTATTAATCTTTCACTGTACTTTTAATCCTTTTTTGCTTCTTCTTTGTAGTATTGGAGTGTCAGTGAAAATGAATGTGTTGCTATTTGCCCCTGCCTTACTTATGCTTCTCCTATACACTCAGGGCCTTAATGGAACAATACTTCATTTAGCCTTATGTGCATCAATACAGGTAAGTAATAAATACATAGAGGTTATACCTACTGTAGTACAGGCTTTGGTATGATATGAAAACTTCCCTCGGTCCCTCTAGTTCCTTAATTGGGATATCATATCATTCCTCTGGATAAGCCCAATAAACAATCGTTCTGAGGATGACTTTTCAATACCATATTTTTTTTAATTTTTCACATTGAATTTTTTTTTTAATTTTAAATATTTTGGATTTAAAAAAAATAATGATATTATCAATGATAATTACGGAATGTTTTTCAGATATATAGAAAAAAGTGTAGGCCTGCAGTATATCATTTTTTATCAAAGTGCTAATATTATTTTTAGTCTATTTATAAGATTATCTACATCTGTACATGGATATACTTATAGGTTCTGCATGCAAAGGATTGCATATCCATCTTATTGCACTGACCTGATATCATCTTATTCTTTAATACAAGATTCCTCTCAATACATTTCTATTCTTTCAGCTTTTATTTGGACTTCCATTTCTTCTAGTCAATCCAGTTGGTTACATGATGAGGTCGTTTGATTTGGGACGTCAATTTTTCTTCAAGTGGACAGTTAACTGGAGGTTCCTTCCTGAAGATCTGTTCCTCAATAGATACCTGCACGTATCACTGCTTTTCCTCCACCTGGCTGTATTAGCTCTGTTCTATTTCTCCAGATGGTCCAAGTAAGTCCTTTTAAAGTATTTTAGCATGTAAGTCCATAATTAGTATGTGAGACAATGCATGAGTTGCATGTTTCCAGCTCTAACAGAAGACTGAAGTGATGCATTAATTGTACAAAAAATCAGTATTATTGGATCTAATTGTACAAAAAATCAGTTGTTAAACCAGGTATTGGATCCACTCATTAGACTAACCAAGCAATGTGTTAAAGGAGTAGTTAACCTAAATATTTTCTACTGGTAATAATGCATAAACATCCTATTCAATACTGATTTCACTTATTGTCACAAACATTTGGTGTTTTGAAATACATGTAGTTTTAAAAATAATATTAGGAAACCTTATAATGTTTAAATTATTGCAACATAAAAATAATAGTATTTAGACATAGTTTTTTAAAAGAAAATATATTTTTTTGTACCAGAAAAACTGCTTAACAGATTGATTTGAATCAAGAACTGCTTTTGCCATGTTGGGTAAATAGCAATATTATTCATTGCATGGCTTGTTATCCCAACGAACGAAGTTCGTTAGGGATATAGTGAAGCACTCCGTCCGTCCGTCTGTGATGTAGATATTCAAATGTTGGTCTGAATTTATCTTTGTGGAAAGATTGTATGCTTCAGTTGCTCTTTAACAAAACATATGGGACAGTGTATCTATATATTACAAGATGTCCGTCAGTCCGTCAGTCAGTCCGTCCGTCTGTCTGGAAGATAACTCAAATACTAGTTGACAGATTTTCTTCATATTTAGTGGAAAGATGTATATTGGTGAATAGTTTTACGCAAAAAAAACATTTTTCAAGATGGCCGCCGCTTTAAAAATGACGGGACTTTTTCGCAAAAATCATAAAGTTTTCATTCTAAACCAAAGTAATTAATATTAATGTTTGAAATTTTCGCAGTGTATTCACAACATTTATCTATTTAACATATATTCCGTGTTTTTCATCCTGGCCCCCAGGGGCCATGTATGGGGGGACAGGAAAACAGAAATTTTCGCACATTTTTAGATCTTTCTGAAGTATAGCTTTATTATACTCAAATGAAAGGCAATTAAGAGTAGATTGCAAATATTGTATCTTTTTTCTGATTCGAGCCTCGTAAAATTTAAAATGGCCGTCTAATGTACGATTTCGCAATAATTTTTCGATCCCTTCAAAGTATGGCTATATTATACTCAAATTGAAGGAATTTTGGAGTAGATCACAATTATGGTATTATTTTTCAGATTTGTACCTCAGAAAATTCAAAATGGCTGCTTTGCAGGAATTCGCAATTCTAAAATTAAATTTTTTCATTTTCGACCAAAGTAATTAGTATAATTGATTGGAATTCGGTTATTGATATTTTGTTCGTTGGGATTTGCTACTCCGCGGAGTTGCCGTTATCTAGTTTGAATTTTTTACTTGGATGCTTATATTTAATTAATATGTACAAGTAACTTACTGTAATGAGTTACTAGTGTCAGCTTTTGACATTGTTGTCCTTTTTTATTTTTCAGAAAATATGGTGGCATTCTAAAACTGTTATCTTGGTCAAAACCTAAAGTTACAGCTCTCAGTGCAAATGGTATCCTTTTGAAAAGTGTGAAGAGTAAAATATGTGCGATGAGTGCTTACTGTACTGTGGTTTTGCCATACCAATATAAAACAGTGTACAAAAAGATGTTGAAAAACTGTGGTTGTTGAAATTGTGGACATTAATCAAGCAAATATTGGATGATACTGATAGATCTCAAATTGTGATAATCTTGCTTTTATCAAATCACCATACACTTGTTTCCATCATTATTTTCTGTTTACAATATATTTTCCTTAACTGCTTCTCAGATATTGTACTTCCTCTATTTATCAGCAACTTTATAGGAATGTGTTTTAGCAGATCTCTACATTACCAGTTCTATGTGTGGTACTTCCATACTCTTCATTATCTACTATGGAACACAGCACTTCCAGTTATATATAGGTAATGCAGTGTGGAGTATAGAAGGGGTATTGCCCAAATGTTGACATTTGTGGAAAACTAAATTAATTTCATTTTGATAATACAGAAACATAACTCTCCCCATATAAAGTAATTTGAAAACATCGATTTACCTTTTATGATCATTAGTTGCATTAAAATAATCAATATTCTCTTTTGAGCAAATAATGAGTTAAGTGATGTTAGTACTATATAGTATGGAATATGATCCTCTGATATATGGAATCCTGATTCATTATAGAAACCATAAATGTTGAACTTATGAAAGCTTATTATGTATTCTTCAGTTATGAATGTTTAAAATCATGCTTTGTACTCAATGCAGCTGTAGGGAGTAAATAGACCCTAAGTAGACTATGTTTCAAGCATTTTATTCAAAAATGTTTTTTAAAATGATCATCATTTAACGTTTCAGGGTGTGTATATTAGGTGTCATAGAGTTGTGTTGGAATACCTACCCCTCTACAGTATAGTAGTGCAGCCTTACATGTGTGTCATCTAGTGACTCTTTGTGCCCTCTGGTGGTACCCTACAACACCAAGGACAACTAAAGCTGAAAAGACACAATAGTATCTCATGTGGCAGAATAGAATCTTCATAAGACAATAACTTTAAGGGTCAAATATTTACAGGACAATAAGGTGGGCCTTAATGTGACAATGTTTGGATGTTAAAGGGGTAACAAGGACTGTAGAGAATTTTTTTTTTTTTCTGAGCTATCAGGTCAATATTTGGCTTAACATTTTCTTTAACATATCTATTTTCTTAAAATGTATGGATAAACTATCAATTTCAGCATTAAGAAGTGTAAATTCAGTTCAAAGCTTCTATAAAGGGAGTCCCACTTATAGATTTTTAAGATCCACCACTTTTCAAGTGGAGTATCAGCTGAAATAATGTTCATCTAGGGGTTTTCTTTGTAGATGATAAAAATATATGTTAGTCTTGATGAAATATCCAAACTTAAATATATTTTGATACTGGTCGATGATCGTTGAATGCCCCCCCCCCCCCCCCTGCAATAATTGTTGCACCTTTAATTTGCATTCATGTGAAGGTCAAAGTTAAGTTATTCTCACCAGGTGAGAAATTTGTGATGAAAAATTGCAATTTCAGGATATACAAACATCTATGAGAACTTACAAGCAATTCAACCAGAACATATGAATGATATGTGCCATGATATCTCTGCAATACACTACTTCATTGAAAACAGATTCCTCATGTAAAGATTGACATTATTTGAAGAAACCCATTTTGAAACATTTTAACAGTTACTCACTATGTGTAGTTATACTTCATGTATCTTTATTGACATGTCCAACAATAAATCAAACAACAATTTTAACAAATCATTGTCTCTTGATATTTTACATACAAATGAAACAGTATGTGATACATTGCTTATTATTACTAATTAAACTAATATCAATCTACAGTTAAACCTGTATATTTGAACACATGGTTTATCAGAACACGTCCCAATCCAAACACATTTTTGGTCACAATTTTCCTCCCATTGACTCTTATCTCCAGAAACTTACAATTTTATCGTAAAAACCTCAAAATGTGAACACCTTATCCAGATCTGTGGTGTTTGGATAAGATAGGTCTGTAAATGATTTGTAATGTTTCTGGAAACTACACACTCTACTGCTTCTCTCAAATCCCATAATCATTTGTACACAAAGATTTGAAATGTGTTAGATTTTACAAGTATTATGACTGACCATCAAAATTAAGATTCCACTAGGATGAATTGATTTTACACATTGGCCTAATGGTGCAGGATTCTCTTCTTTTCATATAAATGGTGGATTATATCTTTATGGAGAACTGTTATGGGGGGAATTTGAAGTTAGCGATAATAGTGATAATGTAAATCTTATAAATCTAAAATTGAAAAATTATTTCACTACTTGCCAAATGACACAAAGTCTAATTTTATCTTAATAAATCCACTCACTTTCTCTATTTCACAAAAATATAAATTTTTATGAAAAAAATAGTACATGTACAGGGTGGTCCAAAAACATGGGACACTCGTATTTCAAATATTGATATTGATTTTCTAAATGAAAACATGTCATATTATATACCAGTGGATAGGGAATTTACTCATCTTTAATTTGGTATATCATAAGTTCAAATTTATTTTAATGTCTGTCAACCAGCGTCCATAATATAAATGACGTCATTTTCGTTTCAAAACGGATTTCCCAAAATTAGCAAATGCCAAGTTTTATTGTTAACTTTATTTACATAAGCAGATGTTCAATATGTCCACCATTTTGATCAACTATAGCCCTCAATTTTGGCCTAATTTGGTCAATAGCATCATTGATATGCTGTTGAAACTATGAATTTCACTTCTCAATAATTCTGTCCTGAAGGGACTTAATAGATCTTAAGGATTTATGGTCTACCAATTCTGCCAGTCCTCCCCATACGTGGCAGTCGCAGATGTTGGGTAATCAGGTCATATGGGCAAGGCAGTGATTAAGGTGGGATGAATCTAGGCACATTTTCCTTTAAACATTTGACACTCTTGTGAGATATATATTGCTTGGAGTCCCATCTTTTTGGAAAATGTAATGATTCGAAAATGAGTTCATATCAGGATGGTCCAAAAACAACATAATTGGAAAATCAGATGTCAATGTCTGCAACTACCGCGTATTTGGAGTAACAGAATTGGTTTACCATGACCCCCTTACATCTACTCAGTCTCTTAAAGACAGAATTATTGAGAAGTCGAATTCACTCCCTCAACAGCATGTCAATGATGCATTTGACCAGTTTAGGCCATAATTGAGGGCTATAATTGATTAAAATGGTGAACATATTAGCGTCAGTTTATGTAAATAAAGTTGACAAAAAACTTGTTTTTTTCAAGTTTTGGAAAACCTGTTTTGAAACGAAAATGACATCATTTATATTATGGACGCTGGTTGACAGAGATTATAATAAATTTGAACTCATGATATACCAAATAAAAGATAAGTAAATTCCCTATCCACTGGTATATAATATGACATGTTTTCCTCAAGAAAATCAATATTTATTTTTGAAATACGAGTGTCCCATTTTTTTGGACCACCCTGTATTATAGTCACTTTAAGTGGCTAAAATAAACATCATTCCTCAACTGATGTTTGTACTTAATGTAATCATTGTAACTCTGATACAAAGCATATAACTTCAGTTTACACAACTTTGAGATGAAGCATTGTTCTTGGACTGTTAGCATCATATGACACATTCTGCTTTGAGCTGAAGAATGAACATGTGATGAAGCAAAAATACTCGTATAAGTAAAGTTAATTATGCAAGAATATACTCTATATTTCAACAATGTTTTCTGATAATAGTTTAACCTGTGCAATTATTACATGTGAGCAAATAAAATCATGTTATAAACATGCACTGTGTTATGGCAATTCATAAATAAGCTGAGACAATGTTATAAAATATAAGTCTCTATAAATTGAGATCTTTATCCTACAGAATAGCAAAAGCATTGTAATAGTCAGTTACCTGTATATTATACTAGAGAGTAGAGACACATATAAACTGAGACAATAACAAGCTACAATTAAGACACTACTAACAAATATCTAACATGAATCACATATCAGTAGTCACAAATATCTATCATAATTCATAAGTCAGATTTGGTTCAAACTGTATATGCTGACACCTTAGGACTTTGTGCCCAAAAAGAGATTTTCAAGATGGCTGGTCAATTTCCATTTTCTATCAGAACTACTATTCTCGTATAATATTTTATGATAATGCTAACTCTAATTATTATGTTTTGTTCTAAAAAGGCTTTATATGACCACTACTCGATACGGAATTTATAATATGGAACCATGTCCCATTAATTGGTGTATATTTTGGCAAAACTGTTTGGTTGTTTCTATCATGTTCAGAATGACAAGTGATTTGATGAAATACATTTTGTTCAGCAGGATTTGCTTGTCCAGGGAGTTGCTTGTTTTTCTAGTTATTATGTTACAAACTGATGTTGGTCTCAAAAACAATGGCTGTAACAACAATATGTATATGACCTCTTATTGGTGGAGACTGACATAACATAAGGATGAGTGGATAATTCCATAGGTTCATCATGTGAGACAAAAAATATGTCTACATACAATGAGATCTTATGTCTAACATAAATTGAGATCTTTATCCGACAAAAGCATAAATATCAGTCATCTAAATAAAGTAGTAGTAGTACTACGGAGACACCCATGGAATATTGGGTAGCAATGCTGAATAGAAATGTAGTTTCAAAGATAGTACATTGTAATTTCAAATTCCATTTAAGCAGTTGCATGTTCCAATAAGTTGCACCTTATGAGGGAGCAGTCCATTCAACTTTGTTATTGTCTTTGAGTGTTGCTTCTCCAGAGGCAACTAGTTCTAGGGCTCTAGGATAGGCATGATGCTCAGCTGTTTTGACCCTCTCCTGTAGTGTTTCAATGGTGTCTCCTGGATACACTGGTACCGATTCCTGCACCAGAATAGCTCCAGCATCAACCTCTTCCTGGAATACAATAATCAGTACAATTTAACAATTGGGCATGATCTCGTCTACGCATTGATTCCGTTTATTGGGGAAGGGCCTGGTAAAAAGAATGTTTCAAAAACTAAAATATTAAAATCAGTTTACCCTATTGAACCTAAAAAATCATGTTTTAAGACTTTCATAAACATCTTGTTGTAGTGGGTCTATATGTTGTTATTGTATCATCATGATATCAATGTTAACAGTTTGTCTGTTTCCTAACCCTTTGTTTTATTGTGTCAGTGGTAATGAATTTATACAACTTACAGCAACAAAGTGGACTGTGCAGCCTGTTAGTCTCACTCCAGCTTCTAATACCAGTTTATGAGCATTCATTCCTTTAAAAGATGGCAGGAGGGAAGGGTGGATGTTCAACAAATGGCCGTTCCATCGCTTCACAAATTGACCTGGAAAGCATGGAGTTTCATGTCATACAAATGCACAAATAGTGACACACAAATTACATTGTTTTACCCCGCTGTTATGTTATCTTAAATTACCTGATAATATCCTCATGAATCCAGCGAGACAGACAAGTTGAACTTCAGCTTGTTCTAACTCTACTTGTATTGCATTGTCAAATTCCACCCTACTCTTGAAACCTTTGTGAGGTATCACCTGCAACACACGAACAGTTGATTAATAAATTATTATTACAGCCCATTGTTCTTTTATTGAACACTAGTAAATTTACATAATGGCAAACTTCACACATTTACTAACATCTTTAGTTCTTTGTAATATCTTCAATTGAATATTCTTTTCGCGATACTCTTCTATTCAGAGCCCCCATTTAATATGTGACAGTTCATGACTCATAAGTGAGCCAATGTTTTCCCTAGTATGTAAAGTATAAAATTAGCAACTTAATTAATGCAGATTACTGTATAGAGAATTCCTTTTGTAGCTCATTCATTTAGCGACAAAATAATATATTGACTTATTCGACTTCAAAATAGTTCATCTCTTTTTGCCACTTTTACATGAAAGCAATTTGGAGCCATAATCAGAGAAGGAGCCATTGCTTTTTCACACATTTTAAAGTCAAAGAAATCAGAAAGCAATAAAATCATACAATTGCAGGCAAGAAACTTACCTTGGTTGGGATACCTGCAGCCTTTGCTCTGTCAAGGCCCTTCACTCCTGGTACATTGGATACAACCAGGACTATCTCTGCTGCACTGTCTGTCTTGGTGGTGTGGTCTATCAGAGCTTGTAAGTTGGTTCCTGAAAGAAATATAAATTATGGTACATTTTCATAATAGGTAGGTGTTCAGTAGTTTGTATGGGTGGGAATATTCTACAAGTGTTTCAGTCTTGATGGTTGATATGGTTGATAATATTCGATTGTGATGTATATTTGTTATTATGGAGAAACTAGATATTTAAAATGGGGCCCTTTAAACATCAAAAGGTTTGGATGGAATATTCCTATAAAGTCCTACCTGTCCCAGAAATAAGCACTCCTACTTTCATTTTCTGTACAATCCTCTGTTTCTTAGCTGCTACATGTAATCCATTGGAAGCCTTGTGCTTAAGATTGGCCTTGGGGGAGCATTTCTCGAGCTCTGTACTTAGGTTGTGAATAGTCACAGCATCTGTAATGTAATGGTAGCATTGTTGAAAACCAGAGAGTGAGTTTTCAAAAATTGTCATGCATTAAATCTAAAAATTCAAAACATTCCTTTAACTTCTGATAAATTTAAAAAACACCCTTGAGAATTAATGGCCATTGTTATATCTTACATGGCATGGCGCATAATGATAAGTATTCCTCTTGAATGAGGTTGTTATTTTTTTGAAAAATCATGTCCGAAATAAAACATTTTTCTTTAAAAATGAGATGATCATAAAACATTGACAAATTCATTAAATTTTGAAATGATAATCTAACTGAGCGATGAGTTATTTGTTAAGACCTGTTGATTTGTTGACTACTGTTCCAATGTTATAAGCTGTTTCACTGTTGTCTGCTAGCATGGTGAGTATATCATCTACATGTGCTTTGGATACTATCAGGACTGCACCTAGCCCACAGTTGAATGTACTGGACATCTCACCAGCTTCAATATTACCCTGAATATAAAGTACAGAGCTTAGTTAAGAAATAAACAATGAATTTTAATGACAAAATGTCACCCTTTGGCAAGTTATTGTTCTTGTAACGTAAAAAGTGTAACAATTTGTGACATTGACAATTACTCAATACCAGTCACTTCTGGCGCTGGACCAGTAATATTATATCACTGCTTCATGTTGGTGACATAAAATTATAAACAAATACATGGATATGAAGATGCACAAACGTTGACTTAAATGGTAAAAATAAAGAAAGTTGATTTTTGTCCATACAACAAAAATGCAAACTGCATGATATGTATGATAATTTTTAATCATAGACTGCAAAATATGACATATGATGCAAAACAAATAAGTATTAGAAGGCACATATGCTAAAAGATAAAAAAAAAATAATCATAATTACCTGAGTCATAAGCCAGCCAAAAACAGAGGGTATAGTCCACTTTCGGGCATCTATCTCTACTGCAAGATTGTCTGGTAAAACACGGGGTATATTACCAGTTGGGCCTCCCCCTGTGATGTGAGCGAAGGCCTTCACTTTACCACTGCGCAGACAGGGGAGGACAGTCTTACTGTAAATTCTGGTAGGGGTTAGTAGACCTTCACCTGCAGGTCGATCAAAACAATTTTCATTACATTCAGCAAAAACCTATATTTGTCACTCTTAAGGCAGAAGCCTATTAAATCAACTGTCAACCGCTACATCTCTATATTACTTTTTTGTTCGGTGGGATAAAAAGGATGTAACACATTATGTATTTGATTGTACACTAGAATAAATTAGACAATATACTAACAGCGTTCTATAAACCAACTTAAGTGACAAATGAGTCATCTACTAACCTAAGGTTTGTGTCTCATCCCATGGACACTGTGTTGTATAAGATAAACCACAGCTATCAACAACCTTTCTTACGAGACTATAACCATTGCTATGGATACCGCTTGAGGCTACACCAATAACAATGTCAGATTGTGTGATGTCATTGATACGTGGAAGATATTGGTCTCTCTCTACTGCACCAACTGTAAAGCCTGCCAGATCATAGTCACCCTCAGCATACATTCCAGGCATCTCAGCTGTCTCACCACCTGCCATTTAACAAACATGTTTAGGTGCTGAATCAGATTAATGTGTTATGAAAGGAATCATGGGGGTAGGATGATTTTGGAGACTATATGAATTATGAAGCAGTTCAGCAACCAAGTCATTAACTGTCTTCATGAAATAATATGAAAAAAGGATTTGATCCAAATTTTGATCTTAATTAATAGACTAGTATATTGTATTAATTCAAATTAATTTAGGGTATTTTGGATAAAAATGACATCAAAAACAAGAATAAAAATTACATAATTACCTAGTAATGCGCAGCCAGCAAGTTGACAGCCTTTACCAACTCCAGCTACGACATCTCTTGCAGTTGCCACATCCAGTTTGCCACATGCAAAGTAATCCAGGAAGAACAGTGGTTCGGCACCATGAGCTAGCACATCATTCACACACATAGCAACCAAGTCAATCCCTATAGTATCATGCTTCTTACATATATTAGCTATCTGAAAGGTTTAGAAAAGTTAAACTCGTATAGACTTTACTCATTAACAGTACTACATTGATTAACAGTACTACAGTACTGATTTATGGTAATACTGTTTTGATTTATAATTTTACTGTGTTGACTAATGATACTACTGTACTGATAAACAGTAATACTATACTGACTTACAGATACCACTATAACAACTGAATTAACAAAACTGCAGTAACTTAACTGTACTATTCTCTACAAGCCAGTCTAATTGTCATGGGCACAGCAATAAGTTCTATACCCAGTTACCCAGTGAAATGGTACTAAAACTTTAATAAATTAAACAAACTAAATTAAACATTAGATGCAGGGGGTCAACCATTTAATGGAATAGATTATATGTGACATATTTCTTTTCACACCTTTACTTCCCCAACCAAACATACCTTGAGTTTGGTTCCTACACCATCAGTTCCTGAAACTAGGAGTGGATCTTTGTAACCTTCCGCCTTACAGTCAAATATGCCTCCAAACATTCCTAGCTTAGAAACGCAACCTTGACGACTTGTTGCCATAGCAACTGGCTTGATGGCTTCAACAAAACTGTCCCCAGCACTTATATCAACTCCAGAGTCTTTATAAGTTAACTTGATTCCTTTGTCTTGGTTTCTGTTACAAATAAAGTAATAACTGTGGTCGTATCTATGAGATGTGCTGGTGTTTTGATATTTTGAATATGAAACTGATGGAATGTCTTCATAAAATACAACAAAAAATGTTAAGTGTTACATTTCAAAATATGTTTATTACAAAAGCAATACAGGACTATATTTGGTAAAAGCATTCAATTTGTCGAGAACATGCAGGCATATATAGCAAGAATGTTTTAAGTTACGAAAAATGAAACTTATTTCTTACATTTTTTTCTGTCATAAATTATGAAGGCATTCAGAGAATTTTAAATTCATGACAGTACTTTACTTAGTTTTGTGCTCTAAGTCTTTGCTTAATATTTGTTTATTGAATGAGATTGATTCACACTCTATCATCTAGTGTATTAAATTGATTCTGCTGGTCCAGTGTATTGGTTTGATCCCACTGGTGGGAGTCATGAGATTCAATTTTTGAAATATTTACAAAATGGATCAACAGCTTATACTATTCTACCTCAATATGGCCTTATGAGCAATGTCTTTTCTATGGAATGCATCCTTGAACTTAATAGCCTCAGCTCCAAGTTGGGCTTGTTTTGCTGCTGTTGCCAAGTCGGAATCCATGGCAACAACTGCCAGAACTCTGCCACCTGACGTCACTATTTGGTCATCTTTCATAGCTGTACCAGCATGGAAGACTAACTGTTTGAGATCTTCACGTACAATATCAATACCTGAAATAATTTACATAGTGTTCATTGATCATCTTATGCAAAAGCCCTATGAACTATCAACAAAACACACCTCCATGTGGTACACATCAACTGTAATGTTATTTTGCACTAATCCTTATGTCATATCAAAACAGCTTTACTTCCTAAGTGACAAGGTATAAATTAAATACTTGTATTTTCATGATTTAAGATATCAAGACAGACAAATGAATTAAGACAGATAGTCAATGGTTGAAGTCAAGTTGTCCATTCCACAGTAGCACAATATGAGGCCAAGATTATAAACTAAAGTATGAACCTGTTATGGGTAGTCCCTTGGGGTACGCTGCAGGATAGCCACCACTGACCTTCACCACCCCTACTGCACATCTGTCTGTATAGAACTTTGGGAGACATGAGGAGACATCACCATTTACACATTCCATGATAGTAGCATATAAGTCGCTGGACATCATAGGCAGTAAAACCTGGTACATAGTAATAATTTTGCTATGTTATTCTCTCTACATTTACATAACAGTGTGGAGTTAACGCAATTGAGTTCCTTTATTGAATTTGATATGCACAACTAGGAATTAAATTTTGCTTTTGGTGGGAGAAAATAACAGGATATTAAATTTTTTTTAGTAGTGTGGTACTATAACTTAAATAATTTATTTGCAAGGAGCTCAGTGAAATAAAATTAGAATTCATGGTTTGACATGTTTGCACCCCTCCCCTAGCTGTTGTACATGCATGCTGCTGTATGTGCATATCTAGAACACACACAAAGGAATACAGTATAAATACCTGAGTTTCTGGATCTCCAAATCGACAATTATACTCCAGCACCTTCGGCCCATCCTTGGTCAACATGATACCAGCATACAAGACACCTATGTATTCCCTGTCCTCTTCTTTCATGCCATCCACGGCTCTCTGGAGACAGTCTTTCTGTATGATCTCAAGGTCCTCATTACTCAACTGTAAAACAAGTATCAGAGTCAGGAGCATTAGCTACCATTATGACTGAATGATTGACTTGAGAAAAGAAAGGCTTTTTTACAATATTAATCTTGATTTAAATTGGGAGTTAAGATGAGGATCGCTTTATCAGCAGATATTGGATATTGTCTATGATGAATGCATGATATTAAGAAAGCAGTACTTGTTGAGTGCTCTACATAAATATGAAGTTTAATCAACTCTTAGATTTCAAAAGTGCCAATCAGATATCAGTCAGGCCTGTTTGGAAAATGTATCGAAAACCTACATGTGGGTACGGGCAGTAAGCTCCCATGCCCCCTGTGTTAGGTCCCAAGTCGCCATCTTGTAAACGTTTATGGTCCTGGGCTGGAGGCATCACAGCTATGTTGGTACCATCACTGAATGCAAGACACTGGAATAAAGCAACCATCATAACAATACAAGCAGCCCAAATTGGTGTAATTCTCATCTTGTACAAGTCAGTGATATCCCAGCATTGAAGCAATAGGCAATGCTTGTCGTCAATAATCTAAAAATTACCTTGTACTCATACTTGTACCAATATTAGTTGAAATTCACAATATATACAGGATGACATGTGCTGGTTTTCAATAATAGGCATACTGCACAAAATATTGACAAGCTGTCTCTTTGTCTTTAGGCATTGTCAGGATTGAGTACTGTGTTCATATCTAAGGTAATCTTGTATAGACTTGTAATATTGCTTCGTATGTTATTTTTGTAAGCAAATAAATATAAATTTTAAAATATTTTTGACAGGTAAATGTTTTATTCTTTCTTAATTTCAACTCACCGAAACCTCCTCTCCAACAAGGAGCTCCTCTATCACTACTGTTTGACCAGCACTTCCAAATGTTTTGTCTTCTAGGATAGACTTCACTGCATCACAGGCTTCCTTCTTGTCTTTAGCCACTATTACTCCTTTCCCTGCAGCCAAGCCACTTGCCTTCACAACCAGGGCATCATGGTCAGCCCTAGAATAAGAAAGGAAAATTCTAAAAATATCTAATTATTATAATATGGGGTCATTTATGCATAGACCAATGCATTGATGGAATTTTGTAACAATATAATTAGAATAGTATATCTAAAACAACTGAGGAGGTTATTAACTTCTGACCTTAAACCTGTATGTTCTAGGTGTAACATAGACATTATCATGCCATGATGCTGTTAAGATTCTAAACCTCTTTGACATATGAAGTATATGGAATTAACTTACATGTTAATATATTCACATGCTTTACTAGTTTCTGTGAACGCTGACCACCTGGCTGTTGGTATGTTGTGTCTCTGCATGAATGATTTTGAAAATTCCTTACTAGCCTCTATTAGTGCTGCCTTAGCACTTGGACCAAAGCATGGTATTCCTGACAAGCAAACAAACATTTAAATTACGACCATATACCTAAAAATGTATTGCTCACCTTCATTAGTGGTAAAGAAAATACAATACAATAAAGAGAATTGATATTGAAATGGCAAACACATAATAGTAGATATGTAGTCAGTATGTGTATTGCTCTCAAGTCAAAATGAAATATACTGTATATGGTATGTTCCAAATCTATTTATTGTCAATTCATTCTAGAAATAAAAGTTTTCATTTTTATGACTCCATACAACTGTTAATTCTGCAGTAAGTGGGTCTATACCTTTTGCACCGAGTGTATCTGCTATACCATTGGCTAATGGATCCTCGGGTCCTACCACAACTAGATCAATCTTGTTCTCTTTACACCAATCACATACCACATCAAAGTTCTTTACATTCAAACCTAAAAAAAAGAATATAAAAACTCAAATTTTAATCATCTTGCATGATGTAACATGATTTAGTGCCAGGAGGACTACATTTTCTTTAGAAAAAATGATTTCATCATTGGCAAAATGTCTCTCAAATTTTGCAAATGTTATTTGAAAATTGAAATTAATAAAAAGCAGGCTCTCATAAATAAGCAGGTTATGCAAATGACGCAACCTCATTTTTGAAAATTCTGTGTCTATGTGTATTTTCCACCAATTGATCAACATCCATATCTGGTCTAGGTTATGTACAATAAACTTCAATTCAATTGACAGTTTTAGCAATTCTGCCGCCACCAAAATGATTATAATACATAGAGTTCTCAGTAAACTAGGTTGCATAAGGCTTGTATTCAAGGCTACATTGTTAAAATGCCAAATGTTTCAGGCATTATTATTAAACATGAAGATGCAAAAAAGGATCTACTATTTACCTATATTTGATATTTTATCCCCCTGTGTTCCAGCATTACCAGGGGCAACATAAATGTGTTGAATGTGCCTAGATTGAGCGAGCTTCCAGGCCAGGGCATGTTCCCGTCCCCCACTGCCTATCAATAACACCTTATCTGTCATATCTGCAGCAGTCGCTTTAACAAGAAATAAAACTGAAATTCTTAACACCATTTTCCAAGGGGGGGGGGGGGTTAAACTTACCCCTACATGTGTAATATGTCTAATATGAAGACACAATATGTACATGTATTTAACATATAAATGCTGAAAACTGTCATTTTCAAACATGGCCATTACACATTGTTTTGTTGTTCTTGGCTTTTATACGTACAGCATTGATGATCAAGATAACTTTTGACATAATCCACAGTCTATTTATGGTAAATTTGGACATAAACATATGTAACTAGACAATCTTTGAAATTTTAGAAAATTGTCATAAAAAGGAAAATAGATAGCTTTCTTTTTCTATGAATGATATCAAATTTTCAAAGATTGTATCATTTAGAGCAATATATTGGGTACATTTTCTGAAAAACTCAAAAGATTCTGTACAGTGACCTTTCCTAGCTCCTACTTTTAGCTATTTTTCAGTCACATTTTCAGAGGGCTGAAAAGGTTATTTCATCATGTTTAGGGTTATTCCAACCATAAACATTGTGATCCTGGACCTGTAAATGGTATGTGGAACTAGTTGAATTGACTGGAGGTCAAAACAGAACTCTATTAACTTTGTTCAAAAAATGTCTGAAAATGCAGAATTTTTTGTCACTTCCTGTTTTGTCATTTCCTGTTAAGTATCATGGCACCTTAAAATATCATTGAATTTTAAAGGATGGTAATACCAATGAGTTACTCGAGTCTCTAGTCAAATTACTTGGCTAGAAGACCTCGCATGAAGACCACCGTGCACTAGTGAAAACGATCATTCGGAGTAAAAATAAATTTATGTGTTATTTTATGAATCGTAATGCAAATATTTCATCAAATAGAATGTAAACGAATACTGTGTCCTTTGTGAGATATTGCAAGCTTCCATCTACATGGTCTAAAATTAAGGTCAGGGTGCATGATCGGAAATTTTCTGCATTCCTCAATTGAGTCACATGTTATTTTTCTAACAAGAATCACTCCTTCCCCACATTGTCTATATCTTCCAGTTTTGCACAAAGAGTATACTTATGTGCCTAGAAAAGACTTGTGAGAAGAATGTTTTGATAAAGTGTATAAAAAACAAGAAAATTCAGTGAAAAAAATTAGAAAATTTTCAGAAATTTTTTTCACTGAATTTTCTCATTTTTTATACATTTTACAAAACAAACCTTCTCACAAGGCTTTTCTAGGCACATAAGTGCACTATTTGTGCAAACTTGGAAGATGTAGACAATGTGGGGAAGGAGTTATTCTTGTTTGAAAAATAACATGTGACTCAATTGAGGAATGCAGAAAATTTCCCAACATGCACCCTGTCCTTAATCAACGGCTCCAAAAAAATGGCAGATGTTCAACGACAACAACAAAAAACTGGACGAACATGTCATTAATGTCTGACATTATAGCTGGCTCTAAATTCAAACTAGCAATCTAAAAGACTTGAACTAATACACGAGACCCTATCTGTTGCAAGACTAACGCCTGGCGTAACCGTCACCATGTTATTCAGTGTTTTTAAGTAGTGCAAGGATCCTGCCATGACCATGGTAATGTTATCGTGAAAGCCTGGTATAACCGCGACAATGCTGTATTAAATTGCAATGCCTGCCATGACCGTGACAATGTAATATAGTTCTGCAAGGCTTGGCATGACCGTGACAATGTAACATAGTACTGCAAGGACTGACATGACCGTGACAATGTAATATAGTATTGCAAGTTCAGGTATTAGAGTGGTAATGTAGAAATTTACGATAAGGACTGCTATAACCGTGACAATGTGAATTGCAAAGCCTGGCATGAGCGTGCCAATGTAATATAGTACTGCAAGGCCTGGCATGCCCATGACAATGTAATATAGTATCGCAAGGCTTGGTATGACCGCCATGGCAATGTGATATAGTATTCCAAGTTCGGGTATGAGAGTGGTAATGTAGAAATGTATGATTGCTATAAGTGACCTTGACCATGTGTATTTGAAAACCTGGCATGACCGTGACAATGTTTTATGGGATCATTAAACCTGGTATGACCGTGACAATGTAATATAGTATTGCAAGGCCATGTATGAGGGTGGTAATGTAGAAATTTAGGCTTAGTCCTACTATGACCGTTATTATGTATTGCAATGACTAATAAATATGTATGACATTAATGCCAGGAATATCCTTAACAATTCTAAGTGATCGTCATTACAATTAAACAGTTGAACACTATGATCATGGTGTTTAACTACCTTAATCATGTCAAAATCAAAATTACTACTGTACATTAATGTTCAGATTCGCTTCTAAACCACAATAAAGGCTACGGTCACGCCAGGCTTCCACGATAACACTTCCAGGGTCATGACAGGCCTTGCAATATAATACAGCATTGTCACGGTTATACCAGCCTGTCACGGTTATACCTAGTTCAACGTCGTTAAACTCAATAACGGCGTTCTTTATTATTATGAATTTTCTTGGGGCCGTTATTGAGTTTAATCTCCTTACTATTCTTTCCTTTGATGCAAGTTCTGAATCCATCGAAACCATTTTTCCGCGATAACGTGCAACGGATACTTGACAATAATATAAAAACACATAACATCAAGCGATTTAACACAATATTTTTGTGTTAAATGTTCATTTATACGAGTAAAATGAGGCTACACTTACCAATCTCTAAAGTGACATTTCCGCATGTCCGTCATTGTGTCTGTTCGTCTGAGTGTCCCGGATCGTAAAATTAAACTACCAGCGAAACGAAATTGTTGTCAAATAGATTGATAATTATTATCGCGATTACTCGGGATAAAAAGATCAATTTTGAGGATAACAGGTATCTTTGATTAATTTATATAGCGCGTGTATACACACAAAATAGTTATTAATTGCAAACCCACTGTTCGTTAATGCAGTGCCGTGATGACAGTTAATTCCTGAAACGATTTGCAATTTTGATGTTACCGAAACTGACCGACATTTTCGTCATATTCCAAACCTGTCTCCAATATTTTCGTAATTATGCATCAATAGGGTCTAAGGGGGATACGGGACGGGGTGTATGTGTTTATAAGGTATGTATGCATGTTTGAATCACATTCTTTGTGTAATATTGCCATGTTTTCAGGGTTAATTTGTTCCGCTTGTCGAAACCTGCTGAACGATAAATTAACGCATCAAAGGCAAAATGGTCATGGAGGTTAGACCTAGCCAGGCCATAACACATGTCAGATAAGAAATGAGGCCCCGGCTAGGTCTAATGTTGTTGGACTAGGTTATACCAGGCTTACACGATAACACTACCACGGTCATGGCAGGATCCTTGCGCTACTTAAAAACACTAACATTACACATTAACATGGCGGCGGTTGTGGCAGGCGTAATGGCCTAGTCACATAGCCCGGCCGATGAGGTTACGATGAGCCAGCGATGCAATTTTCACCGAACTCGGCCGAACACCGGCCGGACATCCGTGGCGTTTGTTGCTTAAAACCGCATCGGTGGTAGCTTGGTGAAATTTTAACTTCGGAGTTAAATTTCACCGGGCTCTCACCGAGCTCCCTCATCATGTCATCGCAGCCCCATCGTAACCACATCGGAAAACACGTCGGCCGGTGCACGGTCGAGTATTGGCCGGTGTCCCATGCATCTGAGACAACCAGAGGACGAGGTTTTTTAACGGACAGCGGCCGAGCTCCGACCGAGCTCCGGCCGATGTGGGACAGAGCATCGGCCGGTCACTGTTTAAAGCCCGTTAACAACCCGGCCGGCGATCGCACGGTGTCCTGTTACCTGCTCGGGAACTGGCCGTATTCCTTCCGATGTCCGGCCGACCTCCGGCCGGTAGTTGCTGCCACATCGGCAGAAAAAAACTACCATTTTGAGACAGACTCCGTACGGTCACCGGCCGGTGTTCGGTCGGTCGCCTGAAGATGTCCGGACGGAGTCCGTTCACGTCACCGAGCTCTGCTTCCGATGAGGAGAGCTCGGTGGCACCAAAAAAATCCACCGAGCTCTACCGATGCCGGACATCGGCCGGGCTATGTGACTAGGCCATAAGTCTTGCAATAGATAGCATGTGTAATACACTGATCACTTCCTGTGTGTTTTGAAAGATTTTGTGAGGTAAGAAGACCAAAACTTGCAATTCAAATTGTGAAGTGAATAAATGGCGGCTGGTTGATTTCAAATCTTATGATCATGAGATGCCTCAGGAGTAGATAACTGGGCCAGACTTACTCACTTCGAGAGCCATGTTAGATTTTGAAACTTATGGCTCTCAAACGGAGAAGTGAACAGCTGATCAATAGTGACCTTTGAAATCGAATTAAGTCGATCCGCGGCTTACTTTTGGTCTCTAACTGTGTCTTACATCAGTATCATCAATCCGTGTAAGTATTGGAGCGCTGGAGTACTTCTTTTTCGATCAAGACTTGTAAATTGTTCATCGAGTGAAAGTTTTTTAGACCTATTTCCAATATGGCGGTTTGCTAGGTGCGAGATACGCAACGAACGAAATGAATTTTGAGAATTAGTTAGGTTCGGACAACCTCCGGAGATTTACGAAAATGTCCGAGCAGAAACCGCCATATTGGAATTTGGCAGTAAAACGATTCACTCGACTAACATATTACAAGTCTTGATCGAAAAAGAAGTACTCCAGCGCTACAATACTTACACGGATTGATGATACTGATGTAAGACACAGTTAGAGACCAAAAGTAAGCCGCGGATCGACTTAATTCGATTTCAAAGGTCACGATCATTGAGCTGTCCAAATGCTCCGTGGGAAAGCTATTATATCAAAATCCAAATAGCTTTCGCAGGAAGTAAGGCCAGACGGGTTTGGTTAGGACATTGGGTAATGTTGCTGTTGTGTTGAAGAGAAAGAAGTTGTACGCACGGTTCAAGCAATGAATCTATACATCAGTCTCTAAGTGATGCATACAGTGTCACAGTTGAGAAATCATTTATATGCATTTTTACTGACATATATGTAATCGATGCAGATAAAACAGCGATAAGGAAATAACGTAAACAAAAAATGAAAAACTCACATGGACTTTCAGCTTCCGGTGAACAGGAGTGAATAATAAATGACAAAAAGACAAGATTTTAAACATTTCTATATGATTTGGATCATAAGATATTTATGAATTTTTTAATATAAAGAATATTTATTACAGAAATTACTTATTCAAAATCTAATCAATCTTTTAATCCACACTATTTGTTATTATGCATTCACATCCAAAGATGGCGGCGCCCAATTTTTTTGAAAACTTTTCATTTCTCTAAAAATAATCTCGAATTAAAGATGCCATCTGGATCATCAGCCAAAAAGAAAAAATCGAAGAGGAAACATGCATCGCGGAGACCAGTGACATATGTCAAGTAAGTTCAAATTATTTATTTGTGTCTTGATTTCAGCATGGATCACAAATTATAAATCGATGGGGAGGTAGTCATATAAATCCGACCATCGTATGCTTTATTTGTCATTATTTTTTGATAATTTGGATATTTATTTTTTGTTATTTTCTTGCATACTAAGGTCGTACACACTTCCCGGTTGTAAATTGCAGGCCTGTCAACTTGGGGACACCTAACATGAGTGACTTGCAAATGTTGAACACCTTTGTTCAAATTTTGGACACCTTGGTCCAAATCTGAACATCTTGGCCACAATTTGAGCACCTTGTTTTCAATTTTATTGCATTTAATCAAATTTTGGACACCTCAATTTTTCGCGTTCGCTACGCTCGCGATATCGTCAACGGGGGGGGGGGGGGGGGTAGGTACGAAAATTTCCAATTAACATGCGTGACACATACGGGATTCGCGTGACAAATCCGAACAAATTGCGTTCGGTTTTTTCCCACGTTCGTATTTTTACCGTATCGTCAACATATTTTGAAAAATTTTCTACAGAAATATTTTTGCGTGACAATTACCAGGTAAAATGCATATTTGCGTGACATTTTCTGTCACGCAAAAAAAACTGGCGTGACTTCAAATTCTTCAGCAAATGCGTGACAAATACGCAAATTGCGGGACAGTTGACAGGCCTGAAATTGAGGGAAATGCTTTCCTGGCCTGTTTAGGCAACCAAAATCACACAAATTATGTATTAGAATATGCTCTTCATCGATAATGTATTTAATCCTACCTTACACACGTCAAACGCTTGATAATTGAAGAAGTATAAGAATTTTTCTGGAAACAATTTTTTTCCCCATGTGTAGATGCATTCTGGGTAATGATTGTGTAAAAGTAAAACTCTAGGTGAAGCGAAAAAACGAAATTACAATAAATAACAGCAGCCATATTGAGATCGAGATTTCAACTCGAAAGTTTATCATCGTCTTATGACAATTGAATCGCCTTCTCAGACACCAAGGAGGGTGAAGAAACCGAAAACAGATATGTTGGTAATAAATAATTACGATTTCGTTTTGGTTGCATGGTTTCACATTTAGACAGTATTCAGTGACCTTGAGTGACCTTGAGAACCATATTGGAAATTGGTTCAAACATATACGAAAATGATTACATTTCTTCAATTATCAAGTATTTCCTGTGTTTAAGGTAAGAGTTAATACATTCTAGTTGAAGCATTGGATCCATTATCTTATCTGTGTAACTCTTGTTGAACATAGAGGGCAGAAAAGCATTTACCGCAATATACAGGGCTTAATATCCTCGACGCAAATGTTGAAAACAAAAATAAAAAACAAATATCCAAATCGTCAAAAAGAAACGTGAAACAACAACATTAAGTCGAGTTCACTTGACTAATGGGGAGGATACCATGGCACAAAAGCCCCCCCCCCCCAAACAAACAAAAAATTCTACCATCTTTGATTGAAAGTAGAAGCTGAAATCACAGCCCCATCTAGCTGCATACGCACCTGTATATCAGAGCCACAGTATTTTTGACAACTCTGATTGTGAAAAATAAGGAAATATCTGCCCTGTCCACAGTCAGCACTATCAATGGTATATTCTAAAAATATAGGGAATATAATAGAGAAAAGTCCATAAGGCGTTTGTGACAAAATTTCCCGGAAGTGTTATATTTCCATTTATCGTTCAAACTGAGACATTTATGCTAATAATTCGACGTGTATATGATTCTTACATACCCAATACGATCAAAAATGTTACTAACATACCAAATGAAAGGTGATTTCCTGGTCAAACTTGCAAAAGTTGGTCCAAACTCGCACTTGAACCGAATATTTACCGGAAGTGTTTATATTTCCATTTGGGTGTCACTACGGTAAATCATTGAAAAATATTGAAAAATCACAAAATTCAGGTTCTGGGATACATATCGCCATTTTCGAACGAATTAGCCCATACAAGAACTATATTTCTGCGTTCCCCTATACATGACCTTCATCTTGACCATATATTTAACATAGGGTTTGCGTCTTGATTTTTAAATATCACTACGCCAACACAGGGACTCATTTTTAGGTAAAATCCCTGCTTCACCGATGAAAATTAACGAATAAAGTAGTTCAAGTTTACGGGACTATATTCTTGCGATTTTTTTCTAAAAATGGCACATTTAGAAAGTAATTGGCCTCAGCTTTACATACATACCTCAAATGGCCACATTGCATACACTTAAACCTACTATACACACCATTGAAGTTTCATGGCTTCGTTTTTAAAGTATTAAAAAACACTACCCGGAAGTGGTATTTACCGTAGTAACACCTTAATATCCAAAAATGGGAAAATTTTACTATGATAATTTTTGCTCATTCAGCATTTTTTCAAACAATTGAGTTATTTCATGCTCAAAACAGCTGCATTTTCAAACTTTTAACACATTTTCTACAAAATCTAGTCATATTTGGGGAAATAGGTGAGGGCTGAGTCTCTAAAAACTGGCCAAAATGACCTAAACTTGGGTTATCAACTTCAGAGATCTCATGCAAAAAATTTAGACGCAAAATCCCCGAGATTATTTCATTTTGAAATCATACACAGAATGTACTGAAACGTATGTTGTTAAATGCAAATATTTTGAGTCAAATGTGGTCCCCATGTGCAAAATTTGCCCTTTTTCTCCCCCTTTACGCCAGTTAGGCCCCAGTGTACTGTGACATCATACTCATACCATTGCTACAATGTAGCAATTTACAAATTAATCATGATTACTCTTCCTGTGATACACCTGTGGTAGTTAAACACTGTTTATTCCCCAGTGTGTTGATTGATTACATGCCAGCTTACTTAGTTACTTACTAAGTACGCAATAACCACCATCAAAGACCTGCCGGCACCTATTTATTTTCGGGTTGGTAATGGAATTTTACAAGGGCAATACGAGAAGAATTCAATTTTTCATTATTTAATGATAATTGCGGTAGATTTTACGGTAGTTTGAACAAGAATACTGTTAATTCAAGCAGAAATATGGTAGATTTTCAAATATTTACGGTATATTTTACGGCCGTTCTTATAGAAAAAATCTAATTATAATAAAATATTTTATGGTAGATTTTGGTAGAATTACAGTAGATTTTTTCGGTTGTTTTACAAGAAAAAACAGTAATTTTTTACGGTATTTATATTATTTTTTATGGTAGATGCCGGTAAAAATACGGTAGGTTGGCAGGTATGAGTTACCATTGCAACCGTGGAAATGGGTAAAAATGAGAGCAAAAAACACCCAGACCCGCCATAATGGCACTAATTTTCAAAATATTTCGAGACATACACATTTTCTTAAACTTTGATATCGTCTAGAACACTTCTAGACAACAAAAATATCAAAAATGGGGGGAAGGCAGGGTCGGATCTGAGAACCAACAAGGAGGGGGGGGGGGCCAAATTTCAGGTCAGAAAAAAATTTGGGGCCCCTGAAACCAAAAAGTGGGCCCAAATTTTGAGGCCCATTTTCTTCAAAATTTGGCCTGAAATTAAAAAATAAGGCCTTAAAAGGCCCAGTTATGACCAAAAAGGCCCACTATTTGGGGCCTTAAGGCCTTTTTGGCCCAAAAAATTTTTGAGCCCAATTTTTTTTTCTGGGCCCACCCAAGGGGGGGGGGGGCGGGCCCCCAGCCCCCCCCTCCTAATCCGCCAGTGGAAGGTTTATCACTTCAATTATTTTCAAGCCTTGGTCAAAGTAAAACTACGAAAAAAGCACTCATTTTCACTTTAGAATCACCTATTATCGCCCAAATGGCTATATGTTGTCAAGGTCGCCATGTTAAAAGTAGAATTAGAATGCTCTTCAGACAATGTTTGATAGCTTTCCTTTATCACGGAACAAAGACCTTTGCACTGGTATGCCCATTTCCATGAGATAATGCACGTGAAAGAGGAACAGTGTCTTTAAATGTCATCAAAACTTTTTCGCACTACTTTTGGTGTAATAATACCATCTGATTGATTGTTGGTGTAAACAACGAGTCGGGTTAATCTGCACGAGGTTCGGTTTTTCATTAAGGGAAGTACTTTATTCCCATGATTCAAAGTGCTTTTCTGCCATTGGTTCGGTTTAAGTTTGTACAACAAACGTCCACGAATCCAGGGCAGGTTGACATTATATCATTACATTTGTTTTGGGTGTATAGTTTTTGTTTTGACAATAAACAAAAAAAATCCCGCAATATATGGTGCATCATGGGTAGGACACGCTGTGAAATATGAACGTAAGTGACATCTATGTCAAATTAAATGTTCCTACAAAGTTATTAATCGCGCATGCGTCATGATAACTTAAACCAATCATATTACTGGGTTTAATGCGCACGCGCCATAAACCGAATACTTTCCCGGGATTCGGGCTTTAGGATACGAATTTACACTGACCGATTGCAAACGAGATTTAGCGAGATGAAGCGGTTGTGAAACCAAGATGGCAGAAAGTTTGTGAACTTCTAGTATTATTATATCTTACGGTAGAGTATACCATTGATAGTGCTGACTTTGGCCCTGTCAACCCACAGGAACCTGTATCAACACCTGACAGTGACATTTATTGGTGACCAAACCCCGGAAATATCACTTTATCTTTTAAAAAGGAGCTCCTCGATCAGACGGAAAATCTACCAACCCATTTTTAAATTTTTGAATTTTTAAAAGTTACAAAATTGTTATTTTTCTTTGCCTGTGAGCCTTCATATTTTCCCCGTTTGTTAAAAACATATCAAAAGACTAAAATTTAGCATAAAATTTGATTCACTGACGATTGATTATGATAATTTGATGACTATAGTTGGTCGACTTTTCGTATGACTCTATAACGGTTGTGGCTCAAAATTTTCAAAATTTCATTACTCACCTTTCGTTCGTTTATCGCTAGTTTCGGCACAAACAACAATCTGACAATTGCAGAGATACTTCATCCACTTCTTTGGAATGTATTTGCAACTGAATTTCCATGTTTTACTTCATTTGAACCGTGCAATTTGCAATGTATCCATATCTGGTGCTAGATTTAAAAATATATTCAATTAAACGAAAACGAGGCTGACCCCGAGGACGACCTATTTGGTTCAGAAGAAAAAGTTAAGTCAAGTCACAAAAGTACTCAGATCTCAATATATTCATATTTTAAAATTCTAATTGATCGAGCTTTCTGATCGAGTTGTGTTTCAAGAAATAACTCATCATCCGGAGTGTGAAATATCCAATAGAAACTAGTGATATAGAGACGAAAACTGAGCACTAAATTGAATTTTTTTGACGGGTAACTTCGACAGCCTCGTTTTCATTTATTTGAAAATATTTTTAAATTTACCCCCAGATACAAAAACATTGCAGATTTATACCGTTCAACCGAAGTAAAACATGGAAATTCAGTCGCAAATACATTCCAAAGACGATCTCTGCAATTTTCAGATTGTTGTTTATGCCTAAAATAGCGATAAACGAACGAAAGGTGAGGAATGAAATTTTGAAATGTTTGAGCCACAACCGTTATAGTGTCGTACGAAAAGTCGACCAACTTCAGTCATCAAATTATCATAATCAATCGACAGTGAATTGAATTTTATGCTAAATTCTCGTCTTTGGATATGTTTTCAACAAACAGGAAAAACATGAAGGCTCACAGGCAATGAAAAATAACAATATTGTAACTTTTAAAAAAGGGTTTGTGATTTTCCAGTGATTGTTACTCTCCTTGTACATGTTGTATAAGAGATTTATTCCCAGGGTTCTGTCACCAATAGATGTCACTGTAACTGTCAGGTGTTGATACAGGTTCCTGTGTGTCAACCCTGGAGTCTGCGCATTATACCGAAACCGATTATACTGATGCGCATTATACCGAAACCTATTATACCGACACGCATTGTACCGAAACCCATTATACCGACGCAGAAGGCGTTATACTGAATGCCATAATACCTGAGACCATCATAAAATTATGTCTCAGATAATACCGACGCACATTGTAAAGTTTTCCTGCGTGTAACTATCTGCGTGTAACCTTAAGAGTCAATGCAAACGCAACTTAATTGATAAACAAATTAGCCATCGAACACATTTTTAAAGTTTGGAGTAAAATATGAGACAGCTTTTAAGTTTTATTATAATTGACGTCTGATTTAGAACAATCCTCGAAAATGGAAGCCAATTAAAAAAAGTTGCCGCCACAATTCTAACATTTATTCCGCGGTGTCTATAGCCTTTAATTCAAGGATCCAGAAAAACGGGATAAAAATGTAAAAAAGAAAATACAGTGAAATGAATTGAAATTAAATGTAACGCATTGTGTAATAGATGATGAAATATTTTCACGTACTGACAACATTACATATATTTTTATGATTTGAAATACCTAGCCAATAGCCATTTAAACACTCAACGCACCATTGGGAAACTTATCTTGTCTTCTTTAATCTTCTTTCTAACAGAAGTGAATCAACCATTACACATTGAACTTTATTAATAGATGATTAAACTTTTTTTGCTGACTGACAATATTACATATGATTTGAAATAGCGAGCCACCTGTACATCAAACCATTGGAAAGCTTATTTAGTGTTCTTTAATCTCATTCATAACAAAATCAAATCAAATGTTCAGGGACTGGGAAATTAAGTGTTACGCACAGAAGTTTAATAATAAATCACAAAATATCTTCGCAAGCTATCAGCATTAAGTACATCTTTTGTTTATTATATTGCTATTTGCTGGAAAAATCACGCATCAATGTTGCGTGTATGATAAAATGTCATGCACGTCACACATTATGTTGATATTTGAAAAAATCTGCTTTTTATAAAACGTCGATATAGTAAAAAAATGAACGCTAAAAAAAGCGAAAGCATTCCGTTTGGACTTTTTACTAGAATTACGTATATGTCACACATTTGGTTCAAAAAGTGTGTACAGTAATATTTTAAATGTTTGGAACTACTTTTTTTGTATATGTCACATATTTGATTTGAAATTACATTGTTACTTACTTACTTTGTTACATTGTAAAACTCAGCCGAACGTGACACTGATGGCAGTAATCTCAGGTAAGTAGATATAAAAAAATCTTACCGCTTGTCGAGTTAGAATTCAGTCTGTTACCAGGCCCCTAGCCAGGGGGGTTTGAGGGGTCTGGTCAGATGGTCTGGTACTTGCATCCCTCAACATTGGCCACACCAATTAAGGTGCCAGGGTTTTTATTAAGAAATTTACACCAAACAGGAAATGGAAAAACATGTGAATTTTTGATTTTTATGTCACCACCAACTGAAAAGTGGTGACATATTGTTATGGTCTCCATTTTTTTGACAACAGTTGGTGGTTTGCGATCGTTGTTTAGCGATCGGCATCTGTAACAAATTATTACAACTTCCAATAACTTAACTAATACTGTTTATGTTTAAGATTTGATCTTCAATGGCCTTGTCAATGTCTAAATAGGTCAAAAGGGTCTTTTTTCAACTTGCTTCAAATTGACCGATTTTTTTCCAGAATCATCTACAAGTTATCAGATGTTCAAATCTGAGATTTGACCTTCAATTACCTTCTCATTCAATGTCACAAAAGGTCAAAAATGTATTTTTTCAACTTGCTTCAAATTGACCAATTTTTTTTTTAAATCATCTATAAAATCTCAAAAGTTCAAATCTGGCTATAGATTTGACTTCAATGACATTCTCAAGGTCAAAAAGGTATTTTTTTTTCATCTTGCTTCAAATTGACAAATTTTTTCAAAATCATCTACAAGTTCTCAAAAGTTCAACTCTGGCTTAGATTTGAGATTTCACTTTCAATGACCTTCTCCAAATTGATCAATTTATTTTTTCAAAATCATCTACAAGTTTTCAGAAATTCAAAGCTAACTCATGATATCTAGGTGGTGACATTTTGTCATGTTAATGCCTTGTTTTTAACTGAGATAACATAGTTCCGCTTTGCAAGGTTGCCTTCGAATGGCTTCCTTATCTGATTGTTTGACGGTAAGTGATGACCTTTAGGCAGTTTTACAACTCCCATATATCATTAACATGACCAGATCACATTGGTCATTGGTCATGGTCATGGTCAGAATGACCCTTAACATGATGTACTAGCATTTTCAGCCCTCTGAAAATGTGACTGAAAAATTTGTTAAAAGATGGACTTTTGGAAAGGTCACCGCACAGAATCTTTTGAATTTTTCAAAAAATGAGCCCAACATGCAGTTGCTTAAAAAGATAGGAGCTTTGCAGCTTTGAATTTGTTCCTAGAAATAGAGAAAATGAAAAAAAACTGTTTTGAAAAGTGATCCATTTTCCTTTTTATGACCACATCTTTTTGTATCAGAATGATTTTTCAAAATTTCAAAGCTCCTATCATTTGGAGCAAAAATCCAAATGTTTTGTTGAGAGACATTTCCGAAAGGCCAAAGGGTCACAAAGGCATGGTTAGATTTTGCATTTAACTGTTACCACCAGAAGTGCTGACATATTGTTATAGTCTCCAACTTTTGGTGGACGGTGTTCGCCAGTCAGCATTACATGTTAGGCAACTGTAACAAATTACAAGGTGGCATTATTTTGTCATGTTAATGCCTTGTCATATGTATTGATTAAAGGATTAAACTAAACAATCACTTATAGTACTCTGAGATTTTAGTGATCAATTCTTATGTAGCATTCAACAAAAATTTCTGAGTTTTGTTACCAGAATAAGAATAGCTGCTGCCCCGGCTCTGATCTAAGTTAAAACATTGATAGTCCCAACTCATCAGAGCCAGGGCAGCCCATCTAAGCTCCATCTGTCCTGTAGATCAAACTAATGGTATATGGTATTGTGTATTTCAGACAGAACAAGAAAGCTCATAGTGAAGTGATATCAACCTTACACAACTTGAACAAGGCAATTGAGTCTACCAAGGCAAATCCAAGTCTCACAAAGGCAGAGAAAGAAGCTCACATTAAAGAGCTACAGAAGGATGTTGAAGAGGTAGTTACTATTTTTACAAATGTATCAATTAACAATAAAACACCAGGGGATAGGAATTTTTTAACATACTTTTAAAATAATATTTTATAATGCAAGTCATCAAGACAATACACTACTGGAGCATGTTGGAATCTTCAGAAACTTAAAGGAACATTCTTTGCTAGACTATTTCTCTCCTGATATGGTAGCTACAATCATATATATACTTTACATATTTAGCAAAACACGGGAAAATGTTTTCATATGGTCAATATTGATCATTTAAAAATGTAGTACTCATTCCCAGTAAGCTGCCATCTTTTCAGATTTCTTTCAGGAAGTGATGTCATCGACTCTCACCTGTCATAACCTTGTCTATTACAGTATAGGAAAGAAGTACAAAATCACTTCTAAACAAGAAGCCCTTATCTTCTGTGTAAAAATATTTTCAGGAGTTGTCAACTTAGAACTAAAGAAGAGATCATCAAAAGGATTTTAATCATAGACCAAATTGAAAAAAAATATTCAGCTGGTTTATTAATTCTAATAGCTCCTTACCTAATGTTATATGCAAAGTTGAGAGTCGATGACATCACTTCCTGAGTAAAATTTTAAAAGATGGCAGCTTACTGGAATTGAGCACTACATTTTTAGTGATCAATATTGACCATTTCAAAACATTTTCCTGTTTTTTGATAAACTTGCAAAGTATGTATTATACAAATAGTGACTGCCATTGAGGACAATAGTGTAAATTATTTCCCCGAGGGAATATCCTCTACAATGTACTATTGTAGAGGATATTCCCAAGGAGAAATCATTTACACTATTGCTCGAAATTAGGCAGTCACTATTTGTTTTATTATATACCCTATACTGACTCTTGTCCCGTTTCCTCTGCGAAGGCCAAAAAGGCTTAGAAAGCCCCCTCCCCGGGTCCATTGTTAGCATTATAAGCTGTGACGTCATCAGATGCTCAACAGAAATTTTTGCCTCTGAGACTCTCACTTGACAAATTCAATCGCGTTTAACATGCGGAATAGATTATCATAGCACTTGAAATTACACAGACGTATTGAGCTTAGGGAACTTTATACGCGTTGCTTATATTGTATCGTTCACGCACGTCTGTCATGGTGAACGGAGTTGATTTGTGTTTGTGCTCATCCTCCATTTTTCTGTTTTTCGTCTGTGCAGTGATGATGCGCAGACGTTTCCAAGGGTAATAGAAGTTGCAATCGTGACGTCAGCGGGCAATAGTTCAAATGTATATTCCCGCTGACGTCACATTTGAGGGAATATAACTTTCCGAGGGAAATAGTAAATCCATTTCAGAACATGTGACTAGGTATTGACCAATCAGGATTAGTGTTACATATTGGGTATATAATAAATGGTTATAGCTACCATATTAGGAGAGAGATGGTCTGGCAAGGAATACCCCTTTAACAATGTGGGGGACCTTTGTGAAACTGGAATCTGAAGTTCTTCGCCTCATGAGAAGTTATTGGACTTCTCGTGGCATATGGGACATTGCCCTATTGCAAGGAATGCCTTAGGGCTGGTCATCTGGTCATTACCAGGTTACTTTTAATAATGAACAGTTGATTTTTTATTTACACAAGGTAAAATAAAATAGAATTGCAACTGGTTTGTGGTGCCATTTAAACCAGCAGCTCTCAGATCCTTGGGGCATACATTGGTGTAAGTTGGGCTTAACTTGGTTAATATCCATTAAATCTTTAACAAGTCCAAGTACTATATAAATCATCATCCTATTCAGTGATCTACCCAGGATTTTTTCTCAGGTGGGTGCAAGATTCTCATTTTCACAATTAAGACCAAAATTGGTCAAAATATGCCAGTTTTACTCATTTTCAAGTGTGTGCAAATGAATTTTGAGGTGGGTGCATGCCTGTTTTCAAAATCTCAGGTGGGTGCTGCGCCCACTTGGTTTAATGCTTGGGAGATCACTGCTATTGTTCATCAACAAGTGCCTTTATTGAATCATCATTAAGTACGAACTCCTGTGCAGTGATATATCACTGCGGCGGGCAGGTATCTCATCGTAAGCATGGTAACTTCGTAATAAACAACTGACGTGATTGGTTTTAGTCCCATGCTCAGGTCGCGTGATTGTAAAATGTAGACAATTTCATTGGTTGAATTGCGCGTATTAACTAATAAACAACACGTGCGGTAAACTATTATCAACAAATCTTTTACTCAGAATTCCTTCCGCGGTGATTTCTTCTCATATTTCAATAATTTTGAAATATTTTGACAAAATAATGATTGATGAACATAAAAGAACATATATTTTATAAGTTGTATGAAAATCAAGTACATCTGTGACTATCTTCTGGGACTATCTTCCCCAAATTTTGGGGATTCCATAATCTGCCCGCCGCAGTGTCTATACCGAGACACTGCATGGGAGTTCGCATTAAGTACTGTTGTTGTAGGCTGGGGGCATTGCAGTGTATCAAGTGGCCTCTAAGAGAGGAGAAAGCAAGCATGGGAGTTTCAACTCTGCAAAATGGGTTGTCAAGACACTGAAGAAACACAAAGTGAAACCTGCTTCAGTTGAGGTAAGAGTACTGGCATATCATCTCAAGTGTTTAAACAATTAATACTATACATGTAGTAATGTGGTGATTAAGATGTTTTTATATCCAATTCTAGAAGCAGTTTTATGGTAGAGGAAAATTTCAGAAAATGGTTGTTTGACATTACATTTAAAGGCACTTTACTTAAAGGCCCTATGTAAAGGGCCTAAGTCCATAGGTCTGATTAAAATTCAAAGTATGCATAGAAAATGAAATTAACGGGTTTTGTAACATTTATTTGATCTATTTATTTATCTTAAGCAGCTTACCTTATTTTAATCTATCTATTGATCTATTTATTTGATCTATCTATTTATTTGATCTATTTATTGATTTATTTGATCATTTATTTGTAAATTGCTTTAATTAGGCGCTATTTAATTTGGCGGATAGGGCTTTTGAAATTTTGCCTGCTATTTAATTTTGCAGATTGACTCAACAGTAAAATATGGATATTGTAGGGCTAGCTAGTAATTCATGTGGGTTACGCTTGAGTGACACTGCAACAGGGAGGTTTTCCTTCATATATGAGCTAAAATGTAAAAAATGAGGTTACAATTAAAATATTGAAAGAATTCTCAATGAGACTTAAGGTCCCGGGGACTTTTTCAAAAAATTGGGGGAGACTTAATTTGGTAGTTCTTATCTATCCGCTTAATTAGCCAAATTAAAACGGCCGTCAAATTAAAGCAATTTACAGTATCCAATAGATAACAGTTTATATTGTTATACTTTATATTCATTAAATCTAATCTTTTGTTGCTTAAATGGCAGGAAGTTCAAATGTTTCTAAAATGTTCAATCAAAAGCATGAGAAATAAGTCATGTATTGTTTACATTGGAATCCTTGCCAGATTAGATAATTCTGCAACCAAGGAAGGTCATCGACTTATATGGTTCCTTTCCTCTCAACTCTGCTATCTTTGGTCTTAAAAGAATTCTCTCCAGATAGGCCTTCAACAGAGGGTATGGATCAAGGATTGTCGAATCTACTGCCAGACATGTGTCTAGGAAGTCGGCTATTTTGTAATCAGCAAAGGAAATCTTGTCTCCCACTAGAAATCCTGTTCCACCATTATTTTTCTTCAGTTCATTCTAAGATAGAAAGTTATATTTGGTAAGATTGCCTGTCTGATGCTGTGTGAAAACCAATAGTTTTCAGCTTAGCATGTACATGTAGCATGTATGGTTTAAATTTGGAGTCAGTTAGAGAAAATAAATATGGGGCCAAAAAGTTGCATTGAGAGTTATCTGGATTAGAAATATGTTCAGCAAATACAGGTGTTTTACTCTTTTAAAAAACCTTATATAGAGAAATATTTCATTAATTTGTGAATATATCATCTAAAACTCACCTCCAGAGGTCTGAGGTTATCTGGGAGGATGAACCTCACCAGCTTTTCTCTCTGGGTAGCATGCTATAAAAGCAAATTTAATTAAATTCAATAAATTCATGAAAGATATATGATTCTCAAGTAGTCTCAGAAATTGATGTAACAGTCCAGTCCTGGTGACTGGCTTTGATGTGAACTTACTTTTGTTTAGACTAAGTCTTTTAGATATATTTTGAACACTTCTAAACAAGCTTTTTATGTCACCACCTAAAGGTGGTGACATATTGTTATGGTCTCTGTTTTTTGACGGCGGTTGGTTGTAATACAAGACTTATAAAACATTTATTTAAAATGTTATTTAACATGATATTATGGCACCCACACATGCATACACCATTTTGATTCTAAAAGAATCCATGCTGAGGCAAAGAACAGAAGGTATAAGCACAAGGCCAAAACAGTATAGCACTTGTGATAAAAATAGTTGAAATGAAGTAGATGGACCATAATAATGTATGATCACATATGTTAAATTTGCAAGGTATGAAGGTGTGTGTGTTTTTGAGTATCTAGATTGATGCACAAACCTTTGGTACCTAATCTAGATGAGTAAGTGCTTATCACTGATTATGACTATACTGTGTGTAATATTAGATTGAACGTCATCAATAATGTAAGACAAAATCCTATATTTTAACACAATCAGTAAACAAATACAACCTTAGTGTTTAATGTCTTTAGTAACAGGCACATACGTTATCCTTCCCTTAACACTGAATATTTCATCCAGATACGGTAACCTTATTTTGATCAAGTAATATCATATTCAGATCATAGATAGATTGAATATGTACTTACATAGTCACTATAACCCCTAACATATATCTGCTCCCTCCCTTCGCTCTCATGCTCAATTAGAATATCTATCTGGGTAACATCATCTTCAGTTGTACCATACAGGTCATACTTCCTGGCCAGATAGCGCAAGATGGCATTGGTCTGTGATATCACTGGGCCCTCTGGGGTCTTGAGCACAGGTAACACATTGAATGGCTGGAGTATAAAAACTTTCAACATTGACCTGTATGATTTCAAATGACCCCACTGCTTTGAATGTTTGCACAGGTTCAATGTGTTAAAGAAACAGGCAATGCTTCTTTAAAAAATAGTATCAAATAGTTACGAAATGAAACATTTTTTTACATTTGACAAATTATTGTTAATCCAGCTAATTAATAGGAACATATTGATCACATTGACAACAGTCCAGGGAAAGTGGGGAAATTTATATAATTCAATAAAAAGAATTCAAAAAAATGATCTACATGGTTCAGACTCAAAATATATGTTGTATGTGGGTATCATTATATTTGATCTTTCATTTGATATAAAGTACGTTTTTAAATGATCAATCAAAACATTTTCCTGTGTTTTGATCAATAGGGAAAATAAATGCATATGATTATAGCTAACATATCGGGAGGGAAATGGTCTGGCAAGTATTGTCCATTGAGGAATTGACCAGTAGTGTGCATTTTGAAAACCCGAGATTACCTAAGGAATGAAGTTTTTTTTAGTAGAGGTCTGAAAAGAGAATGTTATACTCAATCTTATAACATTTAGAATTGAACTATAATTCAAAATAAGATCACCAAAATATATTACAAAAACTCTTGCACAAAATACTTCTATGGTTTATTACATGGACAACTCTGATCCTGACGAGCATGCTCACTATTTCTTATATCAATGATATCATCCATACACTACAGTGTTTATAATAAGATCAAGGTTCAAGATTAAGCTAAAAAAGTACAATTTGTTTAAACATCTGACCAGGCCATTGAGGCCAACCTGTCTCAAGTGGATCAAAAACATGATAAACTAGATTGGTGAAATTGAACAAGTTCAATTCAAGACTCCAGATTCCATTTTTTATTTATAAAATGATTTTGACATCTGATATAAATGAGAAAGTGAAATTTAAAGAAAATATTTATGTTCGTCACAACTTTAAAAGCAAAATTTGATCAATAGTTAGGTAATCTCAAAATAAACAAAATTGACCTAGATTTTGACCTTGACCCTTAGCAATCAAAATTTTACTGAATTTTTGATGATTCGCTATTGATTACCATTGACTTAACATCAGGCTGCTACATTGGTGGCACGGCGGTAGGAATTTTTGGGGATTTCAAAAAGCCATAGCTCCTGAACCAGATTTTTGATTTCAATTTTGTTTTCAGATTCGGAATCCTGAGAAAATTTCCTATTAAATTCTGATTTTGATCTCTGATATTATAGAAAAATGAGAAAATTATCGGTTCCGTAGACATGACATCAGGGTACCATCATATCATTTTTTGAAATTTCAAAGTATGTTTACTCCTGAACCGGAAGTCATATCACAATTTTGTTTGAAGTCAAATTTCTCAAAACTGATAATTTTTTTATCATGACATATAGAAAATGATTTATTAAAAGAAATATCCAAAGATAAATAAGAAAATTGAAAATTTGTGAAATTAGAAAAATTGACCTAGAATTTGGACTTTGACCTAGATAAAAAATTGACCTAATTTCCCAGAAACTAGGTCACATACCCTAACTGACTATGTAATTAGATTTACCCTAAACCTTCTAGTTATTGAGAAATCGTGCTAATAAGAATAAGAGCTAGACTGGGGAAATTGAACAAGTTCAATTTCAGACTCCAGATGACAGATTTTTTTTAGTTGATAGATTAGATAGATAGAGATTAGATTAGATAGATAGGTAAGGAACATCAATTATCGAATTGATAAATAGATAAATACCGTATTATCGCCTATTGGCGCACAGTGCGCTTGTGAAATTGAGGTGAAATACCATGGAATTGGAGAGAAATCAATCAAATAAAGTCCCAATAAGCGCACATATAAGTTATTATTTTGATTGGGCGATAATATGTGAAAATCAGAATTCGAAGCCTGGTTTGAAATCAATATTATCTTACTTACTGTTTTTTCACGCCAAATCATGTCTTGTGTCGTTTATTTACCATAATATCACGTTTTTAAAGGACCAACTATTGGTAAAATAAAGAAATATTGCGACATTTATCAGGTAAAGTTTTGACTTTTATTTTATCGTCATAATAACTACCACGCATCAAAGTTTGCGCAGACTGGAAGTTGGATTTTCCTACCCGGAAATGAAATTTTGTGAGTTAGAAAATCGTCATTCTGTAAGTTTTCCTACTCTTTTGCTCTGATCACAAATGTTTGTCATGTTTCCAAAGTCGCATGTGCGCTTATAGGGGAGTGTGCGCCAATAGGCGATAATACGGTAGATCAATTTTCAATATTTTTTAGCTCACATGGTGAGCTTTTGCAATCGCTCACTTGTCCGTCTGTCTGTCCGTCCGTCCGTCCGTCTGTCCGTCCGTCAACAATAGTGGCACGTTTTAAAACCTCTGTCGATAGGATTCCTGTTTTAAGTTATTTCTGTTCAACATCAATACAGAAAACTCCCCTATGACTCCTGGTTCAAAAGCTCGCCTATTTTCAAAATGGCCGCCATTTTTGTCTCGCGAAATTCACTTTTGACTGGCATGTTTTAAAACCTCTGTCGATAGGATTCCTGTTTTAAGTTATTTCTGTTCAACATCAATACAGAAAACTCCCCTATGACTCCTGGTTCAAAATCTCGCTTATTTTCAAAATGGCCACCATTTTTGTCTCGCGAAATTCACTTTTGACCCATTTCCTAGCTTTACAAATAATTTCAGGTGTCCTACATTGTAAAAATCTGTGTCAATGTAAAGAGTAGATATATGAAATAATTTTGTTACAAAAAATCAGCGAAAAATTATATCTATTTTTTTATTTTCAGCCATTTTAGTTAACATTGATTTGTCCATCTGACTTGTGAAATCCACTTTTCCGTCAACAACAGTGGCACGTTTTAAAACCTCTGTCGATAGGATTCCTGTTTTAAGTTATTTCTGTTCAACATCAATACAGAAAACTCCCCTATGACTCCTGGCTCAAAAGCTCGCCTATTTTCAAAATGGCCACCATTTTTGTCTCGCGAAATTCACTTTTGACCTATTTCCTAGCTTTACAAATAATTACAAGTGTCCTACATTGTAAGAATCCATGTCTATGTAAAGAGTAGATGTATGAAATAATTTTGTTACGAAAAATCAGCAAAAAATTATATCCATTTTTTTTATTTTCAGCCACTTTAGTTAACATTGATTTGTCCATCTGTCTCGCAAAATCCACTTTTGGACCATTTGCCTTAAACCCTCTGTCGATAGGATTCCTGTTTTAAGTTAATTTTGTTCAACATCAATACAAAAAACTCTCCTATGACTCTTGGTTCAAAAGCTCGCCTATTTTCAAAATGGTCACCATTCTTGTCTCGCGAAATTCACTTTTGGCCCATTTCCTAGCTTTACAAATAATTTCAGCTGTCCTGCATTGTAAAAAGCCATTTCACTGTAAAGAGTAGTTGTATGAAATAATTTTGTTACAAAAAGTCGGCAAAATATTATATCAGGTTTTTTTATTTTCAGCCATTTTAGTTAAAATTGATTCGTCCATCTGTCTCTCAGTCAGTCCAAAAAAGTGGCAAGTTTTAAACCTCTGTCAACACTTTTTAAATCCTCTGTAGATAGGATTCCCGATTTAAAATAATTTTGTTCAACATCAATAAAGAAAAAAAAACCTGTGACTCCTGCTTCAAAATCTCGCCTAATTTCAAAATGGCCACCATTTTTGTCTCGGGAAATTCACTTTTGGCCCATTTCCTAGCTTTACAAATAAGTTCAGGTGTCCTGCATTGTAAAAAGCCATGTCTTTGTGTGAACGACCGAACGACTAGATTTGTGGTGTACGTCAATTTATTCACTTTACAGAGCCAGAGGGGCTAGAAACAAATCATAACAAGCAATTACAATATAATAATAACATTGCATGAAATGGCATTGGCAAGGCTTATCAATATTACAGTACGAAATGGCATTGGCAAGGCTTATCAATATTACAGTACGAAATGGCATTGGCAAGTTTATTTGAAACACAATCTAATTTGACTATTTTACATTTGACAACATGAATGCTAACTTAATTGAATGTTTGGCATGTTAACTTACAGAACTGGCTCTTGCTTTGAGCTTGAGGGAAATGTGGGAACCAATGGTGGTGAATCTGTGGCCTAACACACTGCCTGAATAAAAATTACAATACATTTCTAAGTTGACAAAAATACCATAAATGATTGGTAAAATATCAGAAATATGTGTTGTATTTAATCAAGTAATATCTAATAAAGCATATAAAAGTAAAATAAAGAGTGGATGGCTTACCAATATGAATGATTGTGGATGATTTTGTAGATTTTCTGGAGAGGTAAAAATATATATGTGGCTATTGTAGTGACTGTAAGCAAGAGGAAGTTGCACATTTATGTGCCAGCTATTTATGTGAATTGAAACATGAAATCTATATAGTGCCATCTATAAATGCAACTATAAACTTTAAAGTGCAGTTGGTCACATCCACGCGGACAACGTTGACAGACCATCACAGTTAAATATTACTTTGTTTTTATGACCAAAAGTGTACATGGTTATACAATTCTAAAGTTAAATGTTAATGAATTCTGAGAATTATGCCTTTAAAACATATGCCATTAAAAGTAATGCTTTTTACATAAATGAATGCCAAAATAATGCCTTAATATGCCATTTTACATTTTAATACAAAATGTGTTGCCATTTACTGGCTTTTTAGCCCAAAATGTACACCCCAAAATACAAAAATACCTTAACTATGTGCAACTATGTACATACCGGCGCGCAAAACACTATTGCTTCAGAATATATTTGTGGTTTTAGGCCACTTATGAAATTGAAATACATTAAGAGCAAGTTGTGTTATCGTAATATGTAATTCATACACTTTTTATGTGCATTTTAATTGGTTTATAATATCATACACTTTATATGTGCATTTTTAAGATCATTAATTCAAAAATGGGCTTACATGTATAAGTGATCCATATTT